AGTCTAAATTATTAAGTTTCTAAAAGGAGCTAACCCGATAGAGTATATACTAAAAGTCTCTCCCGAAATTCTATCTTAACTATACCTTAACGCCGAGAGTAAACTTCGATATAAGCTATAGGATTTTAATAATAGTTAAGAAGATTTAGCGGAAAATTTAGCGTCTTATATCCCGGAATAATACCGTAAGTCGCTAGTAGAAACTATATATTAATAATTCGGTTACTTTATATGGCCCGGACTACTAGGAGCCCTAGAAAAATAAGGCTAGTAGTTTAAAATAAAGAAAGACGTAGAGGTAGTCGCTTATAATTACTATTAATACTAATTAGCGTAACGAGTACTACTAAATCTATAACACGAGAGATAGTTTTATAGAGTTATACGCCGAGCATCCTTTAAAGAATAGAGTATCGACTTTATAGGCGTACTTCCTACTATATATAATAGTAATAGTTAGATAATAATAGTAATTAACTATATAACGGGATGGCCTATTATATAGATAGTCCCTAAGGCGACCGTAGAGTCTATTACGAGGTTCATTTATGAATAAATCTTTATAGATTTTAGACCCCCCGCCGCACTAACCTTAGATAATAGTTAATAGTTTCTATTAAGAGTAGTTAACGCACTACTACGCATCCTTAAGACGGAATATAAACTTACTACGCCTTATTACCCTCATATAAACGGAAAGGTTAAATACCTTAATAGAACCTTAGGAGATATCCTTACCTATATATATATAGGCGAACTAGTAACTAACTAGAATATATACTTACTAGCCGCTATTTTTACTATAAGGATCCGACGATATAGAAGTATAGAAGTTAGTCTATATTATCTAGTATATAGATAGTACCCTAACTTACTAGGGAATATTCCTAGAGAAAAGGCTAAGTTAATATCCTTTAACGAACTTATTAAGCGAGTTAAGAAAGTATAATACGCTAGGACGCTAGCGCTAAATAAACTACTTATAGAAGCCGCTTACCGAGACCTTATAGATCCGACTTAGCTTAAACCTAAAGACTAGACGCGACTATCTATTAGTTAAATTATTTTACTAAAGAATAAATAGAAAACGAAGTTTAAAACGAACTACTTAGGTCCCTATAAGGTTCATATATAACACCCCTTAGATATATACGCGCTAGAAACACCTAATAGACGTATCCTACGACACCTTATATATAGTAATAGGCTAATTATAGTAAGAGATATTAATAAGCTAGATAACTTCTAGACGAGATAGAAGATTAACTTATAAATATCTAAGGAAATTAGAAATTAAGTAGTACCTTACTTACTAGATATTAAGAAGGTTTTAGAGAAAGAGAAACCTACCCTATATTAGATAACTCTATCCTCCCTTCCTAAGAAGGAGTAGAACCGGCTATAGTAGCTATAAAGTTAACGAGAGTTAATATATAAGGGCGTACGTTTATTCTTAGTAGGGGAGAGCTCGATAGACGTAGATATTACGCGTTAAATTAGACTTACTAATATAAGAAATCGACGTAAACGGAGAGCTACTATAACTACGTTAATTACACTAGTACTAATCATTATTAATAAACTAAGAAATATACTAGAAGAATAACACGAGAATAGCGGAGCGATATAACCGCCGATAATAAATATTAAAGAGAGCTATAATACTCTAAGGGTAGAGGAAGCCTAAATAATAACTAAGAAACTAATAGATAACCTATTAAACGAGATTAACACGGTAGAGAAAGCCACGATAGAAGCGAGATAGAAAGAATTACCTAAAGAAATAAGCTTAGGAGACGAGTTTAATAATACACGAATAGACTTAGATAAGAATATCTAACTAGAATATAAGAATCCTATAAGTATAGATATAGACTCGGATATAGAAGAAGTATTAAAGGAGGTTAACGAAGCGAATAAATAACCCCTAACCGACTTAGACGTCCCTATATAGAATCTTATAGAAAGCGAACCTTATACGCGAAAGAGAAAGCGATTCTATATAGATAAACGTAGTAGAGAAACCTAAGCGGCTATAGCTAGCGTGTTAAGATAAGTTAATAGATTAGAGGGAGAGAGATACTCTCTACGGAAAAAGATATTACCTTTAAAGCTATTATAGAAAAGCTTAGAATATAACTAACTTTAGTCTTTCCCTAATTATCTCCTTTATATATAGTACTACTAACCCCCTATTTACTTATTTAGAATATATATAGCCGTTAAAGAAGATTAACGAGCCTTAGAAATTACTAGAAGGTTAAAGAAAGAAGACGTGGACTTATAATAATATTATATAAGTCTAAAATTACTATTTAAGAACCGTAAGACTAAATAGAGATAAAAGAAAGCCGTTAACGCCTTTTAACGCTTAATAAGATAGGGTATCATTATAAAATAGAAGCCGTCTACTTAGTCCTAGACCTTACGAGTAGAATTTAGTAGATTCTTCGTAAATTATACTAATACCTTCTCGCCCTCCTCGGGCATGCTATTATTAATTAAGAACTTATATAGTAGCCCTTAAGGTATATAGCTAATCTCGCTAAACGCGTTTATCGGATGACTAAACTAATCTTTAACGGCTTCGTTAAGCGGAAGTCCTTTATCTTTAAGGTTCTATATAGAATAAATAGAGATGATACTTAGGTTAAGAGATATAGTATTATTAAAGCTAGGAACGAGGACCTCTAGACCGCCGTAATACATCTATTCTATTATAGCTATAACCTTTTAATTAGCTAGAGATTATATAAGATATAAATCTAACTCACGAGCGAAGGACTAGCCTTAGAGTTTAATCTAGTCTTCTTAAGACCTAATAACTTCTTTTAATAAAGTTTAGTAGCCGAATATTTTCTAGTAGCCTTAGTTATCTCTATAAATAAAGACTACTCGGTATATTAGTACTTTTTAATAATATTACGCTTACTACGGTATACTTTAGGAACGTGTTAAATCTATTAAAAGTCTTTAACGATATAAAGGAATAACTTATAACGCGATATACTATAGAATTTCCTATTCCCTTAGTAGAAATAGTTTAAATAGGTACCTTTAAATAGTAGGAACCCGTTAGAAAAAAGCTATATATACTCCCTAAAGATGCCTTTACTAGTAGAATAAGAACTATAGGCGCTATCGCTAAAGTACTAGTATACGCCACGAGCTATTATACCTAGAATAGCTAGAATAGTATAGGGATATAATCTATCTAGACGTTTCGAAGGATCCTAAAAGATCCCTTCTTCTATTATAATATTCTAAGGATAATAGTAGTTACTAAACTTATTTATTATATAGAACGGAAGTAGATTCTTTAGAATTAAGGCGTGCTAACCGCTAGTATACGCCTTAATAAGGCTATTAATAAATTTCTTATAGAGCGCTCCGTTAATAGAAGGGTCCGAGAATAGCTACCCTAGAATAAGTTAGCTAACCGTTAAAGATAATTAATAAGATAAGAACTTACTCTAGTAAGCTAACTACTATATAAACTTAATAGACTTCCCTAAAAAGAAGTAGTAATTAGATTAAACTCGGAGGTCTATATAACCTACCACTTCGATCTCGGTATTACTATAGCTATTAAGTTTATTTACCGTAGGTTATGCTATCGTACTAACCTTATAAGAAGCTATAGACCCCTTTTACTTTATAGAAGTCTTCTTAATAACCTTATTAGAACTTTTAAGGTCTATAATAGCTAGCTTAGAAGTTATAGAGCGAGTTTTAGGGCTATTAAATATCTTTAATAGAGTCCTTACGGTACTATAGATCTTTACTAGAGTCCTAGATATTCTAGGACGAGAGCCTAGATAAAAATTAGGAACTAGAATCTTAATATAAGACTTAGCGACTTACCTTTCTTAGTTACCTTAGAAGTAACTATATTACTAAGCTTATTAACTTTAATTAACGTATTACTATTAAGGTCTAATAACCTAGAGCTTTCTCTATCTTTATTTTTAGAATAGAAAATATTATTAGAGTCTTCTAATAGATTTATAAACTAACTAGCTTTTATAGAGGCTTCGAAGAGCTTATTAAGGGTAATTAATATAGACTCCGGATCTATAACTTTACCTAGAAGATCTATATAGATTAGCGGGATTCTTATAGAAGGGTATATTAAACGAATTATCTTCTACCTTAGGAAGAGGCTTATTAATAGCTATTACTAATCCTTAAGAGGCTAGAGCCTTAACTTTAGTCTTAGAGACCTTAGGTTTAAGGCTCTAACCGCCTTCTTCGATTAACTAAGCTAAAGCTTTATCTTCTAGGTCTAGTTCTTAAAAGAATAGCGAACCCTAAGGCCCGTTTAGATATAGATAGCTATAGACTATCTTTAAGTAACTCTTATAAACTATATAGTTAATCTATACTTAAGAAATAAGGTAACTTAACCTACTATCTAGAGTACCTTTATTTACTACTAATACTTTATTAAGTAATAACTAATTAGGATTTCTATACGGAGGACCTAAGAAAGTATAATAAAGATCCTTATTTATAACTATATCTACTATAGAAAGTTTAAGTTAGAAGGGAAAAAGGTAAAGTTAAAGTTTATATATATAAAATTATAGTATTAATTAGAGTGATTTCTAAGTTCGTAGGAGTTTTAGCTATATTATTAGATATTATTAAAAGGATTTAGCGCTAGAAAAACTAAGGAAAAGATTAAATTAGTTAAGAAATATAAGGTTAAAGGATAGTAGAATATAGAAATAGTAAAGGTAACTATTTAGTACTAAAATAAGCTTAGACCACCGCCCTTACACGACGTGTTACTAATATGGCCTAGCGCTAAAGAGATTTTATATACCTACCTCCCTATATTATATATTCTAACTCTATTAATTATCTTTAACGGTCTTATAGGAGCTTATATAATTAGAAGAGGGAAGATATAGGATTCCTATTAGGTAATCCCCGTTACTTAGATCTTATTTAGCGTTAGGCTGGTATATATAGCACTTAGATAGACTTAGTAGACACGTCAATTAATTTTGCCACGTCTAATTTACCAAAGTTCCCACACTGAGCTTGGCTATACAGCAGGACGTAAAACTACGTTCTCTATACAATTGGAAACCCGGAGTTTTGCACAGATATACAACAAACTGGGACAAATCAGCAAACAAGTGGTTCACAATCTTATCCATATCGTTCAGCGGGCCCTCTAAGAAACAATGGCGACCCCAACATCCTCACAAATCCTGCCCCCAAAGCCCTCTTCCTCCGACTTTGACATCGTCGCCACCTACCGACGCCTCCTCGCCTCTGATCCAGACCTTACAATGCCCATTGCTGCTATAGAGGCTCTTGTCGAAGCTCTCTCACATTCCAGCGCAACTACTATCTCTGAAACCCTCACCCTTCTCGAGCACCACACCGCGAACCTGAAGCGCTCCATCTCAAACCCCATCTCCCTGTCCGCAGGTACAGACCTCTTCCGGCGATACCTATACACCACTGTCCAAAAACCGGGCGCCACGGGCGACTTCCAGGCAATCCGTAACCATCTGTTGAGCAATGGGCGACAATTCGTAGAACGTACGAAAGCAGCAAGAGACCAAATAGCATCTTTCGGACGGCATTTTGTGCGTGATGGAACGACAGTGCTGACGAATGGCGGGAGCAGAGTTGTGGGCGCATTACTACGCTCCGCTGCAGATGCGTCTGGAGGCCGCACCAGTATTCGCTTCCGCGTCATCTACGTGCTCTCGCCTAGTACCTCCTCATCTTCGTCCTCAGACAAAGCATCCACACTTGAAGGTGAAGGTGCCGCAATTGTCTCCATGCTACGAAGTCGCGGTGTGCCTGTGGCCACAATCCCCGAATCGGCAGTCGCATACTCTCTCCCACAAGTTAGCATGGTGATCGTAGGCGCTGAAGGCGTTGTCGAAAGTGGTGGAATTATATCAAGACTAGGGACATACCAGATGGGCATGCTGGCGCGCGCGGCGGGAAAGCCATTGTATGTTGTTGCTGAGAGCCATAAATTCGTGCGGTTGTACCCGTTGGGGCAGTATGACCTAGGGATCGAGCAGAAGGTGATTGAGTTCAAGGTCATTGAAAACGGCAAGGAAGAAGTTGTGGAAACGGAGAGAGGGACACCGCTTGTAGGTGGGAGCGCGAGGATGTTGGATGAAGGTGTTGGTATGGAGGACGAAGTTGGCAAGGAGGAAATGGAAGGGGTTGACGAGGCTGTTGATTTCACAGTATGTCTCGAGCTGCCTCAAACAGAAGGTCCAGACGTTCCATCATGCTAACATGCACTTAGCCACCCGAGCTTATCTCTGGCATCATCACCGAATCCGGCGTGTTGACACCGAGTGCAGTCAGCGAAGAGCTCATCAAGATCTGGTTTTGACGTAAGCATGTGGCCGCATAGTCCAGTCGACATAGCAATCAAGACATATCGGTGGAAAACCGAAACGGGAGCTGCCGAAAGATCTGTTAGGACAATCTCAGCTTGATTGTTTGGTCACACAAAGCCGCGAATCCTGCCTCACGAGAGCAATATCCAGTCAGACCGCAGCGGTAACGTACGATCTTTGCACATAGCACATTTACAACGTCCCTCATGCGACGAATATCTGCGACACAGGACTCGACCAAACGCCTTACCCACTCCAACTCGTGAAAAGGAATCTATCTGAGCCTGCCTACAGACCAAGAGAGGTTATACCTAGCTACGTGTATCTGGTAGGCAGATAGGGGCGTGCATTATAGAAGCATGGTTTCTGACCAGCCTACGAAAGGCGCGGCTGCACGAAGAAACACGCCCGAAGTCCAACAACCTCCTAGACAACACTGTGACATGTATCTAATACTATATAAACATCAACTTAAGCCCGAAAAATACATGCTGTGTATTGTGTCCGACTCCTGCATTGCTCCCACATGACGCCACAACACGCCACGCCACTTCACTCGTCTTGCAGAGAACTCCTTACTCCTAACCAGAACGCAAACCTTGCAGTTGCTCCTCGCTACCACAGTCCGTCAATAAGCTTATTGATATTTATATATCTCCTATAGTTGCATTGATGAATGTGAGATGCTTATAGCATTAATCCTGAACGACAGTTGCGTTCCAGTCAAGAACCACGGCATCGAGTTGACAGATACACAGCCTTCGCGCTCATGTACGCGTGCAAATACAGAGCATGTTGTAGGAAGATAAGTTTGAAACTGGGCATTTACCAATAAATGTCACTTTCGACGTAATAAGCTGATGCGCGCGTGTGATGTGTGATGTGTGACGTGTGCTGGTGCTCTGATTTCTGCGTTCTGGCAGGAGCGATACCTCCAACTTCCTGCTCTATACAGGAGTGTAACTTATTTGCTAATACATACAACACCCCACTGAGGCATTCCCCAGATTCGCATTTGTGGACCTCTAGTATGGCGTTTCGTGGTCGCATCAGGCGCATAGAGGCATTCATCCATTCATTCATAAAGCCTACAACTCCCTAACAGCCTACTCTTCCAGCTCTTCCATCTCCTCCCGCACCACTCTCATGCGCTCCTCCAACGCCCTCCTCTCAGCTTCCAATCGTGCTCTTTTCTCGGCTTTTCTCGTTCCTTGTTGCGCAGCACCTAAGCTGGGATCGATCTCGCCTTCCGGATTCAGCAAATTTGAAATCCCACTCGCTGGTCTTGTCGGTATCGATGTCGTGTTCGCCACCACAGAAGTCGTCGGCTTGTCCATGTTTGATCGCGTCTCGTCTGCATCGCTCGCTCGTGTACGTTTCGTGCCTTGTGCACCACCTTGAGGCTGAGCTTGCCAGTCGGCCGTGTGCACTGCCGACGAAGGTCTATAATTCGTAAAGTCCGCCGGGGGAGGGTACTTTCGCGTAACTGAGGCATCGGCATCGCGCATTTGTAGATCTGGATCGATGTAAGCCGTTGATGATGGGACCGGGGAGTCCGATGATGTGGATGGGGAAGTGGCATCGACTGGCTGCGTTTGCGAGTACATGTGCAGGGTGTCGGGCCCGACAGGAACAACACGTTTGCGGCGCTTTATTTCTTGCTTCTTCATCGTCATTGGGCGGTGGACACCATGAAGTTTGTGGTAAAGGCCTATACAGTGTCAGTATCACGGTACGACAGGCATAGTGCAAGCAGTGTGAAGAGGGACGGACGTACCACATGCATTGCAGATAGTATGGCCGGACTCGTCACGGCGCCAGAGGGGTGTAATTGTGGTGCCGCAGTTCTGACAGGCTGGAACGAGGTTCGTTGGCCCGTTGACAGATGGAGATTGAGTGGATGATGTAGGGGTGTCATCAGGCCTGGGTGTATCCATCGCGTCTGAGATGCCTTGTTGAGCTTGTTTCAGGGCTATGGCGGCTGTTTTCGAGACGCGGTTGTTGTATGCGGGACAGCCATTACACCCTGCGTGTCCACCTGTACCATTGCATCGCCCTCCGCCAGGACAAGTTCCGGTGACCTGTTCGGCTGAGACGTAGGTGGATCGGGGAACAAATTTCGAGGGCGACGTGCTTCGCTCATTAGGTTGGCTGGGGCCTGGCGTGGATTGAAGACTTCGAGGCTGGGTATGGGGCTGTCGTTTTGTGTTCGTCGGGCGAGGTTCATTTCGTGCCTTCTGGTAAAGACCACAGGCGTTGCATATTGTCGATCCGTTAGGAGCGCGACGCCAAAGAGGTGTTTGTGTAGTACCGCAATTGCTGGTTCAAGTTAGTCGTGTTGTAGCATGTGTACATAGTCTTTTGTCATGGTGTGATAGACGGACAATGAGCAAGTCCAATGTAAACCCACAATTCACATCTGTCGCGAAACTGATATCATCAGATACGTACCTGCAAACTTGGCCGGATGGTGAGGTGGTCGTAGAAGATATCACATTGCCTGTCGCACTTGTAGTCCTCTCATTGGTAGGCCGGATAGGAACACCAGGCGAAAGACCTCTAGATTCTTCCCTCGTGCCCTCTTTCCTCGGGCGTTGAAATTGCATGGTGTCTGCTAGAGAGTGATATTCAGAGACAGAGCTTGGACGTCTTCTCTCGCCGGACCCTTGGGAAGTGCGGTCACTGTTCAAACTCTCAGCTTTCGATTCTTCGTTCCTAGCGTTTCCAGATGTCTGTGACTGAGTTTGTCTGTCATGAGATTGGGTCAACGAGCTGAGACTTTCCGCCATCTCCAAGTCCTCTCGTGACGGTTGGCGCAATAGGTGATGCGGATGTGTTGGCATGGGAGCTAGTGATGTCCCTCCTCTTGACAGATACGAGATGGACATTCTGCAGCCACTGTCACAAGCCCATGGATCAAGAAGTCCCCAGGACCGCCAGTAGAAGCGAGAGTGAACAATAAAGATCGTGCAACAGGATCCGCAGTGCTTGAACGTATGTCCGATCAGGATTTACCCGATCAGTGCGATCCGTCCAAGTATAACGGATGTCAAGCAGGGAAAAGGAGGAAGCAATGGATGTCCTGGAAAGACGGTGAGGATTGTAATCTTCGCGATGAACCCCGACGACGAGGGGACGACAAAGCACGAAGTCTGGGGCAATGTCTGGGGTTCACAACAGCAGGGATGCTGAGCCGGCAAACAGAATCCGAGGAGAGAGCCAGGTTGGATGTAAACGCAGTCCTGTGTAGGGGACTCAGTGGTTGCAGTAAGCGAGCGAGAAGTGGTTGGTCAGGAGAAACTCGTGATAGACGTTCTTGGAGGTATGATGTAGGCTGTTTGGCCCGCTGCTGCATCTTGGCCGTGCATATGTTGACTTGCCCAATGCGCCGCTTCCGGAAAGGGAGTCGCGTGTTTTGTACAGCCAATCACACACATTCTGATTGTCATCTTCACCAGCCTTACCAACGCCGTGGACACGTCGCCGCGACTCCACGTGCAACCGCGTCATTCACAGAATCCCACGTTTGGCTGGCGAGCAAGATGCGGCTACTCACGCTTGAGTTTCGAGTAGATAGCGGCTTACTAGTGATATGAGGAGAAAACGTTGAACGATCATTGCAATGATGCGACCACAACCCGTGGAGGAACAGATTTTTTGTCTTATTAGTTTGCACTTATTACTTGACGATATGGCTCGATGGCCCGTCACGGAAACACTATGGAAATGAAAAGACCCCGTTGCCATGTGGTATCATTTGAAAGCAATTGTCGTCATAACGAAAGTTTGACACTTTCACGCACACCTCGCCTCGTTCAATACTCCTTTCCATCGTTCAGTATAATCCATATCCAGACTTCTGCGACACTCTGTCAAAAGCCCTAAGATCTAGTAATAGATCTTCTCCTCGTGAATAGGAGCCACACCTTCATTAGCGTCCGCATCCCAGACAATCTTATTCTTGTCGTCTAGATGAGCAGCTTCGTCGGTAATGGGGATTACTTTGCTGGTGTCTGCAATCTCCTGCTTACTGACACCACAGGGATCCCGAGGAATCCAAATGAGCATAGGCTCCGACCTGATCGCTGGGTGAAAGAACGCATCGCGTTCAATTTGGGGCTCATATTCGACATTGACAAAGCTACGCGGAACCATGCGACGCATGGTCTGGTAGTCATTGTAGATGTGTGGCTTGAGAAATTTGGTAAGCATGTTCGGCTTGGGATGTGGCGCCGGTGATTGCTTCTCAGAATTGTATTCACCGCCGTTCTTATCGGGTACAGCAGAAGAAGATTCGCCTGTGCCATTGAGGCCAGTCTCAAGAGACATGAGGTGCTGCTCCTCAGCCTGGAGAGACTTCGGAAGATAGGTGAGGAGCGGGCCGAGAGCGTTGCTAAGAGATATGTGGTACAACGCAGTGAATATGATGAAGATGATCATCAGAATGAGCGAAATGAGTGCGCCAATGCTGTTACCTGAGTTAATCGCGAAAAGACCGATGAGGCAAATCTCTGCAACGTAAAGGCCGACGAAGAGATGTTGAAGTGCTCGAGGATACACAAGACCTTGGGTGTCAACATTGATGTCGTACACATACAGCAGATTGTATCTGTATGCGAGGTAGAAAAGGAAGAAGCCGACAGCCGCAAAGAACAAGACGAGGGGAGCAATACATGAATAAATGATGGCTAGTTGTCGTAAGCTAGGATCACACACGAATGAGGGGCAACATACCAATGACCAACAAATTGGTGTAGACAGGGAATACAGTACCCCAGCCAAGGCCCATGAAAGATGTCCACCGCTTGTAGATCTTACGAGGCGTAGTGTCAAGGATCTTGCTGAGAATGATGCTGATGAATACACCAATGAGACCGACTAAGATACTATTGATGCCCTGGAGGCCCTGTAACGTGAAATAACTGAGGTAGAAGTTGGAAGCCTTCGGGATGTTTTCCGATAGAAGGGACGTGACGGAACCAGGGTCATCTAGGATATCCGTCACGGAGCTAGCAACGGCAGAAGCGACGGTTGCGACGAAGAATACTTGGACAACCTGGAATGCAAAATAATAATTCTGCATAGAGAGCTCAACAGCAGAGAGCGTTGGGTCACCGGACACTTTAGCCATAACTGAAAGAGCGTCAGTAAGACTCCTGAAAAGATTTAAGCGGGGACTCACATCGTAAGAAAGGAGGAAGGAGAGCCATGAGTACAGCCAAGTAGATGACAGGCAGCAAGCCCGTGATGACACCGCGTATAGCACCGGGGATGCTGTTGATGAAAGACAGCCAGCTGAATGCAGGGATCGCGATCAAGTTGTCGATGTTTGACACAAAACCAGAGAAAGAGACGGGAATGGACCAGAAAATCACAAGGGCGGTCACAACAGCAGTGGCAAGGAAGCCACGCATGACACGCTCCCACCACTTGATTTTAAGATTGGACCAGATAACTTGCTCTGGGTTAATGCCAGTGTATCGCGGAGACATGTGGAGCACCTAAAGCAATGTGAGGACAAGAAATGCATGTCAGACACGATTCAGCGTACTTGGTGATGGGTCAAGCTCTGGAATGCGGCCTGAGCTTCATTGACACTGTCAAACTCGACAAATACCGAGTTGATCTTCTTGACGTCAGTAGCAGCCCGATGCTTCTGCTGCTCTGCAGCGACCTGGGGTATTAATTTTGCTAATTCATCGCGAGCCCAGTTGATTGTGTCGACCTTTTTACCAATGAGAGGCTTCAGACGATGGGTTGGGCGCTGCTTGGGGGCAATCCACCGAGATGCAACATGGCCAGACTCCTCCTGGCCTGTAAGAGCCGTATCTTCGTGTTCAGACTTCCCGCCCTTCTTGATTGCCTTGAGGCGAGCAGCATTCGCGAGTTTTCCAAGCTTAGTCTCGGCGCCTTCGAGTTTGAGGGTGGCCTTGTCACGCTGGGACACAAGGTCTTCAAGCTCTGTGGTATCTGTCGGAAGCCAAATTTGGCGAACACTTGGACCTAACATTTCTCGCATTTTGCCTTCGTCCAGGTAGTAGTCCGGAACGGAGGTGTAAAGAACGGTACGTGAGGACATTCGTTGGGCATACATTGGAGACATCAAGAAAGCTTGACGAAGGTTGATATAGAATATGCTTTCACGCGTAATCATGAAAAGGACAAAGCCTGTGAGCACGTTTAGCTGTCTAGCAGTAGCATTAAAAGACGTCAGGACTAACCAAAGAAGATGTAGGCGCATCCAGCGTGAGCCAAAAGACGATAGTAATTGTTGCTAATATTGCCGAGAGTGATGATATCGAGCTGCTTGTTGGTTCCACCTCCAGTAGCATCGACTGGAAAGAGGACTGGAAAGGTGATGACGCATCCAACAAGACAGATTACGATTGCGATCTTGAGAAACCTGAGGAAGAAATAACCATCGAGCGAAGAATGCTGTAGAACATGGGAGTCAGGGAGCGACCAGAAAGCTCCAAACCAGTTGGTGACACCATTTGGAGGAGCTGGAGTGCGTTCGCTGGGCAGTAGGTTAGAGGTAAACAGACATTCTGGCATGGATTGGACTTACTGTGGACGAAGCGACTTGACAAATGTGCGTGGAAGATATCTACGTGGGAACTTTGTCCGAATCAATAGGAAGACGGACAGCCAAACCAGGGCTACAGCTCCAACAGTGACGAGAACTGTGGTGAAGCCTTGGACTGAATTGGAGTTCTCTTTCGCGGTTTGAGCCGACTGGCGCGGGTACAGTGGGTGTGTCGCAGTTCCGTCCATGGCGAGGATGAGACGACGCGTCAATGCAGTAGTGCAGACGGTCTTTGCAAACGGTGGTTGTTGTTGTGAAGAATATTATCAAAGTTTGAGAAGAAGAGAAAATGTAGCAGAGGGCGCCAAACGAACAGGTTATGAGGAAATTGGATAGGACCCTAGGCGCGGGAAGGTGGGTAGTGGCCGAGCTTGGACTGTGATTGTAGCTGGAGGCACTACCTAATTAGTGCATGTGTATTGTATTGCGCTTTCCCAAATCAACTTGGAAGGGAGGAGGAGAGTGATTCGCGGGTTAGGAGTCGTCATTCACACTGGTAAGTACACTGGACTGGGCTGGACTTGACTGGAGTGTGTTGACTGACTTGACGGCGAAACCTTGAAGTGTACACTGCCCGGTAGAGGGCATCTCCCATGGCAATCTTTGACTTGGGCAGTTCTGTGAGTGGGCACTTGGCACTGCAAGCTGTTACTGCTACGGGATGGAGCCAGCTGCCTGGGGAGGGGGACCCCCCGAAAAATGGTTCCAATACACGCACGATCTTTGTTGAACGATAATGATATTCTATCGTCTCGTCCAATAACATGCGCTGAATCTTCCAAGGATGTCTTTTTAGTGCGTGTCCATGCCCAAACTCCGTTCGTCGATGATCTCTATCTGTGATGAATGTGAGGTGTTCTGTTGCCCCTTCTGTAGAGGATCAGCAGATTCCACCCAAGATGGCGATCGTGATGGATCAATGATCTCGAGACACCGCTTCAACAACAAGCAACTTACGACTGGCTCACTATCGAGGGCTCTTTCTTTGGTCTTTGGCAGTGACTTCTGTAACGCTCAGAGTCTCATCTCCTGGCCATGCTGAGGCCCCTGAACCTATGCGGTGGCATCTCTTGAGCGCCAGCGCCTAACCCGAAACGCGGTGCGCCACAGATGCAAGTGCAAGTGGCTCTGCAAAGATGCAAACGCTCCCGGGCTAGCTGAAAGCCGCGCGGTGGCTATTGTGGCGCGTGCAGGCATCGACAGAGCACTGTCAGGACTCTGTTTGTTCTAGATTCTCATCGACCATGAGCCTTGCAAACTTGATCCATCTTCAACACCATGACGCGTAATTGTCGTTCTGTACGTTTCGCGAAGACTGCAGGCATATGTGGCTTGCTTGACGGAGCCCGCGAAGAGTCCAGAGATGCTCAGCCTCAGCACTTCAGTCTTCGTGCGATGCAAACAAACCTCGTTGGCGGACTGTCGATCCAGCGCGCGCTAACTATTCATGACCCTTCTCCAAGACTCAAGTCCGCGAAAGGCACATTTACCACATGCACATGCACTCGCTTGGTCTGCCGGTCCAAGTCAACGTCATTGTTTACCAATTCTGCTTGCGCATCGTCAGCTGTACTTCCCACAAACATTCTCTTCTTGCTCTCGAGTCCCGACCATGTCGACAACGGACCGACGCGCTCTAGCCGCTTTCAGAGCCCCAGGTACGTTGCTGGACGGTGGGAAATTGTGCAGAGCAATCGGTCCCAACTGCGTGCTGCCAGCGGAAAACACTGGTAGCTTAGCCTGAGGCTTCAAAGGCCTACGCGGCAATGATCGACACGTCAATGTAGTGACAGCGGAACGCCGCCAATAGTCTGTCACGTTCTCCGGCATGATGTTGTGATATTGCATCTCTGATATTGTGCCACTGCTATTGCATGGTGGAGATGACCCCGCCAGGCGCAGATCCAATGTCTAAATATCTAATCAAGCCGAATCCGACGGTACTAGATACCTCTCTGATTATGCTCTGGTCGATGCGTCGGAAGAATGGCGCATTGTCTTTCAATGCACGCACCGCCCTCTGCGCCAAACCAGACAGCACTACATCGCAGCATTCTAGCGTCTTCATATCCCAAATCAACACTAATTGTACCACTCACTTCCTTTGCCTCGATCAGTTCCAAGGCCATGGTCGCGTTCTATAGGCCTGTAGACGTTATTCTCTGCTGAAGATGTTTCGTCCTGGTGCTCTCGGCATTTTCATCAACGCAGTCGCGATGCTCCCGTTGTATGTCACATGCTAGCATCACGTACACAACCATGGTTCAATATCTCCAGAACATACATTGCAGCACGAAATATATACCTAGCCAGACTACTATGATGTAATCGGATCATCTTGATGTGTTTCCGATGCGAGATCATCCGGTGGCTCCTCCGGGATGGATACAAAGCTAGGCTAAATCAGGCATGAATATAGCTATCCATGGACGGATTCGTAGCGCACGAGCGAGACCAAATCTACCTACAGTGGGCACGATCCTAAGCTCCAAAATCAAGCACTGAATTTTTTCCTGCGACTCATTTCACGCACAAGAACATACATATTCTCACATCTCGTACATCTAAAACCGCTCACTATCCCTCTACTCCGTTCCCGCTGCTCAAAATGGCGAACCCTCACCCCGCTGCGTCCCTCCTGCTTCGCGCCCACTCCCCAACCACCGCGCAAGCCCTCTTCACCGACAAAATACAGCACAAGCCGCTGCTACTGCGCAAGCCCTCTCCCCCGCCTTCCACAACTGCGCGCATTGTGCGACGCCAGGCCCGCCTCCAAAAGCTTCACAGTACCACGAAGCGGCGGAACAAGAGCAAACCGAAACCGCTGTCGGCGCGTGAACGCCGTGCGTTGTGCCTGGACGATATACCCAAGAGTGAGGCAAAATGGGCGCTGTTTGAGGGCTTGAGAGAGTTGTGGGTCGGTTATGTGAGGGAGATTTTAGGGCTAGCGGGAGATATGGAGGGAGATTGCGAGGGCGCGAATAACAGCAGAGGGAGCTATGTCAGTGCACAAAGCGCGGGGAGTGTGTTGAGTAGTGCGGATATGCATGGTGCCGTGATAGAGGTGGTCAAGAGCCGCTGTGTGAGTAGAGTCGGGGTGCGTGGGACGGTGGTGCAAGATCGAAAGTTTGTGTTTGTGGTTGTCACGGAGGGCAATGAGGCTAAGAGTGAGTTTTAAGCTACAGAATTGGATAGAGTGCCGGAGGCTAATACTGTGCAGCGCTGCCAAAAGAGTACAGTGTTTTCAAGCTTGAGATACCATTATTGAAGAGAGAGGGCGAGGAGGCGGAGCCCAGGCCATTGGTATTTGAGTTGCATGGAGAGCAATTCCAAAACAGAGCGCCGGAGAGGGCAAAGAAGCAGCTCAAGATGCACTACCAACCAGATCTTTGAACGATTCCGGTCATAGAGAATATCAAGAGAGACGCTTCAGCTTTCGAAATCGGCTAAGATATAAATGGAGAGCATGAATATTGGAAGGCAATCGAGTATCCCTGCCTAAACCACCTAAAGAGATTCGCATCAAGCCCTGGGTGGCAGCAGTATGTTATCGATCAGTCTCACTGGAACTTTACCATCACCCTGACCCTTTTCCTCCCTAGGCTGCGGGTCCTCAATCGGAAGCATCTTTATTGCACCACTTAGCACTGCGCCTTTCGTTTCGTCCACAACGTCAATCTCCTCGAGCGTATCCGGGTCGGCAAGCGACACATATATGACCTCAAACAGCGCCCGCTGAGAGGGCTGTAGCTTTTTTTGTCGCTTCAGGGTATCCATCCATATTGCCTCTGCAGCGCCTAGAACTTCGGACCTACTTGTGTGGCCTTTAAGGTATGCTGACTCGGCGGCCATCAGAGTCTGGCTCAGAACGGTACCCACAGCGCGCCGGCGAGCTCCCAAATATACGTTACGTGAACTGAGCGCGAGGCCATCCTCTTCTCTTTTCGTTGCACCTATGCGGACTTCGGTTCCGATGTGAAAGTCCTTCACCATGCGGCGAATGATAATCGTTTGTTGAACGTCTTTCTGCCCAAAGTACACTCGATCCGGTGTACATATATTGAAGAGCTTTGTGCACACTGTCGCCACTCCTCGAAAGAACACTGGTCTGGTAGCACCTTCAAGAAGCGTTGCAAGGGGTGTAATGGTAACGAAGCTGCCCTGGCCGTCTATCTCGCTGCTCGGAAGAAGTGTCGGGTACATAGTCTTTCCATTGGGTGCGAATATTGCAGAGATTCTTCCACTTCCACGCGTACTTGCCAGTTCCCTGTCAATCGTCTGTAGCATCTTTAAGTCTGATTCAAGCGTCTGTGGGTAGCTAGCAAAGTCCTCGTTTACGCCGAATTGTGTCGGGTTTACATAGATCGATACAAAAACATCGGTATTTTCTGCAGCTGCCATGCGCACTAGCGATGTGTGCCCTTCATGTAGGGCACCCATGGTTGGTACAAGACCGACTGTGCGGTCCTGTTTGAGGAGCTCATTGCGGTATGCTCGGAGGGGGGGAACATCTTTGAAGACGGTCGTGTTCGACGCAAAAGCAGAGTACCCTCTAACGGATCTGGAGAGGCATTGTGAGCCTATAGTGCATTAGTAGAGCTTCGCCAGGACTGGAACGTCGCATACCCGATAAGACGCGAGCCCTGAAAGCCATGATCACATACAATGCAGAGCTTCGAGACAGCTCCAAGCAAGCGAAGACCGAGTTATAAACGCGATGGGACGTTTACTCAGTAAGGCGAGACGATGAAAAATCGCAACCCAGTGCGAAAAAGGTGTCGGCCATTGCTCCCGTGCTGACAGCCCAAACAAAAGAAGTTGTGATGTAGTCCGCTATGCAGAATGGAAAGACGCCCGCACCGCTGCGGCTGTGGGGTTGTGAGGAGCGCCAAGGGGACTGTTGAAGCTAATGAAGTTCTCCACAGAAAATATTCTAAAACTTCCATCCAACACCATTCTACAATCGCGACAAGGTCAGCCAAGGCCACAAAACTTACGATATGGCTGATGATGGTATGCTTCTCAATTTCGACATCGGGGACGGCATCATTGCTGCCAAGTCGACCTTCAAGGGTGGACGATGGAAAGACAGGATGTCCGCGAAACGCTCAGCCGGATATCGCAGACGCCTGGAGAACACCCCGGCGACTGGCGTGAATGCTGCACGAAAACCAAATCGAGAATCTGAGCACTCAGACTCGGAGACAGGCGCCAGGAGTGCGAAAAGACAAAGATTGGATGGCAACATCGGTGGCTCGAACGGCCTGCCCTCCTCTAAGACCAACAGCAAAGGCCCGCAGAGAGAGGTCATATCGTCACTTTTCACGTATAATCCAAAGTCGACAACCACTTCTACCGCTCAGACGCATGAAGAAGCACATGTCGAACCTTCGAATGCCCCTCTCAATTCAGAACTCGACACTTTTACCTCACTTGGTCTGACAGCTAGTCTCGCCAGCCACCTACTGAGCAAGATGAATATCAAGGCTCCTACAGCTATACAGAAGGCTGCTATCACTCAACTGCTCAAGGAAGACTCTGATGCTTTCATACAAGCCGAGACTGGTTCCGGAAAGACTCTGGCTTACTTACTGCCTATCGTGCAACGGATCATGAAGATATCTACAGAAATGAAAGAGGTGGATGGTGCCCCTAAAGATGCTATAAACAGAAAGACAGGGCTATTTGCGATCATCCTAGCTCCAACTCGTGAACTGAGTAAGCAGATCCAAGTTGTGCTCGACAGCCTACTACGTTGCGCTCATTGGATCGTCAGTGGCATCGTCATTGGTGGAGAAAACAAACAGTCGGAGAAAGCAAGGCTACGTAAAGGTGTCAATATACTTGTTGCAACGCCGGGTCGCCTAGCAGATCATCTACAGCATACAGAGGCTTTGGACGCCAGCTGTGTACGATGGCTCGTCCTGGATGAAGGAGATCGGCTAATGGAGCTCGGTTTCGAGAACGATATCCAGAAGATAGTTGGGGTGCTGAACCTACGCCTTAAAGCTGCTGCGGACAGGGTGAAGCTGCCAGGGCTGCCAGCGAAGAGGACCACAGTTTTATGTTCTGCGACCATGAAGGTCAACGTGCAAAGACTTGGAGAGATAAGCCTGAGAGAAGCCATACATATCCAGAAAGATCCAGGAGACAAAGATGCAGATCAAGAAGCAGCCAAACATGCGAAAGAGGACGAGTTTTCTGCACCAGCTCAATTGAAGCAGTCGTATGCTATTGTACCGGCAAAGCTTCGTCTAGTCAGCTTAATTGCATATCTAAAGAGAGCCTTCGAGCGCCGTGGCTCAGTCATGAAAGCCATAGTGTTCATGTCCTGCGCTGATTCCGTGGATTTCCATTTCAATATTGTTACACAGCTTGAGAAGGCCAAACAAGAACACAGACCCCCGGAGAAGGTCACGAAAGAGCAAGTGTTGGGGGAGCAGAAAGATGCTGCCGGCGAAGCAGATGCAGCGCAAGCACTAGACTCAGAGAAAACAACAGAGAAGACACCAAAACATAATCCTTTCGCCAAATTCGTCCAAGGCAAAACCGTTGATCTTACTATTACACATGCTCTCTCAACCCTAGTATCTTCCCAAGACAATCCAGTCACCGCATATCGCCTTCATGGGTCTCTCCCACAAGCCCTTCGTACGAGCACTATCTCGCGCTTCTCCAAATCGTCCACAGCTTCCGTGCTCATCGCTACCGACGTTGCCTCTCGAGGTCTTGACGTGCCTAACGTCGATCTTGTTCTTGAATACGACCCGGCCTTCGCTCGCGATGACCATCTTCATCGTATCGGTCGTACGGCCCGTGCTGGACGCGACGGTCGCGCCTGTGTCTTCCTCATGCCTGGGTGTGAAGAGAAGTATGTAGAGACGTTAGTCCGAGATCGACGAGACACAGACGGCGCGTCACATCTACTTCGACAGACGAGCGAGGATATCCTCAAGCGAGCATTCACGCCGAACAAACCACAAACAAAAGTCAAAGGTCAACTGGAGGCATGGGACGCGCGAGCGACAGAGCTACAGCTGAAAATCGAGCGATGGATACTAGATGCGGGCGACGAGCGACGCTTGGAGGGAGCCAAACGAGCATTTCAAGGACACGTGCGGGCGTACGCGACGCACGTTGCTGCTGAGCGCGATTGCTTCGATATCAAGGAATTGCATTTGGGACATCTTGCAAAAGCGTTCGCGTTGAGAGATAAACCGAGCGGACTCGGTGCACTGGAAAGAAGGGTTGGCGCCGGATCCGCGGCTGGGAAGAAAGGAAATAGGGCAGGTTCAAGGGCCGGTGATGAGAGCAGAACGAAGGCGGACAAGGGCGATGAGGCGGAGCAGGCAGCGCGTAAGATGAGGGAGAAGATCAAAATGCAGAAGATGATGGGGACAGGGGCTGATGAGTTTAATCTTGGTTGAAAAGGTCCTATAATCGAACATGAAACATGAATAGCCATCAAACATTAAATAGTCACTAGAAGCTGACGGAACCGCCCAAAAGAAGATATTTTCAGATTAGCACAGCCTATACAAAACTCATCAGCAATTCTGAAGCCTATGTCTGCTTGCGACTTGGGCAATCATATCCTCTTGGCAGCATGCCCATTCCGACTAATATAATGCCCAGTCCTGTCCCTCCAATTGTTAGCTGTGTGCGTACAGCAATGCATGTAGTGACCTTAGAAGAGCAAGGTGTTGATTATTATCACAGTATAACACACTGCCGGGAAGAGACAGCATCACTACGCGGCAGGTTATAAGCTGACTGTGAAAAGGCACATCTCCAACCGTGCGCCCACGAATCCGTAGTCGTTCTCGAAACAAACGATCACGAAACTATGCAATTGGCGCCCCCGGCCCATGACACACTCGTATTGTGATTCGCGACAAGAAATAGTCTAATGGCCTCCGCCCCATCCCAATCGTGCGGCTCTGTTGGTGGCATCGGCAAATCTGTATGATCATTTGCACTATGCCTCTCTGGGAAAAGACTTGGGGCTAGGCAAGTCTATATATGGAACGCACGTGGGTGGATCATGGTGCAGATGGATGCATGAGGCTGTTCATCGCCAGGGCCAGGAACAAAGTTGCAGATTTTCTGCCTGAACTGGCATTTTGGAATGGTAGTGGCCCCAGAAGTTATTTTAAACTATTGTAATATGAGAATGAGTGGAGTGGAATCAGTGGAGATGCAGGCTTTGGTGTCTAGACGTTGGCAGTTGGCGGATGTAAGCGACAGCGACAATGAGAGTTGAGACTGAGGGATAGAGGGAAGATATAAAAGCGCTGTGAATTCCATATTTGACTGATTCATCCAGAGCATCGAAAAGCAGACCATTCCTTTCTCGCAGCCTTTGTAGACTGCCTGGTCTAGTATCACTTCATCAATACTTCCCACATCCTTATACCATCAAGCAGGACCACAAGATGTTTGGCAGTTTCCCAACCTCGCTAGCCATTCTCGGCCTCGCAGTCGTCCTTGGAAATGCCCTTCCCGGGAAAGAAGAAGACCTAATCAACCTTGGTCTTCCCGAAGGCATGAGCGTCGAGGACTATCTGAACGCCAAGCGCGAAATCAGCAAACGATTCGACCAGAATGCCTTTAAAGATGCCATTCCAGGCTGCCGTAGCGAGGACGATCCATCCTACGCTACCGGGCCATCCAAGTTCAAGGACGGCGAGGGTGTTGCTGTGGGCAGCCATTGTGACAACGGCCTGTACACACCTGCTGTCAATCGCTTCCACTGCTGGACTGACGTATATCTTGTCAACTACCAAGTCGAGTATCAAGACTGGCTGAACACAGGCCTCGTTATCGACTGTGCAACAACATCTTCTTGCAATCAGCAAGTTATCAATATGAACCAATCATGCACTACAAACACAGCCTCCTGGGACAACGCCATCCAGACCCAGATTGAGGGCAAGATCACATTGATCAAGGACAAAGTCGACGCCGGCGCGTCTGTCAGCTACACGCACAACTTCGGCGGCAGCCAGGCCTTCAGCACCTGCAGCACCGTCTCGAATACTGGAACCTGTACTTGGGAAGATAAAGTAAGAAGCATCGAACATCTTTGTCTCTCCCCTCAACCTGTGCTAACATGACTTTTGAAGGGATGTCACGCCATCTGGAAAGCGAAGCGCAACAAGCGCATCTTCGGTTACATGCGTCGCTCATGCAACACACCGCGTGATGGAACCAACATGCCGAACACAGAGAAGCGCGAGGATGGGTATTACACGGTGGGCATGCTCGACTTCAGCGTTGTGGTGCCTGATAATCAGATCATTGGGTGTGCGGCCAAGTGTTCGGACTTAAAGTACCCTGACGAAGCCCCTGGCGGTCTTGGAGAGCTAATTCCAGTGCCTGCGGGTATATAGACGATGGATAGTATGGACGATTTGGTTTAGCGGTATAGATGCCGTTTGTGGTGCTGGCCAAGGACTGGCTGTTTCGGTTGGCGTAGTCGTATTCTGTAATCATATTGTCAGAGTATCTCGCTAGGTTCATGTCCAAATCATTGATTCGGATATATCAGTACAATGATATAGATCTCCCCAAATGAGGCTTTGTCTGGTGCATCCCTTCTCCACGTATGCTAGCTGCCTACGCCTTTCGTATGCTTCTCGGGGGGACCTTACCATCCCAGAGGAAACGTCAATGATGCTGAAGCTCATCTTGAAACTATCACCGATGTACACCGCACTCAGTATTGAGAGGAGACTCATTGACCAAATCGTTGCAGCAATGCTGCTGCCTCTGGAGTGTCGTCAGGCCATCGCATTCCAGTAAGTAGTGGCTCCCATTCGGGCGCAGGATTGTGGTCCGTGCGGTCACGTCAGGAAGAAGCCTTGCCTAAGCCTCATGTTTCCCACGTCCAAACGTTTCAACTCGACGACACACGCGTTTTACTATATCGGCCATCTTGCCTGAAGTACCATCCTGAGCTCTACCATATTTCGACATCTTGCAACCACAGCTACTTGTGGCGGAAAGAGAAGACTGAGTACAGCTGGAAAGGAGAAAGCTTCAGAGCTTAAGAAGACTTGATTGCGAGTCCAAAGCACAATAAGGTTACGCATACTCGAATCTACCGACCCACCAGCACAGAGAAATATTCAGTGATACATCTATAATGGACTTTTCGGACATCTTGTATGTCTTACCGGAGACGCGCATACATGCGACATGTTGCGAGGAAAGCTGATGATCGATAGTCGTATTGTCAATCTCGCTGTGGGCGTGTTCATGATCCTTGGTGGCATCGCACAATTCTTCCCTGTTGGATTGTAAGTCTCCCGACTCGTTGCATTACCGTTTGGGACCAGCAGTGCTTGGTCATGGATGGAACGTGGAAGAGCTCAAGGCGATCAATGTTACGATGCTCAACCACACTGCTATATGCGCCCAGGAGATATGTCGTATCAGTCGCTGACTACTGCACAGTGCCGACATCATCAAAGGATGCTATGTTATCCTCTTCGGTCTCGCGACCGGGCTGTTGGAGTTTCAAATCCCACCTCAGATCGCTAAACATGCCTCATTCATGTTCTCCTTCGTTGGTCGCGGAGTCTGTAAGTGCCAACTTCCCTGGAGCAGAGCCAGATAAACATGATTGACACATTCATAGTTTACATCTTCATCGGCTCCGTTGTTGTCGGTGAGGGCTGGTGGAAGTATGTAGTCGGTGCCATCATTGGCCTTATTGGCATTGGCTACGTTGCCCTCGAATACGTTCCCTCCATCGAACCGCCAGCGAACATGAGGGATGCAGACGCTGGTTGGGGCGCTGAGCAAGTCTAAGTTAGAAACTTAACACTCTGCTGAAAATACCCGATATACAAGCTCAGCTCGGACTCTGTTACCCTCGACAGACTAAGCTTATGAATAGTTGCTGCATTGTCTGCAAGATAAGAACATATCAGGAGTGTATTATATATGGAAGTCCCACTGGGACAAGGTCTGTACATGGATTTTGGAACCTCATTGTAGCGAACTAGCCAACGATGCATACTCTAAACAGTCTGGCTGTCAAACATGCCTTGAGAGCACGGGGTCCAACATCAAGACCTCGTGACAATCAACTACTCTCTTCTGGTTGATTAGAAGTGGCAGACGAGGTTATTTGGCAGAATTCTATCTAAGTGATTGTACAACAGTGTACTGCGCCACGATGTGGCAATTGGTACTGCTGATCTTGGACATTTGTGGCTCTACCGGGAACTTGTGTCGACCATCTCACCTCGCCCATAATTAGAAGCTTGATCGGCATCAACAACCAGCAAAACGGCATGCGCTTGTCCAACCCGGTGGCAAACTTGCTGCTTAATAGTGATAGTCAAGGAGACTGCCATCCTGCGGCATGATGAGTGGTAAGTGGTCTACATCGCAGGCTACCATGGCTGGTGCCTAGTGCTTAGTATACACTCGCATATCATACCTGGTTCTGCGTATAAAGGTTGAGTATTCACTGTATCTGCCTTCGATTCAAATGCCTGGTCTTCTTTCTGGTCATTCACACTCCGCTCCGGTTTCTCGTTCCTTCTACACACAATAGCAACTCTTCCATCATGGCGTCATCAAAGCCCGATAATGCCTTCACAGACTTGCAAAACCACTGTGATGGCAACAGGACTGCCACAGACATAACATTTCTCAACATCCTCAAGAATCGCCATCCTAACCATCACATCACCTCGTACACCCCAGCCAACTGCGACCTTCATGGCTACGCTGCCGCTGGCTTTGCTAAGTCTACTCTTATCGACGACGACGAATCTTTCGCCTTGACCACAAGCTACCATGCTCCGGCCCTACGGCTCGAGCGCCAGCACCATCCGGGCGATCTCAAAGACACGATGCTTCTCGCATGCTGGAGATATGAGTGGACGACCACTGAGTTCTTAGTCTACAACCTGCAGCTTCGTAGCGTTTTCCGTGGCGGACCCGAAATTTATGCTTTTGTCCTCGCACCGCGCAGCGATGGCGCTGTATCGAAGGGCCATAGCACCGCTACTGATAAGTTGATGTTGGCAGCTGGACAGTGGAGTCAGGATCTACACGAGGAAGTATATGTCTTCGATGGCGGAAGCTGGGTCAAGAACAAAGACCTGCATGCGAGCATCCAGACAAGCACCTGGGACGACGTAATCCTTGATGCCTCAACTAAGACCGCGCTCATCGACGACGTAGAAGGCTTCTTCGACTCGCGCGACCTGTACGCCGAGTTCGCCGTCCCGTGGAAACGCGGTATCATCTTCCACGGCCTGCCCGGTAACGGCAAGACAATCAGCATCAAGGCGCTCATGGCCGTCCTCGCTCGCCGTGAAGAACCTGTGCCTTCGCTCTACGTGAAGAGCTTCGAGGGATGTGCGGGCCAACAGATGAATATCCGAAACATATTTGCACGGGCGCGGATCATGGCGCCGTGTCTGCTGATCTTCGAGGACCTGGACTCGCTCATCACAGATGCGACGCGAAGCTACTTTTTAAACGAAGTCGATGGGCTGGAGAAGAACGACGGGATCCTAATGATTGGAAGCACGAATCATCTGGATGCGCTGGATCCGGCGATCAGGGACCGGCCGAGCCGATTCGATCGCAAGTATCATTATCGCCTGCCTGGGTTTGGAGAGAGAGTTGAGTACGCGCGGTATTGGCAGAAGAAACTGGAGAGGAACCCGAGGGTAGACTTCCCAGAAGGTGCATGCGGCGTCATTGCGAGTCTGACCGATGGCTTTTCCTTTGCATATCTCAAGGAGCTCTTCGTAGCTGTTCTCCTTGTCATTGCTCGTGGTGGGACAGGCGAGGGAAAAATTCCAGATACAGTGTCGCCAAACAGTAATGTCCTGGTCAATGAGACTAAGGAAGGAGAACAAGAATCTCCGGCGAACGAGGCTGTCGAGCTCGACGAGAAGCAGGAAGCTGCACGCCTGCGCCGACAAGCATTCTCAAGTGTATCCATCCCGGAAGAACTACAAAACAGCATCCTAGTCAAGGTCATGCGACAGCAGATATACACATTGCTGGAGGAAATGGACAACAATGCGGCGCCAGCTCGGGTCAATAAATCCTCCATGATCTATGTCATAAACAGATAAGCTGACAAGCCACTAGGACCGTATTCCGAGGAAACCAAAACCCACCGCTGCGATCAAAAAGTAAGATCTAGCTTGTATGTAAATCCTCTAGATGTCCATATCAATCCATGGGTACATAGCTTGGCACAACAAGGAAGTGGTAAGCATCTCAATCAAACAGCACACGTCCATTCATTGAGGATGAAAACTACGCCAAATACAGCCACTACTACCCTTCCTACCTCCGAGACTGCCTTTCGATCTATTTATCTATCTAGGTCTGAGAATATAGCTATAGTATACCTAAATGATCTTTTATAGTCAAGCGAAATGAGCAATAACATATACACAACTTTAGTCAAATATGTCTTAACCCAAGATCGAAGAAGCTGTAGTCTAGAGACTAGGACTCTGAAAATTTATGGCACTTCATACTAGACTACTAGCACAACTGTCTGACCGTCAAGCAATGCTCTTCAAAGTGTAACCTATACGAGACCATCAAGAACATCCTGTGATTTCACTTCTCGCAGTACATATACAACCCGCAGTACTACAAACTTCGCCCATGAAAGTCAATAATGCAAACCCGGATAAATATACACGCCCCAAAGATACGCACAGGAAGAGGCGAGACGCACAAGGGGAGCGCGGAAACGGATCCATTATGACACTATTTTTCCGAAACATGAAATCCAGAAGAACGCCATCTGTCTCGAAAACGACAATCGACAAAACGCCAACAGAATAAAGCTTCATTCAAAACCCCTCTGTTCTCACCTGTCTTTGAGGAGAAGAATAAAAGATAAAGAACAAGTCTCGTCTGACCTCGACAGTGCGCTACGACGACACCATTCTGCGCAGAGGCTACGAGGACTTACATGCATCGATCTGCTATCCTGAATCGGCATGTCCTGCGTACGTGCGTGCATATACCTGTATCTGTCTTGGCGTGTGCCTTCCCTACCACCCTGATGACTGACCTGTAAACGGAAGAACCCCCCATGCGCGCGTATGTCGATTGACATGACCGGCTCGGCCACACAGTCTTCAACTAATCTCATGATCTATTCGAACTCTATACTGGACGCGAATGTGTCTTCTTGAACTCGTTTGCTTATTCGTAAGGTAGTGATGTCTTGAGATGTAGTGTGTGTGAATTGTACACGTTCGACACGTTTTGGGTTGAGGTCTCCATTTATGGTGCGTTTTGATGTCATCCAGTCTAGTTCCAATTCATCGTCGTTCGATTATAGCAACGCACATGTGTGCTCCATGGACGGAAATGTGTAACGAGGAACTTCATCTCTCCATGCCTTTCCACAACTGCATTACACTGCTTGTAAAAAATCCGTTTTAAGATATGATCTAACGAAAAGGGTATTATACAAACTACATTTCCGCACTCTTTGGATCCCGATTTAGATAGAAATCCGGCACCTTTGGCACCTGTGGACTCATCTCCTGAGCCTCCCTGCGCACCATCTCCTTACTCCGTTCTCTCTCCTTGGCTTCCGCGTTACCTCCTGTCAACCTCCTTATACCCCTGTTGAATCCTGACCTTGCGCCAGCAGCCATAGGTCTGATCATAGTCTCCAAGAAAAACGGCTTGTCAGGCCCGCCCGGCCGCGCGACGAGCGTCTCATCATCCGAGAACAACTCTTCTGTTTCATCAAGGAATGTACCACCACCGGGAGGTGTACGTTGTGGGAGCGTGCTTGCGGGTGATGTGATGGAGCGCGAGTGCAGACCTGGGCGCGGAGCAGGCGGGCCAACCTGCAGAGCGGCAGCGGTGGAGGAAAAAGCAGTGGGAGTCATGATGGCGGGATCGCGTGGGCCGCGATGGTCAGCAAAGCCCGATTGGAAGGAGGAAACACTTGCGTTGCGCTCGAGGGATTTGTGAAGGATGGGAAGAGTCTGCTGATCGTAAATATTTTCGCGAACGTCAAGCGCGCTATGTGAGAAGGTTGTCACAGGCGAGTGGCCTGGAATGTTGGGCGTGAGATCACCTCCGTCATCATCGTCATCGCCGAAGAAGTCATCTAGACTGTCGAGTTTGAGGACTAGCTCACCCATGTGGCCATCGTCGGGGTGGTGCTCGGAGGTCATTGTTGCGGTGCGTGACTCGGCAGCGAAAGCTGGGCTGAAAGGAGATTCTTCATTGCGGAACTCGATTTTCGGAGTGATAACATGTGCTTCCTCTGAGTTGTCTGCCGGTGCACAAGTCGCCCATACAGCTGAAACATTAGCGCGTGTCTCTAACGAGCGAACAGCAGGCATTGGTATTGACCAGCCGGTTTCCTCTGGAATTCCATATAAGCTGGCTGTCTTCTCGTACTCTTTGCGGAATTCTCTGGTGGTATGCGAGCCAGCCATACTCATTCTCATATGCGCTTTATCGAGTGGTGTCGTCGTACCCGAAATATCCATGACGAGGTCTAAGACTTCCAAGGCGTTGGGGCAGTATTCTGTTTGCAATAGTCGCAGCAGCGGAGAAATAAGATCCGGGCCCTTCGAAACAATTTCAGCTCGACGCATATCAATGTGCGGTATGAGCATACAGAGAAGCTGCATTGTGTTGATTTTGACCCAAGTTAGCTTGGACGCCAGCAGGCTGATGAGCAAAGTCAATACACGGAACTCGAGTTCGGGAAAGAAGGCTGTGCTGAGAGCAGAGACTGCTTGGGCTAGAAAATCGTGCTCGTTGCGGTACCGCTGCGCGGCAAAATGCTCAAGTATAGCGCACAAGTTCGAGTGCCCCTGGGTATTGGCCACTGTGGCTAGCTGCTCGGCAACGAGGGAGGTTGTGTGATATATTTCCCCTGCGTCGAAAACTTGAAGGAATCGAGGAAGATTTGCAAAGATGACAAATGCAAGGCGACTATCGTCCCCAACAAGTTCGTTAGACGGCAAGGTAACAAGACGTTGCAGAAGTCTCAATGTCCGATCGAGACAGACGCTGGACCTTACGCCTTTGTACAACAGCGAGGACAGCCCATCAAACATCCCCTCCCACTTCTCTGGCTTTGCATCGAGTAGAGTTTGCACAGTAGCGGGATCGCTGAGATCCATTTTGTCAAGCAGCTTGTCTAGCATTAACATGCTTTCCATGAATTCGCTCTCGTGGACCGTATTGAGGCATGCACAGGCTGTCCAAAATAGCTGTGGATAGCGGATCAAATCATCCTTCTGCAAATATTCTATTATTTTTCGTATGGTGATAAGGATCTCCATCGTGAAGATTTGGAGCTCGTTGGCATCGTCAGAGATTGTGTTTGATAAGCGGGCGAATATATCGGCAAGCATTCCCTGATCAAGGAAGCTGAGAATTGAGCGGAAAGCCTGTATGGATCGGCAGGCCAGGTGACGAACATGACAGGAAGTCGCCCAGTTCAGAGTGACTTTACCCCATTCTTCTTGGATGCCTGGGTACTTGATATCGAAGACCCTGACTACTTCATTCGTGACATAATTCATGCCTTCGGGTATCCGATCATGAGCATTGTCTTCTTCACTTTTCCCGTTATTCGCTTCGTAAGCCCATATCAGACTGGCGTCGCTTCTGCGGATTGCTTCAATGAAGTCTTCAATAGGCCTTTTATCGACATACTCGTCACCATCTTCGATCTTTGAAAGCACCTGTTCGTGAATGAGGTGAATCAACATCTCGCGGGCTTGATCTTGAACGAGTGGGATATGGTAGTCCCAAAGAATGATGATTACCTCCAGGAGAAGCGGTATGTGCTCCCGAGCAATCTGAACAGGTGGAACTACAAGATCTACCAGCAGAATGAGGCACAACATACCGAGAGTGAAATTGTACTGCTTGCTGCTACTCGGTAGTACAGCTGAAAGATCGGCCATATAAGGTAACGGAGTGATCTCAAACGGCGGGGGCATTGCTTCTTTCTTCTCGAATAGCATAGCTCTGGGGTTTATTTGGAGCAGCAGAAATTCTACGACCTTCGAGCCTGCCGGCGTGCTGGAAAGATAGACCACGATTTGCCTTGCATAGTCTACAAAGTTCTGCTCTCTCTTTTCAAGGCACAGAAAGATGAAGAAGTCGAGAATGAGTTGAACGTTGCCGGCATGCGGTCCGGTCGCAAGCGCTTGCCACAATGCCTGGATCTCGTTGTGGAGAGCATTACCAGAACGTACAGTGATCTCAAACATATTTGATAAAATCATGTAAGAGCCGACAGCAGGACCGCCACTAGGGTCTAACTGTAGCTCGATAGTCTGAATCCAGGGTAACATAGCGGCTACCATGTTGCGCTGGTGGTCTGGTAATAGCGAATTGAAATGACTGGAAAATTCCGAAAACACATGAAATGCGAGATCCGGATGCGTCAGTGCAAGCCTCCTCGATGCCTGGAACTGAGCGTCTTTGTACACTGCGATCGTTTTGTCGGAAATGCTGATGTCGAGTTCTTGTAACTTGGAGTTCCTCCCGTGCCGCTCCTCCATTATCCGCAATAAGCGTAAAGACTTGGCACGAAGATGATTATTCTCGTGGCCTAGAGTATGAAGACCGGCACTCAAGACTTTCCAGAACGGGAGCGAGATAGTATCGTTCTCAAACAGGACTTGGGTTACAACCTCGAAGTAGCTCTCCAGTGCTTTCGAGGAAGTAGCCATGTAGCACTTGTCTATCATCAGGGACACCAGTCGGGGATGATCAGCATTATGTATGATTAGATTGTTCAGAGCTTTCCGTCCCGTCGCTCTGGTTCTATCGCTTGCATCATTGAATATCATCTCAATCCAGGAAAGTATTCGCGCAAAGTCGAAGGTGAGTGTGACTTTACTGTCAGTCGTGATGCTGAGAGGACCTCCACATAGCGCTGCCATGGCACTTAAGGCTGCAGTGCGGAGATTCCGCTTCTCGATTTCCATGGCCGCCGTTGCAATTCCCTTGTTCGTCAAGTCGTCTCGATCAAGTACAGAACGCCTCATCTGGTCCTCGCGCTGTCGTACTTGTGATGGGTTGGGTGAGAAACCACACCAATCCTCCATCAAGGAGAACGCAGCTTTGCGAGCTTGAAAGGGCATCCAAGATAGTGGATCCGCAGTCTTGTTGATGCCTTCAAAGAGCTCCTCCATCAGTCCACAATAGTGAGTCCGTAGCTTCTGGAATTCCCACTCAGCCTGGACTTCAGCATCATTAAGGAATAGTCGTAGGTCCTTCGCGTATGTGACGAGATTGACCAAGATGTCTGGGTCGTTGCGGATGCTCGGCTCTTCTAGAAACCGAGCTGTAAGTTTGTAGACATGAGTAATTTCTGTACGAAGGTGATCCGTTCGTCGACTTCGGCGTGGGCTACTCATTGTACGTTGATGCGGTGCCAAGCGTAATTTCGCCTCTTCACTGCAAGTTGTAACGTGACCAGCGAGACATTCGAGCAGAGTGCGGTAGATCTGGACGTTTATTGAGCCAAGGCCGATGACAGCAGCTTCTCGAATAGATGGATTAGAGGCTGATAAGAACGGAAGCACTCGAGCAAACAGTTCATCTGCAGTCTGAACCTTGTTGGAGCTCTTTTGGGACGATCTCGAACTCTTCCTAGTATGCTGAGACACCAGAACAACAGTGTTCTGAGGGCCACCGATGCTCATCATGGTCGTGCACGCAAATATGAGGTATAATTTCCATTGCTCGATCACCAATTCCGGAGAGGTACTGGCCAGCCTATTGACGCTCCTATTGGCCCCAGGCTCGAAGCCAGGATATGGACTCGCTCTTTGGCCGTCCGCTAGAGTTGCAATCGTGCGCTGCAGCTGAATCAGTCTTCCACATACAATGTCTCTCGTCAGGGCAGCTGTAATTTGAGATAGCTCGAAGCACATCTTGGCCAGATTTGGGAAGACTTTGAACCATAGAGTGAAATCATAAGTCGTCTCGCTGGTACAAAGCTCGATTAGGGTGCTGTGCGAGTTGCTCTTTCTCATGCCCCTCTGTAAGCGACTCCTCTCTGCCAATGACAACTTCTCATCGTGGACATTGAGAACTTTGTCGGGACTTCCTTCCATGAGGAGGATTATCCTGGCAGTGTTGCTGAAATTGAGTGCCGTATCGAACTCTGTCACAAGTCTCAATACTTTGATAGCGTATGATCGTACTCTTCTCGCAGGCGAACAGAGAAAGAAAAGTCCATGTGACTCCACTTCATCCGCATGATGACTGAGTGCTGTCTGGTCTAGTCCAGCACCACGTTTGCTAGCGACAAAATCGTCGACGGATGCGTTGGCGACTTTTTTCTTTTTCGAACGAATGTCTTCGATCCAGATCTCTAGTAGCTCTACATACAGCTTTAGGGTATTCTCAATGTGAGCAGGGCCAAGCATGCCACCGTCGGACATGGTCGAATACCTGTCATCGAAGTTGAAGATGAATCTGGCGAAGCCAAGTGTCACAAGCTGAGCGTACGACAAATGGTGCGGATGAGCTTGACGAGCGATCGCTTTAAGTGATTGTGCTGACGATTGTGCAATGTCTTTCCGGACATGAGCGGTCCCGGTGCACAGTAGGTTCAATACAACGCTGAATTGAGTTTGGGACGGAAGGCAGCGCGGCAAAGCCTGGACAGATACATGTAGTAGATCGTAGAACCCTGCGCGGAAGTCAGGAGAGTTTTGATATTCATCGCGGCGCGTAAAGTTAAACGCTTCTGCCATAGGCGTCTTTGGAGTCGGTACTGCAAACTTTTCGTCTAAAACAGCTTGACCTCCAAACGTGACATCGCACATTACTGCAATATCTCCTAGAATCCTGCAAAATCGAGCATATGACTCTTTGGCGATTTCATCGAACTCGGTCAATATGACAGGTCTAGAGAGTCGCTCCTCTTTCACAAACGATGATTTGGGAGGCATTACAACTGGCGGCCTGGGGCTGTTTGGTAGTGAGGGCATTTCGGGAAAGCCAGTGTAAGGGTCGCTATCGAAGGATGTTGGAAAGGGGGGTTGTTCTCCTTTCTCCAGATCACCCATGATGGCAAGAAAAGCTCTGATTCCTATCACCATTCTTTCGGGTTCTAAAGATTCAACGCGCAGATACTTTTCTGATGAGATCTGATCTGCATTCATGAGAGGGAAGATGATAGTCCGAAAGCAGTAGTCCTGGTGCCGGAATCCGATGAATCGGATGAGTTGTATGATTGGCTCTGCAATCATGGGCTCCGTGGACAGATAGGACCGCTTCCCTGGCACGAAGACCATGCGAATGATCTCATCTAGCTTCTTCACTGCCGTATTCGAGGAATCCGTGCCAAGACGGTAAAGATATGTCCAGACAAGACGACAAATGCTTCTCAGCGAGATTGCGCGCGAAGCACGCTCTTTCAGGCGAGATTGGCACGATAGTGCAGCAGCGAGCCACTGTGAAGCGAAGAGATCTGCAGGTGCCGTACAAAGCATGGCAGCTTGTAAAGGATATGCTTCATGCCAATGTTTGGGCTTCGATATCAGATTAGAGACTCGCGGTCGCAAGATCTCGAAGAATGCTCGCCATTTAGGTTCATTGAACTCTAGCTTTGCGCGAGCGGCTACCGGAAGAAGCAGCTCCTTGAACAGTTGGCAGTATGCGTACTTGACAGGCTGCCCGTGCGCATCTGCGAAGAATCTTCCCAGCGCAGTCATGAAGTCGCATGATCTATGCCATTTACTCTCGGAAGACGTGTCAAGCCTAAGATACCTCATACCCTTAATGAGGAGTGCTGTACCTTTGACGGAGAGACTTGGCGAATTCAAAGATTCCAAGTATCGTCGTGAGACACTCCCAACATTAATGGAATCCATGACTCCTAGAAGCTGACCGAATATCACCCAATTAGCATGTCGTAAAGGAGACTCTTCGAGCGATTCCGGATCTGCTTGAGCTAATTGTGCGAATATGATGTCCTCGAGCCGGCCCGCCATGTCAGGCGTGATGGCATCTAAGGTAGTTTGTCCAATGATCTCCATCAATACTCTGCAGAGGATGTATATCGAGACAGTCGACCTACGCTCTGCTTGTATCAGAGCTAGTTGGCGTTCTGTGGCTTGCTCAGAGATCAGTGCAATGGTATTTGTAGGACTGGTAGGGTCGGGGTTGCCGTTGACAGGCTCAGTATTGCGTCGAGCTAGGCCATTGAACCCGGGAGTATGTGACCGTGGCATGCGGTTCTAAACAAATCAGCTTCCTTCGAGTTCCCTAGCTCTACAGTACTGACCAAATCATTCTTGGCTTGAATGACTTCTTCAGCCTTGGCCTTGCGCCAGAACATCAAAGTATCTGTTAATGGTTTTGGCTTCTGTCGTGCGATATGACCAAGAGCAGATATCAATTGATCAAAGTTCTGATCCACACCAGGCCCACAGATAAGTTCAACTCGAGGTTCGGGCTTGCTGGGCTCACTAACACAACGATTGATTTTTTGGTCAGCCTGTCCCACGAAGGCGTTGAAGAGATGATGTAAGGCATATTCTCCCACAGTCTTTAGATCCTGCGAAGGATGCGATCTGGACTGCGACCGATTATGCGCATCGCGCTTAGTCCTGCTACTTAGCATTCTTTCTGGTCGTCGGTGACTTGTAGGTGCATGTTCTGCAGTCGGTAGCGACGCCTGGTGTATATGTTTTGATGTTCCATTCTGTCCAACTATCGAACCAGTCACCATGTGGTGGTCTCTTGCTTCATCAATGGCCATAGTCGGGCCGTCAAAGGCGCTGAAAGATCCTCCACCAGCAGCAGCAATCATCTGCGGACTCAGAGGACTGGTCGCTGGTGAATTCACGAAGCTTGTATTGCGCGAGTGTTGTATGCCATGCACGATGGAGGTGTTGCGGTGGTGGCCATAGGAAATGGACGGTTTGCGCTCGATACCGCCACTGTCAGGACTTGGGCCAGCCTTTGAACTCGTCGCGACGGGCGTCCGTGCTCTGGGAGAGGCATTCCGTGAGGAGGAGGTGAGTGCGCGACCTCTATTCACTACTGGTTCGTGTGCGGGTATAGAGGGGACCGGGGGAACGGACGAGACGGACTGTAGCTCCGGGTGGTGCGACGCCCCTCCGGCATGTTGTCGTGCTTGCGATGGCAGGGAAGCAGCTAGTGAACGGACGTGCGAAGGTCAGCCTGGCTATACAAGTAGAAGTAATAGGGAGTGGTTTGGTATCATGTTGACATTGCTTCAACTGTTTCGACTGTGGACAGCCGGGATGATGGGGTGCCATGCAGGTGCGTGGGGCTTCGAATATCCCTCTTGAAAGAGCTTGGAGTAGAAAGTAGAAAGCAGTTCAACTCACACATGCCGCCGAGAGGACTGTCTTCATCTGTGCCGGTCGCGTTGGTCTATAGAGACGAAGGCGAAGAGAGCGTTGAGGGAGTCATGTAGAAGGCGAATCTGAAGGTCGATTGAGGTTGTCGAGGAGCAAGATGCGAAAGGAAAAGCGGTGGTAAACGCCTATTGGAATGACTGACCTTCACAGTTCAGTTTGACCAGTAATTACCAGTTCGCTGTTGTATTCAGAAAGGTTAGGGTGCTGGCGCTGGTCGAAGCGTCCTCCCGCTTGGACAAGGATGGATAAGGATGCCCGGTATTAACTAATTAACGTTGCTGTGTACCCGCCCTCCGTGCTGGAGTGCAGCAAGTATCCACTAGCCCTCCTAGGCCAGGTGAGTAGCATATACTAGTCTCTATCTAGAATATATTAGAACGATGTAAAGTAATACTTATGTAGTAAATACTATTGAATAGTGAACGAATGTTCCCTAAGTTTAGTAGTATCTTAGAGAGAGCTATGGTACTACTACTACAGCCCTATATAATTGGCAGAGTCACATAATTTCTATCCTCCAAGAGAGTACGAATAGTTTCCTATACTTTTTCTCTTTCTTCCACTTTAGTAGAGTGTATATATATATATCTATTTATCATATTAATCTGGCTAATCTAATGATTTTCATGATTCAATAAGACTTATATACGAGATAGCCCAAGAGGACTACAGTATGTAATATGTAATTACGGGCTCCATATTAGCACGGAGGGCTGGTAGGTGCCTCGGTGCCTGGGGCTTCACTTAGCCCAGTGATAGATTTCGCAGCACATAACACGTAACGCATCAGGCATCAGGCATCATGGTCTTTGTCGTTGCAAAGGGCTGGATGTTTGTGACTCTGCGGCCATATGGCGTGCAAATACATCGCCAACAACATTCTGCCTCCCCGAGAGCTCACAGCTTGTATCGTGACACTGATTCGGGCGCCGGGACGACGCAGTACATCAGGTAAGGCAGCTTGAAACCTCTGTACACTCTGCTACGGCATATGGGTGCTGTACTGCGGATGGGTTCGTAACAAGCCCGAGTGCGGCCCATGTTATCGAGCCCAACTGGAACATAGAGACCCCCCAGGAATACAAGGGCACGTACATTAAGGTCGATAATCAGGTGTACGCTGAGACTACCCAAGGCGTCGCGTCCTTTTGGAACGCCAATTTTCAGCTCTTTAAGATGGAGGTAGATAGGCGTTGCGTCCACTGCTTCACCAGAGCTGTGCATAATCGAGGTCTTGGAGACATTCTAGGTAGTCATACAACACTCGGCTAACACGATATTAGCATGGCAAAGGAGCATGGATTAGGTTTGATAGCTTGCGCGCGAGACCTAAGAGGCTGTTAACAGTCAAGGTTGGTGGCCTTTGGCTCAAATAATCATTTCTTTTGAATTTTGTATCAGTATGGTCGGAGACTCGTGCTGTCGTTCGGCCATCTTTTCGGGATCCGAACGCGTCGGTCCGCAACCTGCATTTGCGGAGGATTCTTGCAGGCAACGGTAACTCCATCACCTTTCCATTCGCACTATGGACGTGTAAATGTTACCTGCGGCTGACGGAAGAAGCCCACAGTCGTGAGTGCGATGGTCAGGAAACATCAAGTCGTAATAGAAAGATTAGATCCACGCGACAACGCAACGGTCACGGCAACGGCGCATGTCATCAGTGAGTTTTACTTTGCCGAGGATAATAGGCAGTGGTAGTGGTAGGCGGGTATCAGCCACTTTCCGAGTACGAGTCTACGAATCCGCACACCTGCATGCACCACGGAATATCTAATTATCTATCTGATCCATGAGGTCCATCCGGTACTTCGTGCTGCGCCTGTCTAGTCAAGGTGCTCGAGCTGTGTATCCGTTGTATCCGTTGTATCTTGCGTGTTGTTGCGTATAGCGTAGCGAGATGTTACTGTGGAATGAATAATTACACATTTAATAGGTTTGGGTTCGTTTACGCTCGTGATGGATGGTTACATGGAATTAGGATACTCTGCATGCCGTCACTCCAAGAGATTGTCATGTGTATGCTGTGGTGTGAGCAATATTGCTGGGTGGGGACTGGGCGGTATGTCTCGTATGTAGTGTAGTGTATAAAGCATACGCATACCTACAGTCACTCTACAGCCAACCTGTGGGTGGGCTGAGTGATCACTGACGAGAGAGTCTTGAGAACACGGTAATCAGATCCGTCGCCCCAACTTGAAGTGTGTAGTGTAAATACGAGGTCAGGCCGCGTCTCTGGTGCCGCCGCCGACGGCTTCTCCAGCGCCGAAAACAGCCCACATCGTCACTAATTAACCTTAGCTGTATTCTTCCACATCCGTCCACTTTGATTCCCGATCCTCTTTCTCTTGTCTGTGTAGACTACTTGTCCATTCTCTCCTGCATTCAGCCCTCTCTCGCCAGATATTCCCTTGCTTCTACGATCTAGGCATTTTGTCATCCTTACCTGGACCTGTCCAGAGACATCCTTGGTACGCTCCTCCCATCGCGCTCATCGCACTCCGGCCCAGACTCACATGCTAATACTGCTCATCAGAGCATTGGGCGCACTTGCCCCAGCAATAACACCATGGCTCAACTCGATACTCTCGATCTGATCGTGCTCGTCGTCCTGGCACTTGCAACTGTCGCCTACTTCACCAAAGGAACATATTGGGGTGTGCAGCAAGATCCATATGCCAGCTCCTTCGCCAACGGCAATGGCGCCAAGGCCGGGAAGTCGCGAGATATCATTGAGAAGATGGAGGAGTCGGACAAGAACTGCGTCGTATTCTACGGCTCGCAGACTGGCACAGCCGAGGACTATGCCTCGAGGCTTTCGAAAGAGGGTTACCAGCGCTTCGGCTTGAGAACCATGGTTGCTGATCTCGAGGATTACGACTTTGAGAACCTCGACAAGTTCCCCGAGGACAAACTCGCAATCTTCGTTCTGGCTACCTACGGAGAGGGTGAGCCTACTGACAATGCCGTCGAGTTCTACGAATTCATCAACGGCGAGGACCCCTCTTTCAGCGAGGCCGAAGGTGATACCCCTCTCAAGAATCTGAAGTATGTTGCCTTTGGTCTTGGCAACAACACATACGAACACTACAACTCCATGGTCCGCAATGTCAACAAAGCTCTCGAAAAGCTGGGCGCTACAAGAATTGGTGAAGCTGGCGAAGGTGATGATGGCGCTGGCACCATGGAAGAAGATTTCCTCGCCTGGAAGGAGCCTATGTGGTCAGCTCTGTCTGAGAAACTCGGGCTCGAAGAGCGTGAGGCAGTTTATGAGGCAGTATTTGATGTTCAGGAGAAAGCCGACATTGATGCGAATGCCGACCACGTTTATCTAGGAGAGCCCAACAAAAACCATCTTGAGGGTCAATCGAAGGGTCCTTACGGCGCGAACAATCCTTACATCGCACCAATCTCCGAATCTAAGGAGCTGTTCAAAGCGAAGGACCGAAATTGTTTACATATGGAAATCGACATCGCTGGCTCCAACCTCTCATACACCACTGGCGACCATGTTGCGATCTGGCCTACAAATTCTGGAAAGGAGGTCGACAGATTCCTCAGCATCATCGATCTAGATGTGGATAGACGTCACACAGTCATTGCTGTCAAAGCCCTCGATCCAACCGCCAAGGTACCATTTCCATCACCGACAACATACGAAGCTGTTGTGCGCTATCACATGGAAATCTGCGCCCCCGTTTCTCGTCAGTTCGTAGCCGCTCTCGCCCAGTTCGCACCAAATGACGACGTCAAGGCCGAGGTCACAAAGTTGGGCGAAGACAAGGACTACTTCAACGCGCAGGTCTCCAAGCTGCACCTCAACATCGCGCAGCTCCTCGAAATTCTATCCAAGGGTGAGAAGTGGACCAAGGTCCCTTTTTCGTTCTTCATTGAAGGTATCCACAAGATCCAACCACGATACTATTCTATTTCTTCCTCGTCCCTCGTTCAAAAGGACAAGATATCAATCACAGCCGTAGTGGAATCCTCTTCAGCCCCCAACGCACCTCATGTATTGAAGGGAGTAACTACCAACTACCTCTTGGCCCTCAAGGAGAAGCAACATGGTGTCGAAAATCCCGAGGTCAACGGTCTCAATTACGCAATTACCGGCCCGAGGAACAAGTACGACGGCATACACGTCCCAGTCCATGTGCGCCACTCGAATTTCAAGCTCCCCTCAGATCCCTCGAAACCCATCATCATGGTTGGTCCTGGTACCGGTGTCGCGCCTTTCCGCGGCTTCGTGCAGGAACGTGCTGCACTTGCAAAGAAGGGTGAGAAAGTTGGGAAGACACTCCTCTTCTTCGGCTGCCGCAAAAAGGCTGAGGACTTCATGTACGAAGACGAGTGGAAGGTAGGTCACCCCAAACACATTCTTCCTTAGGGCACATCACTTAACCCGTCATACTAACATGGATAAGCAATACGCCGCCGATCTTGGCGACTCCTTTGAGATGCACACTGCCTTCTCACGAGACGGCCCTGAGAAAGTCTATGTACAGCATAAGATTAAAGCAGTCGCAAAAGAAATTAACGAGCTGCTACAACAAAAGGCTTACTTTTATGTGTGTGGTGACGCCGCAGTTATGGCGCGCGAGGTCAATCAGCTCCTCGGCAAGATCATTTCTGAACAACGTGGGATTCCGGAGCAGAAGGGTGAAGACGCTGTCAAGGCAATGCGTGCGAGCAACCAGTATCAAGAAGATGTATGGTCATGAGCGCGGCTTCAATGAGTCCGTGAAACTAACACACAGATTTTTGGAAACCCTTTTTCTGCAGCATGTCGCGTAGTGTCGCTCTAGTAATTTGATGTCTCTGATTGATGAAAATGGGACTATGACGGTTCTGCTTAGTAAGAAAGTTTGGTCTTGAGTCGAGCTGGAGAGGCGTAATGAATATATGCGCCCTCGAGATACAGCAGTAGATGTAGTAGATAGAGCGATTCTCCGCTTGTTCGGCTAGCATATAGAATTTTCAATTTACCCATCGTACAGATTCATCGGATCGTGCTAGTTCTGTATGAAAACCTGACGCGCTTCGGTTCACAAGACTGAAGTCTGTGGCACTGGCTAGACCAAAATTATATATGCCAGCTGTGTATATGTACTTTACCCTCGGAAGTCTGTTAATTTTTGTGTTCCTCCCGTATAGCATATTGTCTAATCTCTCTGAATGGTATATCATTATAAAAGTCTCCGAAAGATGAACGTCTGTTTGGCTCATACAGTGTGAGTTTCGACAAATATAGGTATATCTACAATACTTATAAACCTATGCCTGAACTGCAAGTTACCCGTATTCGAAGCGCACGTCATATACCCCTTTATAAGCCATCTCTATCGTATACGTCGGTAACCGACTTCCGGCTTCGGCATAGGGGCATGGATGTACTCCGTTTGGACTGTTGTTTGGCTCCGTACGTGGATGGGGACTGAGGATGTTAGTGCCTCATGGACGTAGTTCTGTGGTGTCTGTCAACACTTTTGCTTGTTGTCCTCAAGGGCTCAAGAGTGGCATATGACTATAGCGCGGAGCGATCTTTGCCATGTTTAGGTTTCTGTAAGATTCGCATGCGTTGGAATCATATTTGGGGGAGCTGACGCGATACATAGTAGTGCTCTTTCTTGTTGATACATGTATGGGCTGTAGTCCGATACCGTAATTCTGTGGTTTCCATGGATGTCTCGTTGTGTACGTGTTGTTTTCAGACTGATGTGGTTATCCAACATAGGCTGTCAGATCCATACTGTGCTCTGTACAACGCATGATTTGGTAGTGCTTGTCAGACGAGATTATGGTAGTCGTATGTTCGGTGAGCATTTGGGAATCGACAAATCGCAATCCGCAGATTCTATGGGGCTTTGTTCCTGGGTTTGAGAGATGCTGTGGATGTAGGAGGCTCATTCTGCACTAGGGCGATGTACGTATGCTTTGAGGAGTTCGTGGGCGTTTCGTTTTGTCTGTTCTTTGTGGGTTTGGCTGGCATAGGATAAGAAGCCTGAGGGATAACGCATGTTTTCTGCGTATTCAGAGAACTTCTGAACGTGTAACAAAGTTAGCGATTGTCATGAGATATGAAATAAATGCTCAAGATGGGTTTGCAGATGTGTGATGAGATTGATCGTTGGTCTAGACTGGGGATCGTAGCCGTGAGCTTTATGGTGTCCGTTGACAAGCTTTGGCATCTTGTGGAGGCGATGCAGGACAAGAAGAGGCAAGAATTGGTTTTAGTTCAAGCTAGAATCGTACGCATCCCTATACATCCGGACGCCCCGTCCCTCGGTCGATCGCTGGCTCTTGAGGAGTCTGTGTCCGTGTACTGTCTCCGAATATACTCCTTCAAACTATAATTTCAGTTGGGGGAGGGGATATTCTGACGCCCAGAACGAGTAGATAAGGCCACGAAAGCAAAGGTAGGATTGTTGAAGGACTTCTGTGCACAGTAGGAAGCTGGTGGCCGAGTTGATGCTGAGGATGGGAAAGCATCCATGGTTCCTGGAAGGCTTGGATCAACCACTTTTTCCATAGCGTCAAATGGTCCTAGACGATCTCTTCATGGTCCCTCAGACCTCGAACATAAACCCAAGACCGATTCCGCGGTGCCAACGAGTCCGTACAGAAGCTCATTGTCTCGAGTCAAATCGCCATCACGTATTGCGATGCATCCGAGAAACAGCCGCTCCGACATCCATGAAAGTGCGCCCCTTTCACTCTTGAGGTTCTCCAGACGCGGATGTTTACCATGACACCAAAGCCCTCCACAACATACTATCGTCCTAGATGGTGCTCTTTCTCCCAAATTTAGAAGGCATCGTATGGGAATGACATCATGGTAATGCTGACCTGATCCGAGACGATCCTGTGCGGACGCATCTCTTGGTACACCCGTTGGCTGCGCCTAGCTATTCTGTGAGACATCATCAACACTGCGGCTGCATGACGCATGTCTTAAACACTTCTGGTCGATATGACACTACCTTCTAGGCTCATCAGAATACTGAGACTTATCCTATCAGAGTTTGAACACTGGTTGCTGCTGCCGCAGTTTTGCTAACCATGAGATTCGTAGGTCGACCCCATCTGAAGACCTCATCACCTATAAGACACGGCGGCTCATTCGTATTGTCGATGTAATACAGTGGAAATACATGGCATGCTATGTCTGTGCCGATATACAATACAATCCCTCAACATCAAGGCGTGGAGGGTGATCAGGACCAGTACCCGCGATCCGACATGTACAATGTCCGGTTTAGAACCTTGATAGTCGAATCACCATAGAGACAAGTGTGGAAGGACCCAGGAATTCAACATCTGGATCGTACTGCCCTAGGCATGAAGCCTTAGAAGCTGCAACATTATTTTGCCTGGAAGGACCTTGTGAACCTGCCGGACTTGATGCCATTCCCACTCATTGGAGTGATGCTCAGGAGAATGATGTACGGACTTGGATCCACCAGAGTTATTGGACAGGACACACTTTTGTGGACTTTCATAGGTCTGAAAGATGTGTTTGCATGAAAAGAGCTAGGGGCATTGGTTGACCAACGGCTTGTTGTGGCATTGGCACATCGCACAGCATCACTAATTGCTTGGAGACGTCGTATGACCACGGCTTGCATGGACCCTCCAAAGTGTGCTACATTTCGGCTTATGCATGCGGTTCGAAAAATAAATCATGGTGCTTACGACATCCCGATATAAAGATTTATCGCAGCTGCACAAATCTTCCGTCTGTCTCATGACTTTGATCCTTGCTACTGTCGCATATACGACAAGCATCATGAAAATGGCCAGCAGCTTCTGAAAGTCCACCATCATCGTGGAGGTGATGTTAGATGGGCTTCCGACTGCGCGACTGTGGCAGGCCCTGGCGTTGTTGAACTTGCACCAACGTTTAGGCTCATCCATGTGCTTAGGGTGCCCAGGGAAAGCTGCGGGGTTCAAGACGGACTTCTCTTTGACCCCTGACCGCCGCTTTGACTGAATATACTCGCGCCCTGTTACTCGACACCCACACTCGGTACAGGATGTCTGAGCGGGCTGTCGCTCAAAATGCTCTGAGGCTTCGTTGGCCATCGACTTTTGTGGTAGACCAGCGCCGTCAGATCATCCATTCGAACTATTGCTGAGCGCTAACCCTCGATTGTAGAGCCTGGAGTATAACAAAACTATGCGCAAGCATATGAGCGGCTTGTTTGAAAAAAACTGGGCGAGCGACAATATGTTAGGTCCACAGTGGTAAGGATGGTCGTCGAATTTTCGTCTATGTTTTACGTCTCCTGTTCTATACGAACAGTAAGAATACTACTCCTCGCCTCAGATTGTTCACTTTTGCGATTTGCACAGGCTCGGATACTCGCCCACAACACAGGAAACCACGAATTCTGTGGAGATGTTCCCATGTCCTCGGAATCCAAAAGCTCCAGATCTAGTATCCCCTTCATCCAGTCTGCGCTCGGCTCTTTCTTGGCCTTGCTTTTGCGCGGCATTCCTTGGTTTGCCGTTGGCACATCAGCCATGTCCTTTTTGCCAGTTCTATTGGTAGGTTCTGTCTTCTTATCTTTTTCGTCTCTTCTGTGTCATTCTTTCTGTCGAATCTTTGCTTTAAACACCTGGCAATTCCCTTTTTGTTGGCCCTCCTTGTCATACTTTTAGTCTTCCTTCGTATCCTCTACTCGGTCATCGTACTTTTCAGGAAAGCCGGCATCGAACGCTGCCTTGAATTCACCCTATGGCATTCTGCCTGTGTGGTGGGTGCCAAAGGTTAGCTTCTGCTATGTCGATCGTTTCCAGACCTTGTAGCTGCGTTACTCAATATCTGTCGCACAGCTGCAGTGGTCCTTGGGAACCAGGAACGGCCTGAGCAATGCTCACCATTTCCCTCCGCCTACTTTGTCGCCAACAGCATTTTGTAAGCCTAGCAAGTACAGCGAATCACACCGTGTCAAGGCATTCTGTGTCGTTGAGCTTGACTCGGCTCACGTTCCGAGCCCCGACCCCTGGTCCAATGAACGCATTGAGAGCATTGCGACTGTATACAACCGAAAGCCAAGGCCGTTCGATGTTAGCTGGGCAAGACTGTCCAGTTTCGACGGTACCATCAGAACGTTGGTGCGTGCAGAGTCAGACGGGGTATCGAACAGACTGATCTGGAAAAATAGCAAGGCGTAACGAAGTCAAGAGGAGGTCGTGCTACACAATGCGAAGATTTGTGTGGTTTGTGAGCATTTCGTGCAGCAAGCAGGGGATCCGTGGGGTGGATGGATGTGGCCGCAGCCTCACCGTCTGGTCGAAGCTCGCCGCTCATGTTACACGTGCGGACAGCCATCGTACCCCATCATAATCACTCGTTGAGACATATAAGGAGCTCGGCACCCAAGTGGGCGAAGAAGGCTTTGCTGCAAACTCTGCTATTCTCTCACAGGGCCAGGCTGGAGTTCTATCGATTATCATACAGCTATTCCGCGAATATCATTACGGGCAACATCCGCATTTCCCACCCCCGCAAGACTCGGGAGGCGTCAATATCAAGATTCACACGCAACTCTCCAGTGAAATTTGGTGCATCATTACCGCCATCTGTATCCTGCTGCATATATCTGGACGTGCTCCATCGCTGTCGCCGTCGGCCCTCGAGGAAAGAAGCATTCATTCATTCAGGGGAAAAGAGAATACACTGGCACCTTCCCTCGCTCTCCCTTCGTAGTCTCTCAGTGCAGCGGACATCACAACAGAAAGCTCGGCCCGCAAGCTAGCGGTCTTCCCATTTATAAACGCTCTTTCAATTTCTCGTTCCTCTTTCTCTTCTTCTTGTTCTTCTTCTTCTCCCTCAACACCAACACTTCTACCAGTTCCATCCGCTCAGAGATTGCCAACATTCTTTGTAGCTTTTGACTTCAATACGCTCATCTCTCTTCTTTCAGCTGCATCAGCTTTCTTAGCTGGCCCTTGCAATTGACTATCTCAGTCTTTGCTGCCGCCCGATCTTCAAGCCAACATCCTCAGCGATCAGAACTTGCGTAAAGGTATGCCTTCTCACAATTCATTTTGGTCCAGCATCACTCCCTATGAACGGATACCTGTTTGAATACATTATCACGTCTGCCTTGCGAATTCCTTCTTACTGCAGTCACGGCTCAAGACAGCATGTGTGCATGACATGCTGACAATCATGTAGCTCACACGGCTTCAGCTACAGAACAATCTTCCTCATTTTCAGCCCAGTACATCAACTCTGCAACGTGAGTTACATTCGTATTTATCGTTACAGCGTTTACTTCTCCAATTTCTTTCTATGGCCTCCTGGCAATGTGCACCAATTTGCCCCTTCCCCTACACCCCCCCTCCGGTGAGCTCTGGGCTCATCACTAAACCTGTACCATACTATCGTCGACTCTTCTGTCCTTCAACATCTCCTTCTTTTTATCGGACTTGGCGATGTTCTTATGTATCAAGCTAATTTGCATATAGGTCATCATGTCCTCAGCCAAAGATCAACGCATGGCGGCTTATGCGAACCCCATCAGGGGCCATGGCATGGGTAGCTTCGCACGAGGCGGCACCTTCCTCCCAAGTGGGCCTCATCCGGGGTATCACGGCGGCGATGCTCACATGTCTACTCTCGCGAACGGTATGGGTGCTATGAACCTCCACCACGTTGCCTCCTTTCCTTCAGCAGGCCGTCCTAATGGAAACGTAGCCCAGAACTCATTCGATGCCACCGGTGGCCATAATCAGCAGGTCTTCATGGGTCTTCAGAACCTACAGCCTGGTCAGCACTACTATCTGCCTGGTGCCAATCAGGGACCAAGCAACATGCACCACTCTCCGAGCATGTACTCCCCGTACGTTCCAAACGCATACCCGCCTGGCATGGGCATGATGCCTGACAACAGTCCCATTGGACGTTCTTGGCCTAGCGGCGTTTCTTCAAGCGATGTTCCAAATCTCCTGACTCCTCGTCGTGAGTCTTTGTCTTCGAACGAGGCTGAATATCCCGGCACACCTTTGACTGGCTATGGAATGTACACCAATCCTCAGGTTATGGATCGTTCTCCCAGTGGTGTCTTCACTGCCAGCGCAACTCCTTCACCCAATCAGATGCAGCAGCCGTATGGCATTGGTGCACCAATTTCGAAGGCTGTTGTCACCACGAACCCACCCTCGTCGGTATGCCCAGTCCACATTCAGATCAAGTTGCAGCAAGATCCTCCGATTCCGTCCGCCATTCCCGCACCCAACTCACCTAACAAGCCGCTTGACCGCAGCCTTGAGAACAAGAATGGGGAGACCAATGTCTACATTCGTGGTCTCCAGCCTGAGACCAAGGACGAGGATTTGTTCCAATGGGGAAAGCGTTTCGGAGACATTCAGAGCTCCAAATCGATCATCGACATGAAGACTGATAAGTGCAAAGGGTACATATAAACTTCTCCAGCCTGTCTCCTCTTTTCCCATCACCTCCTCCCATCACCTCCTCCCATCACCTCCTCCCATCACCTCCTCCTATCACCTCCTCCCATCACCTCCTCCCATCACCTCCTCTCATCACCTCCCATAGCCCTCATCGACTGTCCGTACCTATTTGCGTCCTACATATACTGATATATCCTTCAGGTTTGGTTTCATCAAATACTATAACTTCGAAGACGCCGAGCAATGTATCCGTGGCTTTCATCATCTCGGCTATGAAGTTAGCTTTGCTAGAGTTGGGCTCTCTGTGTTTTCTGCATCTATCACGAAATGCTAACCTATCAACAGGAATCATTCTACGCCAAATTGAAGAAGTTCTCTGATGAGGGCAACACCAATCTTTATGTCTCAAACATACCACGAACTATGAATGAACATGCAGGTCACATTCTTCCTTTCTTTTCGCCAATAACTGACATGGAATAGGAACTTGGACTCGTCTTTGCACCCTTCAAGGTGTGTTCTAGCCGCATCTTGCGCGATCAAAACGGAAACGGTCGGGGTGTAGGCTTTGCCCGGTAAGCAGCTGTCATCAGTCCTCTGATTCCTCGACTTTACTAATATGCCAATAGTTTCGAGACTCGTGACATCTGTGAGCAGGTGATACGCCAATTCAACAATCAGCCAATCTCTCGCCCTGGCCAAGGCGGCGAGGAGCATCTCATACAGATCCGATATTCGGATACGCATGAACAGAAAATTCTGAAACAGCAGACTGCAGCAGGTCGCCAATTCCGCGCTCAAGAATACGAAGTCGGTGTTGCGCAAGCTCGTGGCGCATTGAGCGATTCCCGTTTCTTCCCTAACGCCCAACGCAATGAGTTCGAAACTTTCCTCCAGAATAGTGCCTACACTCACCCTAGTGTTTCTGGGGCGACTACACCTTCATCAAAGACAATTCCAAGTGCGCATGCCCCTGGCATGACGGGCATGGCAATGTGGTCCAACGGGAGGTCGCATACATCTGTGCCTGGTATAGCGATCAATGGAATGGCCGCCCCCACTACCATGCCGCAGTCCCCGACCGGCTCCGTCATCTCCTGCGCTCAAGTCTCAGGTGAGGCTGTCCGAATTTCTCGTTCTGGGCCAACGACCCCAACCAAAGGAGAGCGTACTCAGGGCAAGGCTGCGTCTGAGCATGAGTGATAGATTGACGAATACGCGCAGACAATCTGAGCCTACTTCTTACACCATACTGACATAGATACCATCTCATCAACTTATTTACTCGCCTATCGATCTATCGACTTATCACATTGCATCTCTATCTGATTACCGACATTCAGAGCAGGTTCAACCCGCATATATCTCCGATAATTAAACACCTCGCGTCAGCTGGACTCACGGTTCACATCGCTGGATCTTCATTCCTTCATCTTTCCTTTGTCAGTCTGCGTTTCAATGGCTGCCCACTAATACACCTTGTTGATCTTGAGCGCTCATACCTCCGCCGGTGTAGAGTCGTTTGATTGAACGTAAAAGTCTTTCGGGCGGCGTGTTGTTTGTTTTCTCATTGTCCCAATGGCGTTGGCATCTAAAAATTATCATCGGAGGCACTTGCAATCATATTTATTAAGATTAGCCATGCGGCTCCCAGATGTGGTTGAGAGCTGAGCAATGGCTGGCATAGACAGATCGAGAATAATCCGGGCTACATAACTTACAATCAGAGAATCATTTGGGCCCACTTAACTTCACTTTACTGCTGCTGTGCACTGTGCTGCTATCGCAAAGTCCTCAGACTTCTTATGTTCTCAGCTTCAGCATATTCGATATATCGTGACGGTACCTCCAAATTCTTCATATATATGTGGATTGCACAGTCATGTATCCAGTGGGATTGTTGGTTATGTTCGATGTGCTATGTTTGGCTTAATCATGATGTACTGTAATGCGAGCGTAAATCATGCTTAGATCTCGCAAGGGCCGCAGCTAGGCATGCTTACTGATGAAAAAGTGGTGTAGCAGAGAAGTCAAGGGAGAATCATTTGAATAGTCATGGGTATCATCTCGGTTTGCTTGCTATATTACCGTACGTGCTCTTCATATTGCCCACCCTGCAGCTTTTTTCGATATGGTACGAGTAGTCGGTGCCACCGAAGGGGCCGCCTCTAGGCCTACGCCCATGGGTCCACCACCCTGGTCAAAGTCTTTTATATCGAGGACGGTAAATGTGGCGTTCAGGTCGGCGTCCGGGATTGTTGGATCTGCATTTCCTGGAAACAACGTAGCGTCTGGGAGACGAGGCTGGTCGGCGACGTCCTTTCCATCGCCTACGCTTTGTGGTGCGTCGCACTCGTCGTCATCATCATCTTCGGCCCCGATAGAGGCCCTATCTTCTGCCTGTTTGGCCCCTTCGCCACTGACACCACCGTCACCATCGACGCCGACTTCTTTCATATATTTTTCTAGCTCGCGTGCCATTTTTTTGCTAAACCCGCTGGCCTCGGCTTCAACGTCAAGGCGCTTCGTCACATTTGATGTGGCATCTTTGAAGAATGGGCCTGACTCATCGCTTGTGAAGTGGAATCTGCGTTCGAAGAAGCGTTTAATACAGTTCACGTCGCGATCGAAGTAGTACTCCGCATCAGGGTGCGAAATAGATATCATCTGTGGAAAGTCGATTACAATAGGTGTTAACGTAATGGTCGGAGGCTCGTCTGAATTTAGAGACGACGACGGAGCAGCGTCTTCTTTGACGAGAATGTTGAATTCATTGAAGTCGCCATGAATAAGACCGAAGCTTGCGAGTCGTACGATGAGCTCGAGGAGTTCGGCATAAAGGCTGGCGGGGTCTGGAACGCTTGAGATTTGGCGGAGTGGGAATGCGTCAATCAGGCTCATGACAATGGTATGTCTGTTCTGCGCAATGGGCTCAGGCGTCGGAATGCCGTTGTCGCGCAGGACTTGCATGAAAGTAAATTCTTTCAAGGCGGCGAGGCGCGACATGTACATCCATGATCCCGAGGAGCGGTTGCGTAGATAATCACGATTCGTCTTGACGGTGCGAAAAGAGATCCGGCCGAGACGGTGAATTTTCAGTACTCGTTGCAGGCCTGAATCACTGGCAACGACGTAAATGTCAGATTCTTTGCCGACGCCGATTTGGTTACCGACAGAATATACCGTGGAAGATTTGCGGTGGGCGTTGAGGGCAAGATAGTCAATGCCGCCGTATGTCAGTCGGTAGCCATCGTCTAGGTGAAGTCAGAATCTGCTGGCAATATTACCTATTTAGGAATGGTGCGCTATACACTTGGCGTTCTTGACCTTTGCAATCAGGTTTGCCTTCGCAAGGGTCGATATGCACTTATGGACTCCGCTACCACCACGGAGATTCGATATCTGTTGTATCAAGGGGGTAGGGACAACTTCATGATTCCTACTACCCATCTCTACCTATATATACCGCATTAGTGGCCATTTTATTCTGGTTGAGGGCACGGGCCTGGCATACTGCTGTAAGCACCCTCCAGTCCTCGACCGTGAGATACCGAATCGCTTTAGTATCAAGCTTCATCGTACATATACCCGCGTGGCGTGTCTGTGTCTTGGGAATGGTTCGAGCACTGTGGTCGACGCATCACAAAAAGATCGGTGGTCCGCAAGCACTAGTACTTGGCGCACGGACTCGCCTTGCTGCTTTCTCATCGCCGCCAAGAGCGCGACGCCATACTTGGTACCTACTCCAGAGCTTCCATAGCGCTTCGATACACACCAAGCTCTCCAACTTCGATCCTCTTCAGTGCTCTTCATACAATTTATACTTGCGTCTTCTCCTATACTCACTCTACTGCTTTCTAAATAAGTCTTGGTGAGGTGTGTCGAGGCATTTCCGAACACTCTGTGGACCCGGTTCTTCGCTGTTTAGACGCGAGCTTCAACATGGCAAAGGGAGACGAGAAGCCCACTACCGCCCAGCAAGGCAAGGGCAAAGCGGTAGATGACCCAAAGGACACAAAGAATGAGAAGGATACCAAGGAGAAAGGCAAGGGAGATGAGAAGCTGGACCTGCCTGCTGGTAGGTTCCCAGCGGTCCGCCGTTCAGCTACTTTGATGAGACTGAATGCGATGTTTGCCCCAAAGTATGCTGATTGAGAACAGAGGAGCTCAGTGAGGAAGACCAGCAGCTCAAGAATGAGCTAGAGATGCTCGTAGAGCGGTTACTGGTATGCTATAATGAACGATGACTGACCAGACGATTTTACTGAGAGTGGGTAGGAACCGGACACCAAACTGTACAAGCCGGCTCTAGAAGCTATCAAGAACTTTATCAAGACCTCCACATCTTCAATGACGGCTGTGCCGAAGCCGTTGAAATTCCTGCGGCGACACTACGAGAATCTCGAGAAAGCGTATGACGCATGGCCTGCGAGCGATAACAAGGTCTGTATTGAACGAAAGACGCGATCAAGAGCTATGGTAGCTAACCTCATCAAAGATATCATTTGCAGATGTACTCTCTGCTCTCGGCATGACCTATTCAGACGAAGATCGCCACGATTGCCTGAAGTACCGACTACAATCAACGACACAAGACATCGGCTCATGGGGTCACGAGTACATGAGGCATCTATCGCTAGAAATTGGGCAAGAATTTCAAACTCGATTAAACGACGATAAAGACACGGATGACCTGACTGACCTTGCTATCACACTGGTGCCATTCTTCCTGAAGCACAATGCTGAAGCCGATGCAGTCGACATTCTCAGCGAGCTTGAGATGATCGAGCATCTTCCCAAGTATCTGGATGAGAACACATACTCCCGTGTTTGTTTGTATATGGTCAGGTAATGCATACAGGCTCTCTTCGCGTTCTTGTCTAATGGCTTATATAGCATGGTACCACTTCTTACCTACCCAGATAATGACCGATTCCTACGAACCGCTTTCGATATTTATGGCAAATACAAGCAATATACACAAGCAATAGTTATCGCTATACGGCTCAATGACCGCGAGCTAATTGAACAAGCTTTCAACGCTACGGAAGACAAGTCGATCCGTAAGCAGATGGCGTTAATGATTGCTCGGCAGCGGATCTGGCTAGATCTACCAGATGGTGACGATGAGGATCAAGAGCTTCAAGAGTGCTTAAACAACACAAGGCTACCCGAATACTTTAAGGCGCTTGGAAAGGAACTTAACATATTAGATCCAAAGACCCCTGATGACATTTACAAGACGCATCTCGAAAGCTCGCGAACAGCTGGCTTAACAAATACCGACTCCGCAAGGCACAATCTCGCCAGTGCATTCGTGAACGCTTTTGTCAACGCTGGTTATGGTGACGACAAGTTGATGCTAGTATCGGACAATAAAGGCAGTTGGGTCTGGAAAACAAAGGACGAGGGAATGTTGTCGACGGCAGCTTCGTTGGGCATGCTAATGCAGTGGGACGTTGAGATGGGTTTGGACAAAATTGATCCATACACCTATCTGTCGGAAGACTCAATCAAGGCTGGCGCCATGCTTGCTACCGGTATCATCAATTCTGGTGTTCGCATGGATTCCGACCCAGCGATGGCCTTGCTCGGAGATTCCGCGAACCTGGACAATCCAAACGTGTCTATCCGGATGGCCTCGATCATGGGTCTCGGTTTGGCATACGCTGGCTCGCAAAAGGAGGAACTCCTGGATTCCCTGCTGCCAATTGTTGGCGACACTTCTCTCGACATGCGCCTCTCTGCTATGGCTGCCCTATCGTTAGGTATGATCTTCGTTGGCTCAGCACAGAGTGACGTGAGCGAGGCGATCATTCAGACCTTCCTAGACGAAGACCGCACAAAACAGCTCAAGGACAAGTGGACGAGGTTTATGGCTTTGGGCTTAGCACTTCTTTTCTTCGGTCAGCAAGAGGAAGTCGACGTTATCTTGGAGACCCTCAAGGCGATCGACCACCCTATGTCGAAGCCTACGTCGGTGCTGGCAGAAGTCTGTGCCTGGGCAGGCACCGGCGCTGTCTTGAAGCTACAACAGCTTCTGCATATATGCAATGACCACATTGAAGATGACGACGACGAGAAGAAGGGCGACGAGCTCCTTCAAGCGTACGCTGTGATCGGACTGTCGCTGGTTGCCATGGGCGAAGAGGTCGGCCAAGAAATGGTCCTCCGACAGTTTGCCCACCTAATGCACTACGGAGAGGCAAACATTCGAAAGGCTGTACCCCTTGCAATGGGCTTGATTAGCCCGAGCAATCCGCAAATGAAGATATACGACACACTTTCGCGGTACAGTCACGATAACGACAATGACGTGGCTGTTAATGCTATATTTGCTATGGGTCTTGTTGGCGCTGGTACAAACAATGCTAGGTTGGCACAACTCCTCCGCCAACTTGCAAGCTACTATCATCGCGATGCGAACGCTTTGTTTATGGTACGCATCGCACAAGGTCTGCTTCATGCGGGTAAGGGGACATTGTCTTTCAACCCCTTCCATACGGATCGTCAAGTCCTGTCTAGAGTCTCCGCCGCTGGTTTATTGACGGTGCTTGTGTCCTTGATCGATTCCAAGCAATTCATACTTGGTGATTCACACTACCTCCTATACTACCTCGTTACCGCTATGCATCCTCGCTTCTTGATCACTCTCGACGAAGAGCTCAAGCCACTCCAGGTCAACGTACGCGTTGGTCAAGCTGTGGATGTAGTCGGTCAGGCTGGCCGCCCCAAGACTATCACTGGGTGGCAAACACAGAGTACACCTGTGCTGCTGAGTCATGGTGAGAGGGCCGAATTGGAAGATGAACAGTACCTGAGTCTGAGCAGTGTGCTGGAAGGTGTGGTAATACTTCGAAAGGTAAGTCAAAATCCTCCGTAATAACTGTCATTGGTTTAAGCTGACAAATCTGCTAGAATCCTGACTGGGAGGCATGAACGACGGAATTATAGTGTTGACACGCAGTTCGAAAAGCTAGGCTGTGTGTTTGGTATTGCTATATTTGACTTTCATGGGCGCCTATTGGGCTGGGTAGACTAGCATCCTATGAATGTATAACACAACCCTTCCACTACCTTTCAGTTACTTTGCTGTCCACATGTCTCCATTCACCAAGGCGACTCATGTTCTTATCAGCGACTTCAACGCATACGTCTAGCACGCAGTGCATGACGCCTGGTGCATAGGTCTTTACGTGCTCCACATGTTCCAATCGCACAACTCGGTCTGGCGATGCTGTCGATCTGACAATGGCCCCTATTTCGTTTACGATCTGCTTGATTCTATCATCATATTCCGTTTTCTTGGTTGCTATATTCTCATGCACGTGCAGCCATCCGCTCAGTTCGATGTCAAGAGCATTGACTGCAGTCTCGCAAGATGCAGCGGAAGATGGTAGGAGTCCGAGGTTCACGTGTCGAATTGGCGGAATGCATGCTCTCAAGTCCTTGATCCGTGACATTGCAAGGGCATTGGACTCATGGAATGCGACCAGTAATGGCTTCAATTTTGCCTTTGGTTGTATAGCAAAAGCCCTCACCAATTTGCTAGTATGTTCGTCCTCTCTCACTACCTCACCGCGCCACTTATTTGCCTCCACGCCCCGTCTCATTCCTTCCAAACTCCATCCGTTAATTTCCCATCCGAGGACCACAGTCGCGCCCGCCTGCGAATACGAAAATGAGAAATATCCGATCCCGCAGTACAGGTCCACCGCCGTCCATTCCGCACCGCTCTCTGAGCAGGAAACCACGGATGGGAGCTTCAGCAGTCGTGCTTTCTCCTTGATGTTGCCTCGACTGAACATCGTATGTAGCGGCGCCCATATTTGATGTATGCCATTCTGCTTGGTGCTCACCCAGAACGCGGATGCAAAGTCCGATAATGTTGGAGAGGGAATCGGTGCTGCAGGGCCGAATGAGCCATGGAGGGGTGTGAAAGCAGTCGGGGAGCGCAAAATGTTGGTCTCCACGGACGTAGAAGTCTGTACGGGGATTGGGGCGTTGATTGCAACGTGTGTGGTATTGGTTTCGAGGGCCATGAGTGCCCAGAGCTGGCTGAGCTGAGTTGGTGAGAGGACCGTATATGCGGTCTGCCATGATGGACGTTTGAGAGGGTCCGCAGAGAGTAAAAGAAGCGGTTTGTATATGCAGTATGGTGTGGGTGAGTCAATTGATATCGATGAGTCGAGTTTCATCTGTGCCAGAAGATCTGGTTGGAGCGAATTCATCCATTTGATCTGAGCTGTAAGAATAGGATTGTTGTTCTTCAATGATATTGGCGCCGCGTGTTGATGTTCATCAATTGCTTCAACGACAGGCGCCCACTTGATCTTAATACGAGATTTGTCCTCAGGTCTCAAGCACAGTGTATTTAGAACTCCCTGAGTCCTGTCATGCATCGCTACTCCGCGACCTTGCTCACTTCTGGTCGGGCAGTCAATCAAGGTTGGGATTTCAAACGATCTTTCAATGAAATCATCATCATCGGCTCCACAGCTTTGTATTCTTGAAGACTTATCTAAGAGGTTCTGACTCTCGAGATAACTCTTCACGGTCTTGACACACAAGCGTGGTACAATGACGATGACGCGTTCACTCATATCTCGCTATGTCCATAGAACAACATTCTGCTTATTGTATATGACTTATGGACATTTCTAGCTTGCGCTTCCGGATGTTTAGTCAAGAAGCGCAATTTTATAAAAGTCAGCCAAAAAAAAGCTTATTTGGCGGCCAAGGCTCACAGCGCACGTGCCTTCAGATCACGTGCTACCTTAACTCTAGCGAACATTCGTGTCGCCAATTATCTCGGTTAATCGGACTCTACATTGCTGTATTCGCCGTCGCTCCGCAGATAAGGATGAATCACAATACAGCAGTCTCTACCGACATGCTTTTCCCTGCGAGAGGTTCAGCTATGGTCGCTTGAAGTGACGGACAGCCGTGGAGTGAAGCCAGCATTGCTGTGTCGTCTCATTCCTGCAAAACACTCTGATAGAAAATCTGGCTAAAACGTTATGATCGTCCATTCAGGCGAACAATAACTTGCAGGTGCATTCATACGACCGTTTGTACTTTGAACAATGACCTTGCAGAAGCTATAATACCACCACACCCACATTTGCACTCTGCTATCTAGCGCTCAAGTACCGAAACTATCTAGCCCAAACCCAAACACTCGTCAACCGGCTTTGCTGGGCCAACTATTTCTCATATGCACATAATGACTCGATGTTTGGGCTATCTGTGTTGGCGAGGCGCTCGGGAGAAAGCGTTACCGAACAAGCAGAGGCCTGCAGTCGAGAAGTCTTGACCTGAGGTGGATCCGTTTGACTTGCCATCAAAGGATAGCTACGTATCGACTCAGAATGACTGATCTCGAGGCGTCCTGGAAGGAGAGATTCCAGCCTACCGTAAAGGATCAGTATACATAGAAATTTGCGGAGTCATAAGCATTACCAGCTGACAGAGACTTGTAGAAGTACGACAAGCCCTATCCCTTCGAGACTCCACTACTTTCATCCGTCAGTACAATCATATAGTATCACCGTATTCCAAGCTAAAGACGTAGTAGGAAGCGAGAAAGCAAATCTTGAGACTACGAAGAGTTGGGAGTGCCGAGAGTCAAGTGGCACCGCATGCCACACCGCTCTCTGTGTTTCATCTTGAATAGACTTGTGCCGTGCCGTTCATTGTACAGCCTTGCAGGCTGGCTCTCACAAAATGGTTAGAAGTTTCCAACACTTGCTCTGAGATGCGTACTACAGAAAAGACGGACATGTCCTCATGAGTAGCAATGTGTAGGCTGAGCCGTAGAGACATATAATAAGGCTCCTAGAGGTCTAAACTTTTGACCTGTAATCTGCCAGCCTTGTGCCTCCATGATGAGTTTGGCGCGCGCTGGTGTCATACAACTAACTATTGGTTGATGGACCTCGACAGGAAAAGTAAAAGGCCCGAAAGGTAATGCAAACTTCAGACATTCCCTATTTATCGGGCATCTGACCCTCTGTTGCCCTTCAAGAAGAGGCGTCAAGTTACTGGCAGTAATGTCTGCACGTTGTTGATACTTGTCCGATCTGAAGGTCTACGAATGAATTGTGGTTCGCAAGATTGGTGCCTGTGTCTGTGCACACGGCCCATGAGAGAAATATAACTCCAAAAAAAGCCCTTAGCGGCTCCCATATTTTCCATACTTCTCCGTTACTCTGGCGCAAATGATTGGTAGGTGTGAGAAATTGACAGTATGTGTTGTACAACCTGGCCAAATAAATTGCCAATTCGAGGGCTTCCTCCGTGGTTGTCCATGCTGTATCCTCTTCCTTGCAAGCCTGCACGAGGCTGCAAGACTCGCGAACTCGATCCATGGATGCGCAAAGCAAAATCTTGCCATGGGTCTCATTGGCTAGGTGTTTCCCTCCGGCGGCACAATGAGGTTAAATCAGTCTCGTAACCTCGCCTCTTCAATTTCAGAGCTGAGTCTGTCTCTCATGATTTCCACGCATGGTGCATAGCGCATATCGACTGGATAAATTCATCTATACGATTTCATTATTGTTACACAGCTTTCTTCATCAGATCAATCAACTGAGCGTCCAATATGCAAGAAACCTCAGTGAATATCGCATGTCCAGACTTTGTCAGAAGTTTATATGACTATCAGAATTGGCCGAAAAATTTACTCTACAAACACGATAGGAGTAACAGGTATCACAAGCTATTAAGAGACATGCCCTACGAAATTTTTGACCTTCCCGACGAATCTGAAAGCTACGGGTTGGGAGTACATATCATCGACGTAAAATCGCAAGGACAGAGTGAGTGTTGATATCGACGGCCACTTGGACATGGCGTGTTGACTGTAATAGACGGAGAGCTACGAACAGTACGAACCATGAGCCGATCAAGTAAGGAAATGGTGCGTCGTCTGCATCAATTAGAAGACAGTGAGTCGTGATCCCCTACATGATAAAGCACTACATTCAGATATGCTCTCATTGTGGTACCTACATATTTCCAGAGTACGAGATCTGTTAACATTCGATCAAAAGTGATTTTACCAACATACCCAAGAGTTTCACAGCCAACAGCATCTGTGCAGAATGGCGGACCACAAGATCCGGTCCTAGAAGCCTTAGAACCAATACCTGTTAAGGATTACAGACACGATCCTTTCTGTCGTGTAATGTACGCTGAACATAGATTCCATGAACACCGAGCGCGATTCATACCTTGCTGATCAACGTCAGATGTTTACTGGCTCCGTTCTCTCGAGCACCGTTGAGTATGACCCCAATGATGTTCCAATTACTCGCAAGCTATCACCAAATAATGCCCGAGATCGTTGACTATCTATCGGCATTCGGGCACGAAACAGCCCAAGGAGCTCGATTCTGCGGCTTCAACACCCACATACAACTCGACTTGAACCCTTCAAGTAGATTGGTTGTCAGTGCACTTGGGCGAAGTGGACGCTTGTATCAGATATGCTACAATCTGAGGACACCACCTCGAGTACCCATTCAGAAGTCGACGTCCTCAGCAGCACTACCAACAACATCTGGACGCATGGCTTTCCGCCAGTTGATTGTCCATCATCAATTCGACATCGGCCGAGGTGTAGCTCTTTGGCTTTTAGCGGGCGGGGCTCGAGATATCATACCAGGAATCGTGGACAGCCTTGTTCCAAAGATTGAATCAAAAGAGGATACTACCATGACAGACCGTTTTAGAACTACGCTCGACGTCCATTTTTTCAACTGTGAGCATGCTACGATAGACTGGCGAGAGTGCATAGAATTTCTAGAGAAGAGTTTTGATGTAAGGATGACTATTGAAGTTCAAGATCAATTCAGAATTTGCACCTAATCTACCTAGGAATACCGACTTATGCTCTTGGAGAACCTCGAACTCGACGAGGGCGAATATTCTAAGAGTATTTTTGATACTATAACAGCGCTTAAGAATTTGCAGATAAATGAAGAGAATGTTGGCAATGCAGTACTAATTCTACATTCAAATATCGACACAATGAAGTCTCTGGTGTCATTCTACGAAGAATTGGAAGAAAACCACACAGATGAAATATGTGCCGGGCACAGTGGATTTGACTCAAGGAACAATGGAATCCGCAGGTTCGTGAAGAAAATCGGGCATTTAGTATCAGAGATGAGTATGCTCATACGGCGCGGGGAGCGCCTCGCTCAAGTGGTGGCAGATACCAAGAATCTCGTAAGGCCCCTCACATCACCGCAGACAGATTCTCTCTAATAGTGCGTACACTTAGGTCATTAAAACCCGGGAGTTTCAGAATTCTAAGCAAATCGAAATTCTCACGATTGTAACCAGTCACTTGGGTTACCAGGCCCAAAAGGAAACCATTGCGGTGAGGGTAATCACTATTGTGACCTTATTGTATCTTCCATGTTCCGTAGTTTCGGTGAGAGGCCTGAATCTAGCATATTTATGTTACCAATTAACAAAATATAGTCGTTCTTCTCAACCGACGTAGTAAAATTTCTCGTCGATGATAATAACTCCCTTTGGTCTAGCCAATGGTCTGCGAAGGCTTTGGTTCTCTGGCTTGGAGTGACCGCTGTACTTATGGCTCTAACGCTACGAGCTAGTTACATATTCTACAGACACGAGCAAGAGAGACAGCTTGATGACCTTGACAGGACTATGGTGAACTTGGTAGGGAATGGACTGGTAGACGTTTTGAACAACAGAAAAAATGGCGTGGGATCAACCTGGCTTCTCGATTTTTTCGGTCTTGGTGCTTCAACACCGAAGGAAACTCCTATGTCTACTGAAGTCCCTGATGACCCTAACACCGGGGGCCCAATATGGAATGTGGCTAATCATAGGGAGGAGAAAGTTGCGAGGCTCAAATGGTGCCGACACTTCTTTAGCAAGTCTGAGGCTAAATCTGTCTCGCCAGTAGAGAGCCATGATGCTCAACAAAGAGTATGAAAATATGACCTTGATCGATAGAGGAGTCTTCAATCGCTACCATTTCTTGCCATACTACTCCCCCCAATATATCGAGATGTCAATATGCACAGGGCGGTAGAAAAATGAACGATATTGGAGGCAAAGAAATCTCGAGACCATGAGTGTGGTAAATATTGAAACAATAGAGTCCGCGGTGACATCCATATATTCCGGACCGACGTGACTTGTGTCCGCCTTCAACACACACTAGGCAGTACATCATGCGACCCTGTTACACCTACTACCTAATTAACTATTGCTCTTCGCCTTCTAACATATGGTCAACGAAAGCATACACGGCCGCAATGGTGCACAGTGATCCAACTTATGCAGGAAAGCGCAGCATTCCCGACGACCTGCTTTAGCTTTCAAAGGATCACTTCGGAGGACATGCGATTCAGAAAACGGGTAACTCAAGTCTAGTTCTGGTAAATTTAGCGGCTCAACCATTTTGAGACTGCAGCTCGGGGCTTATTGAGGAACGCTGTTTGAGGCCCATAGGCACATTACTTGCGATAGGGGCTCGGGATGTTGTCAAAGACATACTAGACAGCGGTATAGATGACTCTTCACTCCCAGTGGAGCTAGATGCCTTCAAATCGTCCTCTGCTGGGGTGATCCTCAAAGGCAAAGGCTTTCTAGATAGCTTTATCGAAAAACAGTGGTCGTTCTGTCCTATCACCTTTGAGCTTAATAGAGTCTTCACCTGGAATACGAAGAGCATTATTCCATTATGCTATTAGCGATTACTGTCAGAAGGACATACAGCCAGCGTGTACGAAGTCCTCATTCCCGAGAAGAGTTTGAGTGAAGGGATCCGGAACATATCGCAACGACATCGATTTGAGGACCCAAATCTGTGTCCTGGCCTGGCATGTGACACTATCATATATGATGAACGAGATACTAACGCATTCTGTCTAACAAAGTGCTATCAGTTTGCGTTAAAAGTGTATCGCCTCATGGAGATCGTGAGAGCACTTTTACACGACTTCTGCGTCGAACAAAAGCTCCAGATAGCTTTGTAAGACATATAAGTGCTTTCAAGATCAAATGTGACATCAAGCCACCGAATATACTTCTCGTCGGAGAGCACTTCAAACTGTCAGACTTTGGCTGTTCTTCAATTGTACCCGAGGAGGAAGTTGCTCAGTCAAAGTCCACACATTTTAGTACTTTGTCCTTTGGTATAGTAGTCTCTTGCAAGGTATAAAATGTCCTCACTAATCAAAACCAGGTGCTCCTGAGGTGACAAGACACTCGACTCCAACGCTGCAGCGACCGCAATCCTTCGACCTCTGGTCCATGGGTTGTATTCTGTCAGAAGCAGTAACATGGATTATGCTTGGATCGAAAGGCATCAAGCAATTTCGTAGACTTCGTTCTCGAGCTCATGTTATGAGTCCTACCCGTTCAAGTAGCATTATAGGGGGATTGACGCCGTCTTCTCTGGTCGGACATATGTTTCACGATGGCGAGAAGGTCTCAAGGCTTGTCATATTGTGGCACCAGCACCTTCGTGGCATCATGCAAGTATGCGATACAGTTACAATCCGTATTCTTGATATTGTTGATATGAGTCTGCTAGTAGACATGAAGTCAAGAATCAGTGCTCAGGAGCTACTGAAACGCATGGATCATGCGATTGGAGAGCCAGAACATGACGACGATGTTACCCTTGGCGCATACGACGAGCTAGAATCTCTTTTGGAAGAGGACCAGAGCGAAAATAGTGATACTGAGGAATTTATAGTCATCGATATCGAATAGTGATACAATTACTTCAGTGTCAGTCTTGCGAGGTCAGTATCTGTTGCAATGGACAGGACTTGTCCACTACTCAGTTTGTGTTCTATTCTTCAGCCAGTAATCCCTTGAGAAACATCACAGGTGAATCCATTCCTCCGCTAGATCCTGGAGGTGGAGGTTCGAACTATTGTATTTGTATTCATAAGAAATTTTCAGTTTATAGGCCACATGAGTCGAACCAATAGCATTGGGAGCAAGTTCTTCTCGTTTTCTGCCTTACCGGAGTCAAGGACACCGGAAGACAATATAAGAGGTAGGGCACTGTTATGATTTCATACATGGGACGGGGTCTGTGAACGACTCGCTCTCTTACCTCTTAGTCTGAATAGTGCCCTAGCTTTCTCATTCGCGCAACAAATGGATTTAGGCGTTTGACCAGACAAGATCGTCGCCGCGAAGCTACCATCCTGGTTCCCCCGGAGAGGCTGGACTTGATAAGTTTGATGATGAGAGTTGCCACGATCAGCGGACAGCTACCAGACTCAACGTAGAGAACTATTCGAAGACTGTATGCCGAATTGCGGGAGTATGTCAAGGCGTCAAACTCAGGCGGCATGTTGCAGAAGTGGAGATACGAGGACCTGTGCAAGGATGAAAGTTGCATACCGGCTATAGAATCCGGCTATAGAATCCGGCTATAGAATGAAGAATCTCTATGTGCTTTAGGGGTTTCTTATTCCATGAATATCTGGCGATTCGTCTTAGTCTTGCCTTTTGTGGGCTACCGCACATAAGATCCGAGGTTTGAGTTGATGAGATCGTGACATTCGAAACGGCAGAAGTATCAGTCTCTTGGGTTTGGATAAGGAAAATCTATGATACCGTAATCTCAATTCTAGTGCTGTGTTACGGACGCTATTCCAGGGGATTGTCAAACATGACCTCAGAGAAGGTGAACGAAGCGAGTATGGGCATGTATGAAAGAAGGTAAAGTGCGATGCATCGCGATGTATATATCGGATATATATATATATATATATACATATGTACCTAAGGGTGACATAAATTGCCTCCCTAGAGCCCACTTAACCTGCACTGTACTTCTTTAGTAAATAAGCTATATACAATATGTATAAGAAAGGGTGAATATCAGGGACTATGATGAACAAAGACAGTCCTTGAAGCAAGATTCGCAGAGCTCTTGAATATTATGTCTAGCTCCCGGTATTGATTCAACGCGTCACGTCCGTCGAGCACCGAAATTGATCCCTGAAAGGTTGTCCGGAGCCGCAACTTCATGTACCGCACCATCATTCGACACTTCGCTGAAGACCTTGGTCCATCCCTGGAAAGAGGGAGGAGAAACCACTAATCTCCGTCGATACCGAAGACGCAAGAGGAAGGATAGAATGCCAATTGTTAGCAACGCGGGTATACCCAACCCCAGCCCGACGGCTACTCCAAGTTTCGCAGGTGAGTCGAGCCCAGTTTCGTGAGTCATATGCGACGAAGATGGCACTGGGATGGTCTCGTTGGTTGTAGACTGCGGTAGAAAAATGCTATGGATTATAACGACGGGTGTTGAGGATACTGAGGAAGGTAGAGAGGTAGTGATTGGCGACGAGAGAGATACGTCCTCCGCGGCTGGATCGCGTATTCTGATGTAATGGCTCGTGGAATCGCCGTTTATGCTCACCACATGAAAGTAAAATATAGGCTGTATCCGTATGTCGAAGTCTCTTAGAATGTCGGCGAAGCTGAAATCCAGCCTGAATGCCCCTCTCCCATTGACTTCTGCTGACGAGAACTTCTGTTAGTACAGCTTGTCAGAAGGGAACCGCACACTTCTCACAGATTTCTTTGCAATCCTTAAGCTCTTGACAGATGTTAAGGGTGAAATTGTCGAATATGGTGTTGCTGAATCTCATGTGGATGGTTTCATCGGGCCTGTAAACCGAAGCGTTCTTATAATCCTCGCCCACACCGGGCTCGCCTGGCTCGACCCAGCAGACATCCGGGCAGCTGTATTGGCTTTGTGTAGGGGATATTATGAGCAGGATGACCCAAAGGCAGAAGTTCAAACTTCTAATAATCACGGTAGTGTTGCGCATTGAAGTGGTCATACAACAAAAGCTGCGCGGTGGGCATCATTATCGCTCAAGAGCCAGACACCCCATCTCTTAAGTACAATCTGAGTTATAAGGCCAGGGCGTTTCGCCATCGTAATCGCCTCGTTCGCCTTGTCATGCGAAGCTCTAAGTCTATTTTGGGGCCCGGAACGGTATACCTTTGTCGTCGCAGTCGTCGTTTGCCTAGAGCCTGACTCTCTTGGCATTTTTCATGTTCATGCTTGTGTTCACACACCCGTTCGATGCCTCTATATATCAGAACATTATATAGACTTACAGGGTATGATCAGGCGATTAATAATATTTACTATCTGGGCTCTAAATTCTTTAGTTTAGTCTATAATCAGAGAGTTTAATTCTCAGAGACGGGGAAGAGAGAAGGTTTTCCAAATGTCGTACGGCCTATCTTATTATAACCTCTAAGAGATTTAAAAAATCTTCTCTATCACTTTAATAAGACTTTACTAAGATGAAATAAGGTTGGGGATAGATTGGGGTGTGTCTGATTATCTATTATATCTACATATGCTTAGGTATAGGCGTAGAAGTAGGAAAATTGGGGCGAGAACACCACATGGATCCATGCGTGCATGAGTGCCAAGAGAGTTAGGTTCTGAGCAAGCAACGAATAGCTCCGTAAAATCATCCTGCTCCGGATGTGGCACCTTGGCACCAAAGGGCAACTGCGAACGAACTCTTGCTTCTTATTGTCAGTATGAACATAGGTACCCGTTGGGTATTCAGTGTCAGAGGTCATTGATGTATTAATGTATGTGTCTTCTAAAGTTATGTACAATCAAATATGAGCGCAAACTTTGTGGTAGCTAATGGTGGACCAGCTCCTGGCTGGGATCCTTCTCGTCTCAAATACACTGTGTCTTTTGGTAACATTTTCCTCGAACTCCTGGCACACGATGCCAACGCGATATCTCTGGATCCCCGAAGATCCTTTGCATCTCGACCAGATCCCTATCTGCTGTCACCGGGCTTCCGCTTTGGGATTCGGCCGATTTGGCTCAGGTCGAAGCTGGTGAGACAGGAACGTGTCGTTGTGACTTTTGTTGTGGCTTTTGTCTCAGCCAAGGGATTGCTCGTATGCGCGGTGGGAGCCTCTGATCTGGCTCCCGGCCGCGTGAAAGACTGGCCAGATGTCCTCCTGGCCGCTTCGCCCGTGGCCACTCTCCGCTTTTTGGACGCGGTTGCTCCTGAGGGAGCGTAGCCCAAAGCAGACTTCTCCTGAGTAAAAGCCTCCTCCCCACTCCTCTTCTTTGAAGCAGTCTTCTTGGTCTGAAGAGACTTCGAAGTAGGTGCTTTCGAGGCAGTCTTGGTCTGGAGAGCTGCCGGCGGAGAGGTCTGGTCAGAAGAAGGGCTGGACGGCGGCGGCGTAGGAGGGAGCCGGGAATGCACACTTTCATAGTGCATGTCGGCAAAGGCGATCTGTAGGTGTCGTCGGGTGGTACTGCCATCCGGCGTCTTTACAGAGAACTCAGCATTGTGAACGGTCACCGCGACCTTCCACAATTCACAGAAGGCAGCGATGCAGATCTGCCCGACAAAAGCTCTTGGAGCACGCACAACCTCGAGAAACCGTGCCCAGCGTTCCTCGATCGACTTCGTTGACCCGGCAGAACCCGTAGAACGTCTACTGGCTCTCCTAGGAGCGTTGTGGCGACCTTCCACAAGATCCTCGTCATCCAGAAGGACGGCGTACTCATCGAACCCGAAATCACGCAGATATGCGTGAAGCTGAGCCCGAAGCTCGGGATGACGCTCTTGGTCACCCCATAGCTGGTCCGCTAGTGCGCGGAACAGGCAGTTTCCATCACCAATGATGGGACGCACCTCCAGACCCTGGACAGCCAGCATGGGGAACTTGCTCATGAGAGAGCGTTGGCGGAGACCCATGCTGGCGGTGATGGTGTCTGTGAGGTGTTGAGAGAGGAGGAATTGCCAAATGTTACGATGGCAAGGTTGAAGAGGACGTCTTCTACTGAAGAGAAGAACGATGATGTGAAGAGTGGGTTGTAGAACAGTGAAGGTTACTGATCTGTTGTCAAGTCTTGTGGAGATGTGAAAAGATATGACAGAGTAAGTCTGTTAGAAGAAACTGCATGAAGAAGCAATGAATAGGGAGGGAGGTGCAGGTTGCTCTGCCTAAATATTATTTCAGGTACGTTCAGAGCGCAGGGAAAGTGACAACAAGTGACGCTAACACAGATGGTCATTTATTTCTACCATGGAAAACATTGTTTGCGCTCTGTAGTCTCCAATAATCAGTCTTACGTACCAGGGTAGCCATTCTAGTAGGACTCATTTCACATATGCGTTGGACTGAAAAATAATATGCTACTGACTTGCAGCCTTCTTGTGAGAAAAATATGGCAAGGATACCGCATCTTCTAGTTTATGACCGAGAGAAGCAGTACACACCTAGATATCGCGCCTTCCGACGCCATGAGAATCATCACAAGCTCTTGAATATATGGAATGAACCCCCAAGGAAGTTTGAGTTGCTAAGATTCCCCTATGTAGATACGACTAACTCGTTCCACTAACACCCATGTATGTACCCGCCTACACCCGCAGTATCTGAAGTGAGGTCGAGCATGTCCTATTCATCGAATCATGTTCTGGTCACGATCAGCCTACGTACAGTCCTTCTGCTAAACTTCAAGGACACAAGTTCACGAATCCCAGCTTTACAGATCCAAAATCTCCACCTCATATATATGTACCGCGCTTATCGGAGAAATCTTCCATCATAAGACCAGAGAGACCATCCTAGAATTTCCTGAGTCGCACGAAATGGCCGTCTCGAGTGTCTGCCGCTTGCTACCCACGGGCTGAATAGTTGCAGTCGACATTATTTTATCATCTAAAGAAGCCTAGCATATCCGGAGCGCGGATGTTTTCCCTAGCGTCGATGCTACAAAGCATCATATCCGCGAGGCCCCACTTTTCTTTTCGACGACTACCTTTTGCACTTTAGCCCACTAGGTAGTGGTGATGCCTGCAAAAGATCTGGACATCTTGAAACAACTTTGACGTACATATCGGTTGATCGAGCGTACGTCTGCTACCAGTGTTGAATATTTTAGGAGCTTGTGTTTATTGCCAAAATGCCACAGACGAACGTTGTGGTGCTTGGGTGTGTGCTGTGCCCCGCGTTCACTTTTCGTGTATCCTTTGTTTCGAGGATTATAATCATCGAGATGCTGGGCTGATACTTGTGCGTACAGTGCAGGCGTAATCGGCCTTACAACAGCTCTGCTGCTCTCTCGCGACGAGCGGTACAGTGTCACTGTGATTGCGAAGCATATGCCTGGGGACTATGACAGTGTCGAGTATGCGTCACCATGGTATGATCCACTACATCCACCTAGAAGACACGCTGAATCGTGGACTGATCCTTACCATGATGGCTTAGGGCAGGCGCCAGCTTTGAGCCGTAAGTCACAGCTCCATTTGCACATCGGACCATCATCTATCCTCACATTACCATATCACAGTCCAGCCTACACAGCCGATCCCTAACAAGAGTAACAGCGTGGGCGCCGAGGGTACACCAGCTCAACAGTACGAGCGCGACACCGGGCCCATTCTATTCCGTCTCTGCCGTGAGGTGCCCGAATCCGGTATCGTATTCAACCGTACGGTCTGCCCCTTTCTTGCGACCCCTGCGAAGATCTTGCCAAGACTAAAAGAACCCACTAGAATGCACAATCTACAACCGCCATAAAGACGCCTCTACGCCCATCGGCCAATGGTTCGCCGCAGCCGTCAGTCCTTCGCCATGGTTCACCTCTATAGTCGAGGACTTCCGCGTACTGCCACGCTCCGAGCTCCCCGCTGACGTCGATTCAGCGTCGACGTTCCGCACTGTGTGTATCAACACAGCCGTCTACTTGCCATGGCTTCTCGGGCAATGTCTTGCGCATGGAGCCGTCGTGCGGCGCGGTACTGTCGCGCACGTGGCTGAGGCAGGCGCGCTTCACCATAGCGGGAACAGAACAGATATCATTGTGAATTGTGTGGGCTTAGGAGCGCGAGCGTTGGGCGGGGTGAAGGATGGCTTGGTGTATCCGGCCAGGGGACAGACGGTGTTGGTTAGGCAGGAGCCTATGCAGATGACGACGGTGAGTGGGACGGATGATGGACCGGAGGAGGTTGTGTATACGATGACGAGGGCGGGTGGTACGGTTTATCCTCAATTCTTGATACGCCTGTGCTGAAACATAGTGCTAGGTGGAGGTACCATTCTCGGCGGGTGCTTGCAGGCGAATAACTGGAACGCACAAGTCGACCTGAACCTCGCGAATCGGATCATGAAGCGCTGTGTGGCGCTGGTTCCCAAGCTTACCGACGGTAAGGGATATGAGGCTCTTGATGTCGTCAAGCACAACGTTGGCATGCGACCGCTCAGGGAGGGTGGACCACGTGTTGATGTTGACACTGTGAATGGCTTCAGGGTTGTGCACCAGTATGGCCATGGTGGCGGTGGCTATCAGATGAGCTGGGGTAGTGCCAAAGAAGCCGTAAGGCTTGTTAATCAGCTGCGGGGCGAAAGAAGCCGTCTCTGAAGTTCAGCGATATGTGAGCTAAGAACAGCTGAGACAGAGAGATCGGTTATAATATTGAACGCTCATAGTTTCTCCATAGCAGGATAAAACTCATCATCATCCTGTTCCCCGTCTATTTGGAGTAGGTGATTCTCCTCTTCAATCGCTCTATAGTCTCGTCGCCATCTTTTCAGACCGGCATACGTGTTTCCCTTTCGTATCTCCGTAGTCTCTCCCATCGTACCGAAAGACACATGTTCAACTTTGTCGAACAGGCGCTCGAACCTTGAGTCTTCTGCTTCACTTTCTTCCACCAAAACGCCGAAACGAAGTTTCGTACGGGACAACTCTGCAGGGAATGGATCACTTCCGAGGCATGCACCAACACTGAGACGATCTAGGGTTGGGTTTCGACAGGTTACGAGGATGCGGCTAAACAGCGTGTCACTAGCGACACCGTTTCTCCACATACTGTAGAATCCAATCAGCATGGCTGCGAGTGTAACTAAGATGACAATTGCGTAGCCTGTGTCTATTAGCACTTCTGAGCCTGAAGTTCAAAGCAACACTCACCAATCCACAAGCTTTCCTGTTGGTAGAAGTAGACATTCTCATGCTTGGATTTTTGGCAAGAGACAGACTCGGACGTAACGACCCCCAAGTTCTCAGATAGAAGAGATATTAACATGTCGTCATATGTGTCCACCATCGTTTTCATCAACGCGTCGACTGGATAGTTCGTCGTCACATTGATCATTTTGGTCTCTGAGATATCACTTTGGGTCAAGGGATAATTTTCGTTGACCATGATTGTACCTCTGAGGAAGACTCGGAGCAAGTAGCCGATAGCGTGGTATGTTGAGATCAGTTTGTAGGTCTTGACATCCTCGGTAGGACGAACAAACTCAGACTCGGGGCCGATCATGTACTCCTGTGTTTCTTCAGGATCCCGTGTAATAGTGGTGTTGATGATCGGGTAGAGATAGTCATGGTTAGTGACGTTCGAGTGCTGATTCCCCTCGGCGTATGTAAGATTGACAGTGTAGTCGGTGACGTAGTGTTCGCACCTGAAGATTTTAGGTACGTGAACGGTCTTCCATTTCTTGCGGTAAGGGGAGTCGTCAGGGTATGGTTCGCTCGTATTTACAGCATAACCAATCCAGATGACAGGTTCAGCTTTGAGGACACCAAGGTCTGTAGGAACTGGGTCGAGGTAGGTCCCGTTGCTTTGCGTTCTCACATAGTCAGCTGTGTCGACATCTGACACATATATGTTGTTACCCTTGGGTGCAAGGAGTGACATGTTGAAAGGAGAACCCGCATCTACGAGCTTTTCATTGTCAGCATCTTCGCCGCTTGCTAGCTCGTCGCATTTATAACCGGGACCAATGAGATGGACGGTATAAGTGCAGTTCCATCCCGCTTCACAATGGGTATTCAAGGAATTATCTGGTTGTACAGGTCTTTTCAGATATATTGCGGTATTGACGAGTCGTTTCGTGTCCTTTGAAGGCTGGTCGAAGTAGTCAAACCAGCCTTCGGTCTTTTGCTTGAGATCTGTGCTATTGTAAAAGATCAAAGATCGAAAGCCTTTCTGGGAGTCGTTCCTGAAATCGTAGATGCCCTCCAGGCCGAAGTCAATGGCCGGCGCACTAGTACAAGTGGCATTGATCACACTCTGCGTAATGTCTGTAGTTAGAGAAGCAGGCGATAGCAGCGCTGCGATTGGTATTAGCCATGATGCGACTGCCATGAGAACAGCCAGCTTTGCATTGCGAATCATTTCCCACTTTATGAACATGGTCGGATCTTCTGTGGCGGCAAAGAGTCCATCAATTGCGCCCATAGTCATGGCCTTTTTCCTGAATGTCTGCCATATCCTTTGTCTGTAACTGAGAATAACGCTACCGACGAGTGTCGCTTTCGTGAAGAAGGCCAAAGCTGTGCCGTAACGCACCATCCATAACTGATTGTCCGCAGGTTTGCCGTTCAACTTCATGTAGAAGATGTGATGGGCGATGGCGCCAAGAACACCAAGGAAGAAGAGAAGCACCATGAGGAAAGGTGTGACCTGAGACTTGGTCAATGACGACTCTTTTGACAGTGTTGGTGTGGGGGTATTCATACCCAATGTACTTTCCAGACTGCTATCTCACGGGCTCTTCTCTCAACAAGCCTCTCTGTATCGACATCTGTTCTGAAACGTCCAAGAGAGTATAGCGATGGAGTCTGCATGCTCTTCCGCGGCTGTTTGTCATCTGCGCCCGACGTCTCTGAGATTGTTCTGTAGTGGGCTTCACCACTCCGGCTGCTGCCAGCCGGTGGGAAGTACGAATCATGAGGTGACACGGAGCGTCCTCGGCGCGAATGTGTACTTGGAGGCGTGCGAGCATAGTCATCGAGCTCCATGGCATGAACAGGGTCGTAAAGCTCAGGAGAAAGGTGAGGAGAGGAGTTGCGCGAACGTGCTCGCGGACGATGTGGTTCCTCCATGGGTGAAGAGTGTCTGCGATACTCTCTGTCTACATTGGGCTTTCAGTAAGACCGGGCCAGGAACACCACGGGCAAGGGTATCGATACGTACCCTCAAATAAAAACTCCGTTCTGTTTCCTCAGGGTGTAGCCTGTTCTGACGGCGATCACGGACCAATCATGGGAGAACGACTCGGGGCTCTTGCGGCCACAGCATCAGCTCAAGCAAGCAAGCAAGCAAGCAGGGAGCAAGGGCAAAGTGTATTTGAGGTCGAAACATAAGGCAGGGAGGGCGCTAAGCTTCACAGCATAAAATTCCAGGACGCGACAAGGTTGAGGCTGAGGAGCGGGCGGTGATGATCGGCAGCAACGGTGATGGACTCTGGGCGTGGGCTTGGGGGTAAACAAGCCATGCCTATCATGACTGGTATAGTGTTGTAGCTAATATAAGAAAATATAAAAGGGGGGGCCTTGGAGGCCGAATGGGCTGGCGCATCGAAGGTCTGGCCCACTGCCCACCCTGACTCTAAGGGACTGAGGGGTCTACTCATCAGCTACTGACCGCTGTCCGCTCAGCCCACGCCCATTTTGTGGACCTCTAGGCTGTTTTGCTGTTCTCCTACCCGCCCAACTCGGGGAGCCCTAAGGTAATTAGTAGCGACCCTGGGCCGGCCCTTCAACCCACCTGGCACCCTCCAGCCGCAGGCCCACAGGATAGATATCACACACAGTATGTACAGTATTAAGCGCCGTCGCGAAAAATTGCTCCTTTCAACATGACCGATAATTGTTGATACAGGCACACTGTAGATTGTACATAACCTTACATTGCTCAGTCTCACGAACCGTTAACTTGGATGCAGTCAAACCACAAGTCTGAGGGCAGTAGAGGTCTCACCTGTGTTCGAGAACCTGCATCAATGCACCAACGCAGCATCCATCAACCTTCCGCCTAGTCACACGTCATAACTACTACAAGGTACAGTTCGCCAATTGAACTGTGCCACGGCTTCATCTCAGGAGCTTTGTGCAATGCTCAATGTTCCAAAGCTACAGTGAGTGCAGTGCCTACCTGTTGTGGCTGAAGAGCGTGGATTGTCACTTGGGAGGCTGGAGGCCTAGCCAGCATGCAGGATGGATGACCCGTCAAGAGACTAGTTAGTCATGTACTCAAGTGCCATGCCATTCAATGACGAGATGTAGCATTCCTTTGAACGTTTGATTTCATGAGAATTAGACCTCTTTGTATCACAAACATAGGCCACGTCGCCTAGAGCCGCCCAAAACCGTCACAACCAGCTGAGGTACTACAATACTACCGCAATCATTCGAACACATTCAGGCTATCTTGATCGTAAGCTTACCAAAATGCTGTGTCACAGTTAGCGCTGAGTCAACGTCATACCAATCACTGGGCATCCGGGATCAACAAAGGTGGTAGTTGCGTACCTTCTGATCCCACATATACTGATATGCTTCCTTAGCCTGCTCCAGACCAAACACTTTCTCATCGACGACCGGCTTGATATTGTTGGCCTCAATCGCGGCATTCATCTCCTCAAACTGCAGTCTTGAGCCAACCAGCAGGCCCCGAATTGTCGCTACATTCGTCAATGCATCCAGGAATGTGGGTTGCTTCTCAGCCTTTCCACCACCAAGAAATCCTATGATGCTGATGGTTCCCTCCATACGAATCGCCTTGAGGGACTGCGCCATGGTAGTTGGGCCCCCAACTTCAAGGATATGATGCACACCACCGCCACCCGCAATCTTTGCAGCTTCTTCGCCCCAGTTGGGGTTCTCCTTGTAGTTGATCACGTGGTCGGCGCCGAGCTGCTTGAGAGTTTGAGTCTTTTCTGCGGACGATGTAGTAGAGATTACTCTGGCTCCTGCGGCTTTGGCGAACTGGAAACACGTGAGTCCAAAGGGCAGGCCACAGAGAAAGGGGAGCCTACCTGAAGAGCAAATATACTGACACCACCAGTGCCTTGTGTAAGAACCCAGTCACCAGCCTTCAACTGCTTACCTGTAATGCCATAGAGGGCGTTCCACGCAGTCAGACCCGCACACGGGAGAGTGGCCGCCTCCATGAAGTTGAGGTTCTGCGGAGCGGCAACAACACTTTGCTCGTTGTAGGCACCGTACTGTCGAAGAGCTCCATCGACGAGACCACCCAGGCCAGTCTTGGCCGAGATCGGATCCAGCGCACCAGCGAGATGACCCGCGTTGAACAGCGTTGTCACGTTGTCGCCAATCTTGAAGCGTGTGACCTTCTCGCCCACAGCGTCGACTACTCCAGCACCATCTGAAGCTGGGACGACACCGTCTCTCTGGCCGAAGGGGTACATTCCTTTTGGAATAATAAGATCTCTGTAGTTCAAGCTAGCGGCGTGGACTGGCCGCAACTGTCAGTGCGCATATCGTTTGCCAAATTCTACAGAACTGTACATACATTTGATGAGCACTTCATTGGGTCCGGGCTTCGGAACTTCAGCATCCTCTGTGAATTTCAAGGAGTCGAAACCATCTTTACCCTCAACGGTCCATTGCTGTTGGGTTGAAGGTGCCATTTCAAACTGCCGTCTTTACTATTAGGCAATAGCTATACAAAGGTATAGTAGTGTGTACTCTGCTCTTAAGCTTTGTGATACTTTAATACTTGATGCCAGCGGCTGCCATCGAATGACCGGTACCATTTATATGTTTTCACCATGACGCCATGAAGCCCCCAGACTGAGAAACCCGAGCTTGATCCGATGACAGGGTACCTAGTACCTACTAACAGCTAGGTCTTTGCCGAGTACATTTGTAAGCCTCAAGGAACCTCCTAGAGATAGCCGAGTATGTAGGTAGTTTCATAGATGCATAGAGATCACCATCGTCTTGATACGATACCGATGTCATGTCGAGTCTCAAGGATTTTGACAGCAGTAATCTTGGTGACTGCTATAGTAGGAGGAATACGAAGCAAGCAACACTTTCACGTACAATCCTCCACAGCGCAACAACCAATACTGCTTACGAATGTAGGCACTGTATCAAGTTACGTATCGCTGCACAGCCACAGGTAGTCTCAGCTTCTCCAGCCAGAGTCTGTGGGGCATCGCGCGTGTGGAAATGCGGAGGTGTGCAACTGCGCGAATGTAAGATGCCTGACGCCACGCTGCTGGTTGTTGATTCGCTCGCGTCGGGGCACTGCGGTATTGCGTAGACTTGCATATGATGACGACTAAGAGCCCAAGTAGTTAGGCTCGCAAGAACCTACATCCAAATCCTGAATTGGTGGCAATGCTGGCACTGATGGCACTGCGGGCGATGATGATGATGATGAGGATGATGATGGGCGAAAGATAGTGGGCACAAGTTTCAAGATCCTGCCTATGGACGGTTTGAGGGCAGGGAAAGTTACGTGCGAAACCTGGCACAGCAGCGGACATTCCACGTCGACAGATGCCCTGACGTATTGTGTGGTGTGTTATACTGTCAACTAATACTAGAACAGGCTAGGTATCTGGCTAAGTCCCAAGGTTCGTCACCGATAGTGGAGGCCCGAAGGTCTATACTGGAATTCGTATAGGTATGTTGGTAGGGTCCTTTTGACGTGTTTCTACTACGCTGCCATCCCTTTAATTTGGTCTGTCGCCAACGAACTCTCGATATTTCAAGAAATCGTGTTGAGTCTATCGTCTCCGATCAAGCCTCTAAAGCTTTCTAGGCGCTCTGCTTGGCCACGCCTTGATTGATTCTTTGCCGTTGCCACAAACCCCTGGGGCTGTGCAATTTGTGGAGATCCCGCTGTGGCGCATCCATTCATCACCATTTGTACGGGCATCAATCTTTTGATACAAAACAGCCGCGCCTGCACTGCTGCTTTACCATTCACCACTTCCTTGGGCCTTTCCCTTCGGCTTTCTCTTTGCGCGAAACACTTCAATTCTCAACTTGTGCTGCAGCTGCAATTATTGCTCCTGCAAACGACCAAACAAAGGTGATTCGGATCGGTGATCAGCATTTCATAGCGCGCGCCGCATTCCAGTACCAGTAATTACCAGCACCAACCAGTACCAGCACGGCCCTCCCAATCACCTGTTGACCTACACCTCTTTTCCTCCATCGGCCCTCATCGCAAAATTCCATTTCTCCACGACCATCAGTCATCACCGCGGCATCGCAACAACGCAAAAGCGTTTGCGACAAAGAAGCGGATCCAGGTACAAGATCGTGTTCCGACATCAACCCTGACCTATTCTCCGGAGGCTGTGTTCGCTTAGTGTGTTTCCACGTCGTCGCCATGCGTAAGATGCCTTTCCCCACCTCACCCTTGAATAACCCTGTCTCCTTTAGCATTCTTCTGATCACACATCAATGACCATCTCGGCTGACCATGTTACGTTTAGATCGCGTCAAGTCGAAAGCTAGACATTATGCTCGTAGCGATTCGGGCTCCAGTGGTGGCTTTAGTCTCTTTAGAACCACTTCAAAGGGTTCAAGAAGGTCATTGTCCTCCTCTCAAGATATCGAATCTGGTCTACAAGTCCCCCATAACAATGCTTCACAAACAAACTTGAGCGACATTCAGGAAAGAGCAAGCCAAGGAAGAATTTCGCAAGATGGTGAACGGACGCAGCCCACCTCATCAACCACCGAGCATACTACTAACGGCTTTTCTGAGAAGACAAGTCAGGGTTCGGGAAACAGTACTGAACCTACGAATGGAAACGTGGAGAAGGGAATAGAGAGTGGGACGAGACGCCGTGGGATCCATTTGCCATTCATGAGGAAAGGGAAGGACGATTCGGAGAGTTCTGCTGTCCAGGATGATGAGGAGAAAAAGAAGACAATCAACAGAAATTGGAAGCATAACCCCGCGCCAATATGGCAACAGGTCAAGTTCATCCTGTTGGAAAACTGGCTGAACGTGTTACTGGTCGCTTGTCCTGTTGGTATCGCTCTCAAGGCAGCCGACAGCAATCCGTATGCTGTCTTTGTCGTCAACTTTATCGCAATTATCCCTCTGGCTGGCTTGCTCAGTAACAGTACCGAGCAGCTGGCTCTGTACACCGGTGAAACTCTTGGTGGCTTACTGAACGCATCTTTCGGGTAAGTACATGATACAGCCAAGCCTTGCCGAGATTATTGCTAAGACATGTCAGAAATGCCGTGGAGCTTATTGTTTCCATCCAGGCCTTGGTAAAAGGCGAAATAGTTATCGTCAAGACGTCGCTCATCGGTAGTATCCTATCCAATCTGCTTCTCGTATTGGGTATGGCGTTCTTCTTTGGTGGCATCAATCGCGTCGAGCAATTCTTCAACGTCACTGTGGCGCAGACTGCTGCTAGCCTGTTGGCCCTTTCAATTGGCGCTTTGATAGTTCCGACTGTCTTTCGCGATTGGACTCCAATCGATGGAGGTACCGAGCAAGAAACCGATCTACAGAACAAAGTAGAAGCCCTTTCTCGTGGCACATCTATCATTCTTTTGATCATTTACGGATGTTATCTTTTCTTCCAGCTTAAGTCCCACAAGAGCATGTACAATGAGAAGAGCGAGAAGGGAATCAAGCGCAATCTGCGAGGCAGGCCAACAGAAGGTGAGGCCTTGAAAGCCATCGCAAATGCTGGCGCTGGTTCAGGTGCCGTTGTTGGTGGTCACATCAACGCGGAGAGAAACTCTGCCTACGAACCGGAAGAAGAGGACGAGGAGGAAGAGCTGCCTGAACTATCTGTATGGATGGCGGTTCTGTTCCTATCCATCTCGACCGCTCTCGTTGCTGTGAATTCTGAGTTCATGGTTGACGGTATCGATTTCATCACTGCACCTCCTAGCCCCGTCAGTAAGACATTTGTTGGTTTGATCCTCATTCCCATCGTTGGTAATGCTGCTGAGCATGCCACTGCTGTCACTGTCGCCATTAAGGACAAGATGGATCTTGCTATTGGAGTTGCTGTCGGCTCCTCTATGCAAATTGCTCTTCTGGTACTTCCTCTCATCGATGTTATTGGTTGGATCACTCAGTCCAAAGACTGCATGGGCAATGAGATGTCCCTCAGCTTTGATGGTTTCGTAAGTGCTTGGAATTTATATTGTAAAACTTGTGCTAACCATTCAAAGCAACTTGCTCTCATCTTCGTTGCTGTTCTCCTCGTCAACTACTTGATACAAGATGGAAAGTCTCATTGGCTGGAAGGCGTCTTGCTCATGGGCATGTACATCATCATTGCAACCGCAGGGTGGTTCTACCCTACTACAGACGACTGTCAGGCGTGATACATCACACGGCGGCAGACCACAGTCTTACTTACTTCACTTGCCCGGCGTTGGAGGATTTCCTTGTGAAGATATCTGGACACAGATGTCTATACGATACCCAGTCTCTTCAGCCATGGCCGCGAGCCTACCTAGCTTGGAGATCTCTGCGACAGACCTGTGATTACCACTCGGGACTCGAAACACGCTCCATATCGAACTTTGTCGAGCTCAAATGCCCATCGGAACCGTCTCGAGAAATCACGGGTTTAATACATAGTTGCGTCAGTGCATAAGCTTTCTTCCCTTTGTGATCTGTACATAGTCGATATTACTTAACTAATCTGGTTTGCTGGCGATGCTCGTTAAGATAAGAAGAAAATGAACCCTGAAAGAAATGCAACCTTTCGTACAGTAGTGATGTCTCTTATGTAAGTTGGAAATGTTTACAGCCAGAATCCAGGTCATTATAATGCAAAAGGAGCCTGAAAGGTTCGTCCCAACATCCTTATAGTTGATCACCGGTAGAGTAATCGATACTGACCATACCTGTGAAGGAGGTACCTGATGCGCTATCATGCCTTTTTCGACTATTTCCCTACTTAGCTACATCAAAATTTGTACTCAAACAAGCTACACTCGAGTGCACTCGTTTCACTCATGATCACCGCAAGCTCCTGCTCTAGCCGCTCACTCCCGCAGCAGGCATCCTGAGTTGAGTGAAACCAGATTTTTTCAGAACTACTTAAGCTCATCACTTGAGGATGATCCTCTATCTCTTCTACACCTTACCTCAGCTCACCTTACGCTTCCACGACCTTCTCTTGATTGATTCCTCTTCCTGTCTACTTCTATAAATGACTACCTGAGAATTCTCTCCTTTGTCCCACCCTCTCGCTTACCGCCGGTCTAACTTGCAACGCTTTCCGCTGAATAGATTGCTACTATCCAGGCTTCAACTAGTATCTTACTTCCAGTTTTTGTCTCTCTTGTTTTATCTTATCTTCTTTATTGCCATCGTTCCTAATTCACCCTCTGAAGCCCTGGTCCTCAGATCGTCCACTTTGTGGTCACTTCATAACGAATCTTACCCTACGCCTTTCACGCTTCTTCGGCTTGACTTGACCACGTACAGCTCTGGAGGTCACCCTTCAAGGACCACGCTTCAACAGAATCACACAGGCCCTAGCCTGACTTCGATTCTGACAAACCCATCCTAAAACCAATTCACATATCGCAGATCTGCTTTCATTCTTTTTCCTCTTCGTCCAAACATATCTCAGCTTGTGGCAATCGCCAAACTTTACACCCATTGAGAGTGTGAGGTCTCACCAAAATCTACAACAGCACTTGAAAGTTGTCACGACGCATTCCCAGTTTACTGCCGTTCATTTCCTTCAGTAAAGGTTCGTGGCGCTATGGGTGCCTCCATCGCTCCTCGCACTGATGCCCTAGTCAATTTCACCTCCGACAATCCTGTCGTCAATTCCGTTGAAGGAAATTGCTCGCTTGAAGAACTGGAATCTTCAAACTCTGCTTTCTACGATGATGAGCTCTTGCAGGGACTCCACGGTGCTGTGGAAGACGCTCAGGTCTCCAACACCGATGATGATGATGATTCGAGTGACGCAGGTCTCTCAGATACAGAGATTAGCTGTGACGGAATCGCAGGGGCCTCTGCGAAATCAAGAGTCGACTCGGTTCATCGCTCACCAGGCCCTCCGAAAGGAAATTCACCTGAAGACCGAGATGTGCTGATGTCTGACCCGGAGTCACCTATACACCACACTGCGCTCAATATCCAGGATCTTCCAGCTGAACGAGCTCCGGAATGTTCTGATGGGTCTCCAAAAATGGGCTATATGGCGACGTGGAATCCACATGGCCACGCGGGGGCTAACGATGACGCCGGTGGTACTAATCCAACAAACGTCACGCCTGTCATGTCTCTATTCGGACCAAAGAAACTTCAGCAAGTCGACTTTCCAAACTCTAATATCGCTACGTCAGGCTTGTTCGAACACTCGGTCATTTCTCCTGAGCATTCAGCTGCAAGACAACAACGGAGGTTCCCTTCCCCGGATGTTGCAAACTCAGTTGCAGTTGGCGACATCAGAGATAGTACGATCCCTGATTCAAATGCAACTGCGTCTATACCAGATGCGGGTGCTCTACCAATCACATTCGATTGTGATCCTGAGTCACTCTTCTTGCACCCCAACGAAGGCTGTTCTGGCAGTCATAGTAGCGTAGTATCGTCATTGCAGGAAACCCAAACTGGATGCAGCGGTCTTCAGCGCTCCGATGATGAGCACAATATGTCGGAGGCCTTATCAGCTTGTACGCCATCATCTCTCTCGTCAACGGCTGGACGGAAACCAAATCTTGTCCAGCAAAGGATAAAAGACGCACAGGCAAAGGCCAGGATGAATAGCTCTTCAGGCTCTGGCATGCATAGTGCTTTCAGTGCAACCAGTAGCGGAGCTGTTGATCGTTCATTAGAGGAGTACAGGAGAGAGCATAAAGCGCTCGTCGATAAGAAGACACGACTTCAAGAGACTGCTGGTGAACTCGATGCTTTCGAATATGAAATCGAACTACAGAAAATCGAAAATCAGATTAACGATTCAGATCGCCGTCGGCAAATGAACGAATCTTACTTGTCAACGAGCCAGTCAGCATATGAGAGCTTGGAAGACATTACTTCATGCAATAATGGTCCAGGTCGAAAGCGCCGGTTCGAGGGCGGAGAATATGATGATTTAAGCGACAATGACGATAACGACAACGACAACGGGCTTCAATCAGACAACGAACAGACGACATCAAGCGTACCCAAGCTGCCATCTAAGGCCAGGAAGACGAAAGCTGCAGCGAAGGATTTGCAGCAATCTGAAGATGTTCAGTTTGAGGAACGGCCGAAGAAGAAGAGGAAGTCTGGAAAAGGTCAAAGCAAAAGCGACTGCGGTGGTATCTCCAAGGCACCGAAGAAAGCAAGCAGAAAGACTACAGGCAAAGGAGCAGAAAAGAAGTCAAAGAACAAACAAAAAACAATGCTGGACTTTAATAGTCTGACTACAGCAAACTTGATTCGAGATGCGCAGGGCAACAATGAAGCTGGTGCAGCTCCGACTTTCACTGCCACCACCCGTCACCAGGCATATAAGCAACTGGTTGCTTCGGTGGCTGTGGAACACTATGGCACAGCAGAAATGGACAAAACGTTTCTAGCGCGCGCTACGAAGGAGTTCACTGGACACTCGCACGCTTGTAAGCCAGACGGCCAAGGAGGTTGGCTTATTCGAGGTATGAAAAGCAGCTTGACCAACTTCCAGGTGCTGGGATCCTCGTTCATGCGGAAGCGTGAGACTGGGAGTGATGAGCCCCGTGGAGGTATCTTGGCCGATCATATGGGACTCGGGAAGACAGTCCAAGCGTGAGCCACATTATCACCAGTTCATCAGGAGACAGAGCTAACCTATACAGTCTCGCCGTGATTATGAATGGAAACTTCACCCGTGGTGATGGTCCCAGAACGACACTCATTGTTGCACCATCTTCACTATGCCTACAGTGGTTCAGCGAAATCCTCTTGCACTGTCAGCAGAAAGCCTACGGAAAAGTCTTGAAGTGGTTCGCCGGACACCGTCTTGACTCAAATGATGTCCCCGGAGCCATAGCTGGTTATGATATAGTCATCACCACATACACGGAGATCCTCCGCTCCTACCCCTTTGAAGAAACACCATTATGGTGCCAAACAGCGGAGCAAAAGGATCTGTGGTGGAAAGATTGGTTTGAGAAAGAGTGAGTCTCAGCTCAATCATCCCCTTTGCTCGGGAATACTGCTCACATTTTCTAGGAAGGGGCCTTTTCATCGCATTCGTTTCCTTCGAATTATCTTGGACGAAGCACAGGCTATCAAGACATATACGTCGAAAACATCTATCTCGTGCCGATCGTTGAGGGCTGTTCATAAATGGGCAATATCTGCTACACCAATCATGAATAAATGCACAGAACTCTATCCGTAAGTCATATCTCTTCCCTTTAGAAAGCCAGCTAATAGTCTTGTAGCTACTTCAAGTTCCTGCGTGTTCCTAACACGGGAACGTTCGAAATCTTCAAGGAGAATTACACCGGGGACCCATCCAAACTTCGCCGCCTACATGCACAACTCAATAAATTCATGGTGCGGCGTACACATAAAGACCAACTGTTTGGCGCACCTCTTGTCCAACTTCCAACCGCTACAGAACATATCACATGGCTCAAGTTCAATCAAATCGAGAAGAGGGTCTATGACATCGTGAGTAATAGAATACAAGAACGCATCAGAGACTTTCGGCGCACCGGGACTCTGGAGCAGAACTACACAAATATGCTTACATGGCTACTTCGGCTACGCCAACTCACCTGCCATATCCTGCTCCTAGAGGTTGTTTGTAAAGATCTTCTCGAGCCCCAAGACTATGTACAACTTATAGATCTTGCAAAAGAAGAAGCTCATGCCAGGCAGCAAGACGGTCAGGGTCTTCTTCTCGTACAACTCAGGAAACTGCTAGCTAGTCAAGCAGCCAACTCAAGTAGGAAAAATATTGCACGGGTTGACACCAATCAAGTTGAGGCCGCCTTGTCACACATCGACCTCAATGAGACTGGCAAAGATCATGGTCTCACGTACAAGTTCAAGGAATATCTTGATTCTTTGAAAAGGGGACAGAATTGGGCTGAAGTCAATCGTCGCACTATATGTCCTTTCTGCGGCAATCTTCCGGAGAATCCTGTTCTCTCAAATTGCTTACACATTCATTGTAAGGACTGCGTTGAGCAAATGCAGCAAATTGCTGCGCTCAGAGATATGGAAGCGGCCCGCTGTGGGCAATGCACTGAGCCCTTTCATGAACTGAAAGACCTGGCTGCTTCCTACAATGAGGCGGCGGCTTCAACAGCTGCAGAGTTTGCCGATGGCGGAAAGGGGAAAAAGGGGAAGGGCAAAGGGAAAGGCAAGAGGAACAACAAGGACAACTCTACTGACGGAGGACTTGACCCGGATGAGGCAGCACTGATCTCTCAGATCAATCTCAACGAAGTCGTACTCCCGTCTCCCAAGACCTTGGCTGTCAAGGCGCAGCTCCTAAACTGGTTTGCAGAAGATCCCAAGACCAAAGTGATAGTCTACACACAATTCAACCCCATGATCCATATCCTTGCCAAGGTCTGCGCCCAAGAAGGGTGGGATTCCGTCAAGGTAAGTCAGCAAGGACTTGAGCTCTTTGTCAAACTGACACACATAGTTCTATGGTGGAATGTCCATGCACGCACGGGACATTGCCATTCGGAAATTTGCCGGGCCTGACTGTCGAGTTTTCATTGCATCGCTGAAATGCGGTGGTCTGGGTCTCAACTTGACCATGGCTTCGAAAGTCATCTGCATTGATCCCTGGTGGAATGAGTCGGTCGATCAGCAGGCTTTTGGTCGCGTCTTCCGAATCGGCCAGAAGAACGAGACACACTTCACGCGGTTGTTCATCTCGAATACCGTGGATGATCATATGTACAAGATGCAGGAGAGAAAGCAAGCAGAGATTGATGGCGTTATGGACAGAAATGGGAAGAGCAAGTGAGTTTGGCGGGTCTAGAATACGTGTCCGTTCTGCAGAGCTAACAAATGCCCCAGAATGTCGGTCAAGGAGCTTGCCGCTTTGTTCGAACCTAGATCAGGCGAGACTGCGGACGAGGACACCGGTTTCATCATGGTCGAGGACCCAGATGAGTCATATGTACCGTGTCCTCCCTCTAATAGCAACGAGCAGCTGGGGACGGGAGATCTCTTATGAGCACAATGTCGAATCTAGTATCGACAGCTTGGATTTATTTGGGTTCACGGGTTTGGTCTGCTAAGATGAGGCATTTCCAGCACACGTTTCAGGAGTTCAGGTCCTATTGTCCACTTTGAAACGACGTTGAGCGACTGGAGGATACGACGCACGCGAGCATCTTCTTTTTACAAAACGCCCTCGAAATCTACTCTTTTTATACCCGTCTCTCATGATATTCTGGCTTTTGGCCCTTCATCGCGGCGCTCTGTGGCTTCAAAGGGTTATCAATATTGGTTATACTCGGCAGCAGGATTATAGGGTAATGATGCTCTCCATTCATGAAGGGTGGTACCAAATTAGTACGGCGTTGGAGATCTCACTTTGATATATTTACAGCAAGTCCATCGTCATCGACGACCAAGTGGCAATTAGGGGTTCTGGCTGCACATTTAAAGCATAGTTAGCTTTCTCATTCCAATATGAAAATGTCTAAATCACTCAGATATCATGATGTTTTTGAATGACAATTTGAAGGACGATACTCGTGTGAGCAGTAGGATTACTACCTAGTCGTACGTGGTATGACTAATCATCACCTACATAGCACAGCTACGGTACTGTACTAGCGTGATAGGGATCGATAAGGGCCACAGACCGTAAACTGATCAAAACATATAGTTGCTCTTTTGCTTCTTGCAGCTTTACATCTTGTCTACACTACGGTCGCCCCAATGTGGTGAAGTAGAGTGAGTGTCGGCGATGACTTGGAAAGTCCATGTGCTGGTGTAAACCAAAAAGTCAAGTGAATGTAAGTGTATCATCATTATTCTCCTTTTAGACTGGTGGCGGATCCGGATAATGGTGTTCAGCTGCGTGGAACGCCACCAAACCACCACCGACCCGCATCTCTCTACCTATCAAGACCCCCACCAATCTGATGCTCCTTCCATGCTCTGATAAGGAATTGTCGTGGGGAACAACACCTCTTTGCTTGTTCTAACAATTCCCCTCCGTATCTTCACATTCACTCCAACCGACCTTGATGCCGACCTACCTGTGCCATAGAGCATCTATGTTTGCTTCACCCGCCATGAGCTTCTTCGTACGTCGCGACACATGCACGCCAGTGTGACCGCCGAATACCCCATTGAGCTTCTAGCACTTGCACCCACGCGCCAATTGCAGGCATGCCGGATTTCGATCAGTTGCCCTCCTTTTCGCATAAGCATCAACTAGACCTGTCAGCCGATACACCTCAGCCAGATGAGCAGACCAAGCAGGGACGGCCCAAAGGCTCGCGGAAGAAAGACCTCAACGACGAAGCGAATAAGAAAAGGAGGTGTATATCGAGCGCGTGTGTGCCATGTCGCAAGAGAAAGAGTAAATGCGATGGCTCGACGCCAGCGTGCTCGGCTTGCGCTGCAGTATACCGGACAGAGGTAGGATCACATACTACGATTTGACAGCTTGGCGGCTTGCAGTCACAAGGCTGATGATGTTCAGTGTCGATATGATCCATCCTCTGATCATCGTCGCAAAGGCGTATACAAACGCGATATCGACAATCTAAAGACTCGAAACTCTACTCTACAGACTCTCATACAGGCCATCCTCAACTACCCTGAAGATGAAGCGCACAGCCTCGTACGGCAGATACGGACATGTGAGAGTCTGGATACTGTAGCGGACAGCATACTGGCACGGGAAAATGGACTTGAGGAAGAAGAGGAGGAGGAAGGGGAACCTGCGTCGCCGGATGAGTACGTGGAGCCGACTTTCGAATCGCATCTGTCTGGGAAGATGGGTGATTTACTACTAGAGGACGGTACGAGGAGATATATTGGAGGAACGTCTGTTCTACTTAACGTGGGTATGGACTCGGAATTTGACAACCAATTTATGGCACCTGCTCTGCAGGACCACTATGCGTCTGGCAGTCCTGCGACATCATGGACAAACATTACATCTGATGCGGATTTGGTCACACATCTCCTGAACATGTATTTTACGTGGCACTATACCTTTTTTACGACTCTATCTAAAAGTCTATTCTACAGAGACTTCTTCCTGGGAAAGCCGCACCACTCTTCAACGCAGCAGCCCGAATATTGCTCTCCGCTACTGGTCAATGCGATGCTGGCGCTTGGTTGCCATTTCACATCTATGCCAGGAGCAAGAGAGAATAAAGATGACTCTGCAACATCCGGAGACCACTTCTTCCGCGAAGCGAAGCGCTTATTGATGGAAGGCGATTTACATGAGAAGCCACGCCTCTCAACAGTACAAGCACTAGCTTTGATGTCAGTCCGAGAAGCCGGCTGTGGAAGAGAGGCAAAGGGATGGGTCTACAGCGGTATGAGCTTCCGGATGGCGTGTGACTTGGGCCTGCATCTCGACTCAGGGAGCATGCCGTCATCCAAGCAATCTGAAGAAGCTGAAGACGCACGACGTATCACGTTCTGGGGCTGCTTTCTGTTTGACAAATGCTGGTCCAACTATCTCGGCCGCCTGCCGCAGTTGACACGAAACATCATTACCGTACCCAAGTTTGATGTCTTTCCAACCGAAGACGCGGAAACATGGTCAGCCTACACAGACTCGGGGTATAGCCAGGCACATGCGCAGCCATCGAGAACACGAGCTGTTGGAAGGCAAATATCAGCGTTGTGTGAGATCAGTGCGGATCTCATAAATAACTTCTACAACCCGACGGACATAGACAAGTCGAAGAATAAGCAGGCCGAGCTGAAGAAGTTGAGCGATATACACCAAAGACTAGAGACGTGGCGGAGAGAATTGCCAAAAGAGCTTGAGCCTAAGGAAGGTGGCCTGCCAAGTATGCTAGTGATGCAGTGAGTCCAATGTATTCATTTGACGTCAAAGCGTCACTGACTCCAGCAGCATGTTTTTCCAGCTCCTCTATATTCACCTCTTCCGTCCCTTTCTCAAATACAATCCTTCCTCATCGCCTCTACCTGCACACGTCTCACCCCGTAAACTCTGTACCCAAGCCGCCGCTACAATCTCTAAACTCCTCCGCCTGTACAAGCGTTCCCATGGGCTACGCCAGATTTGCAATATCGCTGTATACATCGCGCATTCAGCGTGTACCATCCACCTCCTCAATCTGCCCGATAAGATCGCCCGCCGTGACATCGTTCACGGTGTCAAGCATCTGGAGGAAATTGCCGAAGGCTGGTTATGTGCGAGACGCGCCCTCGGCATTTTGAATATATTGGCGCAGAAATGGAAAGTTGACCTCCCGGAAGACGCTGCGACCGTACTTGAGCGCGCAGATAGTAAGTTTGGATCCTACCAAGGCTCTCATACAACGCCCACGACGAGTCCGCGCAGCCTGCAGGGTGTCAATCCAGCCGAGCCTACCCAAGCCCCGTATGCCATGACCAGCATTAGCATGCACACAGTGCCGAATTACTACACTATAAACAACAGTATGGGCTACACCACCGCCGGCGTCAATCCGAACACATATGCAGACCCATATGCAACAACTCGTGCGCTCCCACCAAACACCGTCGCGAACTTCGCGCAGATCCAACAAGCACGCCAATTACTACAAGCAAGTCCCCGATCCGGCCAACATATCACCCTCAGCAATACTGCAGCAAGTAGTTCCCTCAGCACAACTGCAAACAGCACACCACCAACGACCACCGGCACGACGGGTGGTTCTCCTAGCGAGATCTTCGGAGACCAGCAACTAGTACCGCGCAACGAAGACCAGTGGTATTTGCGTGATCAGAGCCAATTAGCAAGTGGCTTTGGAAATTGGGATTTCGGTGACAGTTTTGGGATTAGCAATACTGGGAACCATATTGGTGGTGTAGCAAGCGCATTCGGCGGTGGCCAGCAAGTTTTTTCGCAAGCAAATGTAGCGAGTGGAGCAGGGCTTGCGGGCGTCCTTGGGAGCTTGGAGGGCTTGAATGGCCTGGGCAATGATAATGAGGCGGACTGGTATCAGTAATCTACACGATGATGGTACCATTTGGAGCCTGGCAACATGGGTTTATGCATAGCGATGGGGCTTGGGTGAGTTTTGCCGGGTGCAGCATATGACGGTGAGGCGCTGGACTGTAGGTATAATTCGGGTCCAATGTATATACGAATCTCTCTCGTCTTTGAAGCGCACGCACGTCTCGACTCGAGACGGAGCATCGTGACATTTTTGCTGACGGCATGAAATGTAATGCCAACAATGAAACAACAACAAGCCTCACTCTTACACATCTCACATCTCACAAAACCCAAAATAGCCTCCCCCCCCCCCCCCCCCGCTTGCCCCTACAACAACCCACTCAGCCAGTCTCTACGTCGCCCGCACCACATAAACGGGCAACCTCCCACACACGACTCCGTCGTCGAAGCCAGTGGTCACACAGACCCACTGCACTAGCCAGTCACAGCATGCGTCGTCCGTCGTCCGGGACAAAGAGGACAAAGGAGTTCTGTCGTACGAGGACTTTCTATGCGTGGGATGGGTGGCGGGAAACGCGGGATATGTGTGGAGTCGGTCTTTCGCGCTTTGTGTTTCTTTGGGACTAAGGGGACCGGGTTAAAGCGCTTATGGATGCTTACGAGGGTGCTAAACAGAGTCTGTATATTTGTTGGTGACAAGGGTCGTATGTGTGGCCATTCGATTTGCTCTTGCATGGCATAATACATCAATGGTGTATGCTAAAAGCTACTGGACTACTAGGCGGATCGGAGCGAAAGAAAGAGGTTCAAGATCTGACTCTTGCATGCTATTCAGCTTCCGTGGAAGGTTTATTGGTGGCTATCGATATCATCATAACTATCACGATGTATTGCTGTTGCCCATCATCTACATCACTGCAGATGCAACCAGACGCAGGCCATTGTCTGGCATTCCATCGATCAGACACAGTCCATACCTTGGACAATTGAATTCGAGGCTTGTGTACATGGGTTCATCTTGTAGAGAGGTTCGAAAGTTTGAATTCTCCCAAGGTCCTGTGCGAAGTCATGAAAGAGGAGTTTGGGGTCAGGGGGAGATATTTATATGGCTTCTAGTGGTATGGCTACGTGTTGAACGAAAGGGGATGAGTTAAAGAGAAGTGCCGGGTGAGTTTTTGAGGTGGAGAACTCGATTACTTATGCCAATGCGCGGGAAGGGCACTTTACAGTTGCTGCATAACACCGCTAGAAGGATACAATGCTGACGACCATCGCCGGTGAGCTCTATCATCGTAGCTGCTCGAGACTGGGAATACCGAGAGCCAAGCATGTCGTATGCTCAACATAGACGACACCACATGGCCCCTACGTGGAACCTCAAGAAAGACATATACCTGTTGTTGACGCAGCAAGGAGAAAGAGAAAGTAGAGATACTGGAGGGAGTCTATATACACTTGAGTAATGCCGGGTATGGTGTGGGAAGGTATGAGCGCCGGGTAGGTCTCGCTACAAAGTATTTTCACAGGTCCGTAATGAGTCAGCAGATTGTGCGTTTACAGGAAGAGTTTGATGAAACTTAGAGTCGCACTAATTTCATCACCGTCACAGCTACATAATGGTAAGAATCATCATCGTGCCTGGTCCATCAGGACTACATGTTTGACACGTCTTCACTGCCACATATGACATTCGAGGGTTGTTCGAGACATCGTAGACAAGCTCAACTCGCGAGCCTGGCCGCCATGCTGCTTGTCAGATGGGATGCCCAGATCTATGAGAAGAGAATATACAGGCTGGAAAGAAGTGGAGATAGAGGGGATTGTATTCTTATATGCATGACATATGATAGGTAGGCTCTGAAAAGGGGTGATCATGCCGGGTATGACCTCTTGCGAGGTCCACATTCACAGAAGACTGCAATAACAGATGTATCCATGAACTATGTAACTTGTTCTCTTCACCGAGAATACAAACATAACACGTTCTAGAAACCTCGCGGAAAACCATCTCGATGATAGGGTAGATGTGAACACGGAACAGTGATGATTTGCATCATCATCAAGCCTAGTTCAAACGATCGTAGTTAGCATCAGATATGAGCCACTGGGACATTGAGAGTAGTGTAAATTCGACAACAACACATACACTCGCTTGGTTGTACCTAACCAGCGCAACATATCCAGGGCGTCTTATTAGAGGGTGCAAAGAACACATATCACTCCCAGTTGCGACGTAGAGTATAGAAACTTACTTATCTCCACGTCGGATATTTACTTCGAGAGAAGAAGGAAGAAAGAAAGTGATTTATTAATTCGAATAAGCTTTCCTATAAGCTTGTTGTGTCGGGTTGGCATACGAGTCAGCCTGCAAGGATCTCGGAAGGTAATATACAAGTCAATTCACAGATATCCGTTGAGGCCCCTTGGTTAGTTCCGTCTGTAGGATGAATACTAGGATACGTCATCATCAACTCGACAAAGATCGGACCCGACACAAGGTTCCGATGCACATTAGCATCATGAATTTCCATCACCGTATACTTCCCACCGACTCAACGGAAAGACACATCTGATCAATTGTGGAGAAAATGCGACCTGTGCCCTACTTTTTGACCGACACCCACGACTGCATGAACCGGCTTGCACTAATGCCTAAAAGAAGTACTTCATTGTAGCTGCTGAGACGCCGCCGTCGTCGTCTTCATGACCATATACTGGGTCGATATCGGAGGGCACAGCCCACCTGTGGAGAGACAGAAGAGAGAGTCTTAGGTGATATGATGTTATATACACCTCGCGCAACGAAGACTTTGCCGGGTACGCTAGAAGGGTGTAGATTGCTCTTCACAGTGCTAGATAGGTATGTTAGGTGCTCACAGATGTGTCCTTATTCACAGAAACCCACGCGAGTGAGTGTGAATAATGAATGAGCAAGATGTACCGCTATCGGTCGGTAGGCATTAGCACCACCAAATCACGTCAGTGATTGTCATCATGACTATCACTGGTGCTACTAATCGCGTAAGCCGCGCTGAAGTGATTAGGAAGCATGTCAAGGTGTGTAGCATACTCAACAGAGTTGAACAGCAAAAGGCTTACCTGCGAAATCTCGAAATGCGGACGGTCATCTAGTACTCTCCAAAGTGCGCTTGACCAAAGACTCGAAGGTGTAATCAATATGCGAGAAGACCGGTAGGGGCGGCGGAATATATACAGTGGGAACCCGCCAAGGTTAGATTACACAGCAATACAGTAACACCGTTGAAAGTCTCTGGCCTGAGCAAATGCCCAATTAAGGAAACTGTGATACATTTCAGACACAACACCTATGCCGTGCCTTAATTCACAATGTATCACCACAGCCGATCCTGATGAGGACCATCATTATAAGTCTGATCCGCCAGACCATAGCATTGTTTGCGGACGCTAAAAGTACGTAGCTAGATTCATGCGTACTTCGATATGAGCGATGTTGCTCTCGCATCGCATTGCACAGTCCGAATCTCTCGAGAACTGCGATCTGGGAAAGATTGAGTTAGAAGCGGAAGAGATATCCAGGCTGAGAGTATGTCATCTATATGACGCACGAGTAGAATAGGATGCTAACTGAATCATATGCTGGGTAGACACTGCTGAGCAAGGCTTGAGTACATTTGATGTGAAACCCCCAACTCTTGGGCCGTTTACAGGGGTGGTCCTTTTCAGGCATCCTGAACAGTGCTACTGTCTTTTAACACCCCCTTTCTTCTCTTCGCCTCTCTTCTCTCTCTCTCTCTCTCTGTGTGTGCGAGTCACTGTCAAACTTCTAACAAGATCGTTGTAGAAGGATGGTAGCCGCGTTTGGACAATTGTGCCAGCGAATGAAACATGGCGTTGCTACTCTAGCGATAATTATGATGAGTGTCGTCATTGCTAGATACTCAATGAGGGCTAAGTTAGGAGGTACTAGTCCGAACAGAGATTTATATCTCACTGTGAATTTTGCATAATGAACTAGTTTCAGGGGTAATAAACTGTGCTGGCTACCTCATCACCTCTTCCTTATTTTATATCTGTACTTTGTCTATTGCCCACTATTGACAATGCTCCTTCCGCTAGCCTTCTTCAGTGAAGCTGGCTGCTATATCTTCAGTGTCACCGCTTATATCTCACCACGGGAAATTGGGGTTTAATGCGTGCTTGTAAGATATTAATGGCACAAATGATGCGCCGTGGTACTATTTTGACGACTATAGGCAGTATTGACGGCGGATGATGGGCAGTGTCGATTATATTAGTAGCAAATGCACAATATTGTAATGATATAGAGAAGCTAGCCGATAGCCTTGTACTGCAGGACGGTCTGGGCGTCAATAGGAGAATTATAATGGGACGAGAGCCAACTACACATGTACCTCCCTTTAGATAAGCATATCAACGCTGTGTTCTCATTGTATTCACCATTCTGATCCCCCTTGTGCTTCCTCAAGTATCTCAATCTTGAAATGTTATGGTCTTTGTTCGCAAAAACTCCTCCAAGCCCCATGTCGCGTTAAACCTACCCCAACCACTCGCCTTAACGCCTCCGTGCGGCAGCGCACTCTCATCATGCACACTCATACTATTGATATGCACAGCCCCACTCTCAATCTGCTTCGCAACTCTCAAGCCCCTGTTCAGATTCTCGGTGAACACAGCAGCCGAGAGACCATATTCAGTATCGTTCGCAATCCGTACCGCTTCCTCCTCGCTCTGCACCTCAATCACAGAAACAGAAGGCCCGAATGATTCTGTTTTGTAGATATCCATTTTCTCCGTTACGTCGCCGACGATGATGGGTCGTAAGCGAGTGTTGGATGCTTCCGATAAGTTAGGATCGCCATGAAGGATCTTGGCGCCGTTCTCAACCGCGTTCGAGATCAGGGACTTGTTCTTTGTTACACCGGCGGGTTGTATCAAGATAGGGGCAGGCTTGTCCGTTGGGAAGGCTTTGGTCACGGCGGCTTGCAAAGCGGGGATGAATTCTGCCATAATGGCCTTGTGAACGAGAATGCGTTCGGTGGACATGCAGATCTGGCCAGACTGTTGACGCATGAGTTTATCAAATTGGGTAAATAGGGAAACAGCCAATATCGGGAACTTACATGCAAGAATGCACCCAGCGCACACTGCTCTGCAGCCCTTTGCACATCCGCATCATCCAGTACAATCGCACTCGCTTTTCCTCCCAACTCCATCAACACCGGTTTTAAGTTCTTCCCCGCCTGACTCGCAATGATCCTGCCCACCGCCGTACTGCCCGTGAAATTCACCTTCTTCACAAGTGGATCTTCAATCAGCGCCGTCGTCACAGCTGCCGCGTCTGCCGTGCGATGGTATATCACATTCAGACAACCGTCCGGCAAGCCTGCCTCGCGCAACACGTCTCCAATGGCCCAGAATACACGTGGCGAGAGCTCACTGCCCTTGAGTACACACGTATTGCCGGCCGCAAGCGGGTATATGATGGACCGTAGTCCAAGCACGAACGGCGCGTTCCATGGCGCAATGCCCAGTACAACACCATACGGCTCCTTGTATACCAGAGCATTCGCACCTTCTGCCGCGGGCGTCGGAATACTGCCCATAATGCCCGAAATACGGCCAGCAAGATCGCGCAGAACGTCAGCAGTGAGCGGGACATTGAAATCACGCGAGAAGTAGTGAGCAGCGCCGGTTTCTTGCATCATGTAGTCTGCACACTCGTCAGCGCGGGCAGTCAGAATATCGGCGGCGCGTAGCAAGATGTCACGGCGAAAGGCGGGCTTGGTCTTGGACCAGGCTGGAAATGCATTGCCGGCAGCAGTCACAGCGGCTCGAGCGTCATCGACGGTTGCACTGCTGCAGCGCCAGATACATTCTGATGTGGATGGGCTAATTACGTCGAATGTGTTCTTGGTGACGATATTTTCGCCGTTAATCAGGAGTGGGATGGTGTAAGACGACATTGTTTCTAGTGTGATGAAGATGAATTGTGGAAGATTTGGTTTGGTTGATAGTTTTTGTGTGAACGATGTGCCGCATCAAAATGCCGAAGAAAGACGCAAAGGTAAAACAGCCCGGGCACGCGTTCTACGCCAATCAAGTCAGATCGGACATATCTGGTGTAAGAGGGGGTGTCGTCTCACCACGTTGAATGAAGCAGGTTGCAAATATGTTCGAGGTGAGAAGACGGATATTCGAAGAAGTGACAAAGTGGTTGTATATTAAGAAGAGCACTGAGGTGACCGATCGCATGAATTGACAAGTCACCCCGGCGTCTTTATAGTATCATGTCATGAGACTCGCATCGAGGCACAGTTTGATTCCTCTGCGGACGAAATAATGATGCAACATGCAGGAAAAGAGAAAGCTATTGGTGTGTTGTGATGCGGTGCCAGCGACAGTCGTTGTTGTTGATGTTCCATGCCCCGCGTCCCCGACACATGTGGGTCAGTCATATCATATATCCTTGCGCAGTGGACCAGAATCGATGTCTGTGATGGCGCTTTCTCCTGCATGGTTGCATCCCTCCAAGCTCTGACTGCATCTTATCGTCGATCATGTGCAGGCCATCCTTGAGTATTGGCCTGCATCTGTGCTCCCTGCATACCTTTCTCCCTAGCCTACATACGTAGCACCATGTTCTGCGCGTGTGGGCCTCGTGTTCTTCGCGCTGTAATAAGCATCAATGCGTATTGTTACACTTTGTTCCTCTCAGGGTCGCGGGGTTATGTTGGTTTGACGTGTGGCGGCGATACCATGAATATTGGGCGGAGGTCCACTCGAAGACCAAGTATTGGCCATAGGTCCGCCGACCTTCTTCTTCAGAACCTCGATGATCTTGGTTTCAGGCCCTTCTCTGATGGCAAACCGAAGTATTGTGTCTTTCTTCTCCGCTATCTTCTTGTCGATGCCCACAGCATTACGGCCTGCTGGTCCGTAGAATCTGGTCAGTGTGGCATGCGCATGCCATTTTGCCATTGCTATGTTGTGGTAGACGCCAATAATCTCCGTATTGGACTCCTTCTTGTGAGGGTCGAAATGTCCGTCATCATGCATTAACGTTACAATGTAAACAATGTCCAACTTGGCTACACCAACATTCAATGTCACATCCGGGACTGTCATGGGGGTGACTTGAGCTATTAGCGAGCTTCGAGAACGCGCAGCTAGCATCTCTGGTGTTTTCGGATCTTCTTGTAAAGGTCTTAGACCCTTTATTTCGATCCTGCTACATCCATCGGCCATGCTGTGTTCGCAGTTGAAGTCAGCCTTGGCAAAACCTTGTAAAAGATGAGACCATGCTGCCCCATTCGCGGCCGGCTTTGTTGCGTATGTTCCAGCGCAATATACTGTTTGTATCTTGACCTCGTCAGACGGCGAGTCATGGGGCTCGATGTCCGCAACTACAACCGTATAGACTATCTTGTATTCCTCTTGTTTCGCGCGTTTCGGGGCTGGGCTTGCGTTTTCGAGCGTAGAGGCAGGAGTTTCTGCTTTCGCCTCTGCAGACCTTTTACGACTTTGCGATGGGGCCGTGGCTTCAGGCTGCAGTAGGTCGGAGCTTGCAGTGTCCTGTGCAGTGGAGGACGACGAAGTTGCGGGGATGGCGTAGCCATCGTTGGAATTGCTCGAAGTATCCGGTTGAGGGGGCTCAGACCGGCTTTCATTGTCAATGCTCTCGCGTAACCGACTAGCGAGATTTTCTTCTTCAGCTTGTTGCAAGCGTGCTTGATGCATCTGCTGGCCAGGAGTATTAAGATGTTGGACGGAAGGACTCATGTGCTGGTTCTGAGCACTGATATGCTGATTAGGAGAGCCCATGTGTTGGGCTGACTGTTGCAAGTGTTGTGCCGATGCAGTCAATGGTTGACTGCTCGTGCTCATGTGCTGACTCGATGCATTTATTTGATGGGCAGTTGGGTTAATATGTTGGTTCGACGCGTTGTTTGGTAATCCATGACGAGGACTACTCTGGTAACCAAGACTAGGTGGAGTCTGTGTATTGTTTTGACTGTTACTCTGGTTCAACGAAGTCTGGATTGGCGTATGTGTATCTTGTCTAGATCGTCGCTGTGGCTGGGGCTGAGGCTGCTGTTGCTGCTGTTGCTGCTGCTGCTGCTGTTGTTGCTGCTGTTGCTGTTGCTGCTGCTGTTGTTGCTGTTGCTGCCCAAGCATACTACTTGGCAGGCCACGCGGGCTCTGGGTAATAGACTCGTTGGCACGATGTTGCTGCATGTTTTGAGGGTATATGAATTGTGGCATTTGCTGCATTCCAGAGGGGGCACCAGAGTAATTGTTAAATTCCATCGGGAGCTGCGGCGGTTGTTGATGGTGCTGTGTTTGTTGTGGCGGCTGCTGCTGCTGTTGTTGATGCTGCTGTTGGGTATGGGTTTGGGCGTGATTCTGTCCATGTGCCTGCGTGTGGGTTGACGAATGACTCTGGTGACTTGAGGCATGATTCTGAGGATGGTTCTGGACGTGATTTGGGGCGTGGCCCTGCGCGTGATTCTGCGGATGGTTCTGAACATGGTTCTGAGGATGACTGGGATGAGTCTGCCCGTGCGTCTGGGTATGGCTTTGCTGATGATTTGAGGCATGGGACTGAGGAGCCGGCTGCGCGTAATGGGAGTACTGGCTGTGACCATACCTTTGAGGCATATGAGGTGGCAGCGTGCTGTAGGCAGTTGGCGGAGCGTGGCCTTGGGGATGGTCATTCTGCGTGGAGAAGGGTGGGAATTGAAGTTGATTTGCATTCGCGTTCGCCCTTGGTGGTATCGCACCGCGCTGGGACGGAGCTGGCATCTTTGAAAATGCGCAAAAGGCTCGGCTGCATAGTTGATCGAATATGTGAGGGTTTTGGCGATGGCTGGCTCTCACACGCGTGAAGAGGCCAGAACCGCTACCGCTGCCTCGATCGCCGCTTACCTAAGGCCAACTCAGGTTGGATTGCCAAGCCAGTATCGATCTCTCGCCCCCGTGTCCCGGTCTTCCATTTTACTACCTTAGGCAGGACGTCCGCGCCGACACAACATGATGAATATTCGACAGCGCTCATCAGTCTTTCAAGTCTGACTCTATATATGCTCATAGCTTTCTGTCTCCGTTAATGCTAATCCTTGACATCAACTCCCTTCTAATCAGCTAGGAGTAGAGTCACCTGTATGCCGCCATATATTGAGAATAGACAGATTTTATATACGGACTGAGTTCTCCTGAATCATCGACAGATCCCAGAATGTCTCAGAGTAAGTACATATTTCTTGTGGTAATGACTGATCTATACTGACCTGTTCAAGAACCAAGACAACTCATCGAGGCTGGATATTACGTACTCACCTGAGAAGTTGTTTGGACTACAAAACAATGCATGACATGAAGCACTCAATAATAGCAACTAGTCGGTTTCTTGAAGCTCACAGTGAAATAAGGGAGGATCGTGTGCGATCACTCTGTGGACTTTGGTCTTAAAGCCTTACTTCGGTTCACATGGGAGGGAGACGGGAGAACACAATGGCAATCTAACCTCCATATGAATATGGCACCATAAAAGAAGCTAGTTCTCCGATTGTGAGTCGTCGACGGCCAGGTCACTTGCTATCGTTCGCTACCAGCGCACCACTGTTGGGCGCGTTCATATCTGATGTGACCATGAACTCTCCAGTCTTTTTCCAAGCATCAAACCGAGACTATTCTCGTGATGGCAGGTTCTAGCAAGGCCGCGCTAAATACAGCTATACAGTCGATATCGAGGCATGGGCTGATAGGACAGATGCAATGTTGGTTGTCAATCTGAGGCTACAGCCGATAATTGCTTATAGAGCTTCATTCTCGGTATCTGATCACAGCTTGACACGCGCACTTGTCCTCGAATGATGTCGTAAAGTACAGCTCGGTGTGGTCCTCGTAAGCGAGACAATGTTCGAATCAATAGTCTGGCTACCATCTGGAACTGTGAGCTATATTTACTTGAATTTCAAAAGCGGTTAGGTTATGTCCATCTATCCATCCATCCATCCATACATAGCACAGCCACTCCAGGCTCCTTGGATTACCTAAGCTAGTAAGGTATCCGCTCCACCGGTAAGATGCCGTCTTATAATACTGATATTTATTCTCTACAGACGAGTCTGTATTTTGTATGATGGTCGATATACTGCTAATAGACAGACTTGAGACTAGCGAAAGCTGTAATGAAATTGATGGTAACAGATAGTCATGTCCGTGTTTACAGGCAGCCACAATAGGTATTATCGGTCCTAGGCCATCGAGTACTAACTAGCGTGCATCATCCATGAAGCGTCATGGTGGCCCACTACGGTGTTGCTTGCGGGTCCACTGGGGGCTTGTCGGCCAGCCTGCCATTCAGTATTAAATGTCAGGTAGCTATCCATATTTCTTCCTTTGTCCACCTCCACACACTCAAATAAACGCCATTGCATAGCCAGCGCCCTCCGCTGACATCCTTTCGTTCGGCTGAGCTTGTTCATCATCATCATCATCAATCTCTCCGTCTCCGCCCGCTGTCCTTGCTAGGTACTTCGGACAGCCGTCCCACCTCACGCGTCGATCTACTTGCCATATCCCGTCAATACACGTATCATACAGTCACTTATCGAACCACCTCCAGCTATAGTCAGCTCTAGCAATGTTACTTGCCTAGACACCAAACGCCGGCCCTGTGCTACGGTTCAGCTTGATTGTCACGAAACATCTGTGCCGTACGCCTACTCACATTACCTTCAAACGTCCATCGATACCTTGTTCGCTACTTCACGAGGCCAAAGAACATATCTTGCGTTATCGCAATCCTTCCCATACTCGGTCACATCCGTACAACATTAGTATTACAGAGGGCAGCGCATAATGCTGGACGGACTGCTAACATGGAGACTACGGAGACCAATTTCGAGCACAGCTTCCAGAGCGTTACCACCCCTCGAAGGCTACGTTTCAAGAGAAGGGCATACCATTCTGGGTCTCTACAATGGGCTTTCTGCCTTACGTTCTTAGCCACATGCTCGTCAATCCTTTCGACAGTGTCTGCCGCCTTTATAAACTTCGAGAACTGCTTGTCTCGAGGCGTCACACAGTCCCATCCGCTCCTATTACAGTTCATACCTACCAACGTATCTGTACATCTGAACACGACAGCGACGACACCAAGCTTGAACTTCACAATTTACGGAAATGTATCCGGACAGACCACAGATGAGCCATATCGTGGTGCCAGTGACCCCAGGTGGCTCGATGCAAACGACACGTTCGGCAAGATCATAGATTCCTCGGGCGGTAAGCGAGCGACGCTCTTTTCGAGGTTCAATGTTCTATCTTACAGGGCTTATAATGCTCCGCCCAGCGCCTTTTGCGAAAATGTTCTGAACGAGCCCTGCCCGCTGAGACCTGCCTTCAATGTCTCTGGGTCAGACCTGAGCGCCGTCCCGGGCTTCACGGTCTCACTACCTTTGTACAGCACTTACGCCTTTGCGACCCTCGCTGGAACTATCTCGATACAAGCTGCTGGATCAGGCGACACCGTTGCTTGCGTCTCGGCGAACGTTACGCCTGACTTGGGTAACACTATAGCCTCCGTCTTGACGTATCTACCTGCCGCTATTCTGATTCTGGTGGCTATTGCTACTGTATCTGCGGCAATATTTAGTCCCTGGGGTACTTCAAATATCTTTCGATGGACAAGTAATTACGGCCGCGATGAGGATCTTCTGCGCCTTGTCACACCAGGATTTGGTGACTGCTTGCAGTATATTCAATTCATCGTTCTGTCTGGAAGTCTGAGCTTGAACTACCCTGGATTCTACCAACCAGTCGTCAGCCAGGCGGCGTGGTCTATGCTAGCCTTCAACAACAGCTTCGTTAGCCATGGTGATGGATACCAAAGCCTTGAAGATGGAATGTATAACGTGAATGGAACTCATGGTCTTACCCGACTTCGACAGTATGTCGGTCAAACCAGAGATGACGACTTGTGGGCCGGATTTGCAGTATACCTTCTTGGTATCTCCCTCGCCGTTGTGATCCTCAGCCAGCTTGGCTTCCTTCTTCGTTGGGGCGCCCGCGCAGTCTCGCGTGTCCAGGATGGAGATCTACGCAGTATGAATGTTCCGTTCACTTTCGGCAACTTGATTAGAATCTCCTTCAACTACTTTTTGCTACCAATTGTGGCACTATCACTATATCAGTTGGTTATCGCTCCAGACTCCAAAGCCGCCGTGGTCGCAACTGCCACCATCATGCTCATAGCAATATTCGGAGCTGCGGTCTGGATCTTCCGGCTTATATTTACCACTCGGCCACGCGCTCATCTGTTCGATGATCTTCCCACTTTGCTCCTGTACGGTCCCCTCTACAACACTTATTCTGACGATGCTGCTCCGTTCGCATTCATTCCCGTGCTCCTCACCCTCATCCGAGGCGTCACCATCGGCGCCGTGCAACCGTCAGGCATAGCTCAGCTTGTCGTGTTGGCAATCTGCGAGGTCATTTTGATGCTAACTTTACACGCATTCCGCCCCTTTCAAGCTCCAACGTCCATGAACGCTTACCACACTTTCTTCGCAGTCGTCAGATTAGTCGCCGTCTTGCTTTCTGTATCGTTCGTCCCGTCGCTTGAGGTTTCGGAGGCTATAAAAGGATGGATAGGCTATGTTGTACTGTTACTGCATGCCATAGTACTGATTTTTGGCTTCTTCTTGAACGCTTTGCAGACCATCATTGAGGTTGTCGCAAGACTCCTGGGTGCCGGTGGCGAAGCTAGGGGCGGATTGGCCACCGTGTTTGGCAAACGCCAACTCTCTAAACGCGGAAGACATCGACGAAACCAACGGAGTAGCATGAGCTCTCAAGCGGCTATGCTTACAGCAGAACGTGACATAAAGTCTCCTGGAACTGATGGACGAACGAGGAGTCTTTCTGCTAGTTCGGCAATTCTACTCGGAGGTCGAGCCAGCAGTGGCTTCGACCAGTTCAGTCAAGGTGGCGACTATGGCACACCTCGCAGAGTCAGCCCTGGGGGTACGGCTAGTCCCCTCCCGTCTGCCATGAGCGGCAGCATATCAGCGCGTACTTCTCGCAGACCAACCATGGGATCAATTCCAGGCGAAACATCCGACACTTTCTACCGAACTCCGAGAATGCGGCGTCCGACGATAGAGATGATAACTGGTGGGGATCCAGATGGTGAATCTTGGGCCCACGGCGAACAACATAACCTGTCTTCCCGAGACGGGGAAGAATATACAGGGACTGGAGATTTGGCAGATGCAGGTGAGGGCTCTTCGACCCGCGATGGGGTCGCTCCGGCATATCTGAGAGTGCAGAGAGAAGATTCCGATGTGAACCCACCGGAAGGCCTGCGGACTACTGACTATGCCGTGCGAGAATCAGACTTCTATTACGGTGTGAGCAGAGGCCCTGCGCTGTCAAGCCAGCCAACACGACGGTTGAAGACGGGGCCCGCAGACCCGACAGGTCCCGTGGCATCTGCCACTGGATGGATCAAAGGCTTCTTTGGAACGAAGAGAAGAGATAAAGGCAAAGGCTTCGAAGTGGTGCGGTCTACACGAGCACCTCCAGAGATGACTCCTCTCGAGGAGGTCATTTCTCCAGGCGAACGTGAACCTTACCGAGATGAACCAGAAGCCGCCAGCCGGGTTCGTGAAGGCGGGACGGATACGTCTTACAGTGGTGACGTTGAGCAGAACGCTCTTCCAGTCATTCGCGTACCTGCGAGTGCGCCAGCCCTAGCACCCATTGAGGGTATTGGTGGACTAGATCTACCAAGCAAGTGGGGATCCCAGGTCAGTTCAAGATTTCCAGGAGACCGGGGTGCCTTTGAGGTTGGCATTCCAAAAATACCTCGAAGGAGCTCAAAAAGAAACTCCTTCGCCGATGCAGCCATGATAACCGATACGGTCGATCTACGTCCCACCGCAAGTCAAGCCACGATTCCCATTCATCTCCCCTTCCGATCAGACGATCTTTCGCCTTCTCCAGAACGAGGTCCTTCGAATGCATCCAGCTATGGTGGTGTGGGCCAGGAATATACAGGTCAACCAGTGTCCCCAATCGAGGGAGATATCAGTACAACTGTATTGCCATCTTCTGATCGTCCCGTCAGTACGGGCTATGTCCAACATCACGTCGCTAGCGACAATATCCGTCCTGGCATTTATCGGTTGAGTTCGGGAACACAAGCCGAGCTTGTTGATTATACAGCAGGAAGAGATCTAAGCCCTGATCATACGCGCGGCTGACAATGGTGCAAAAAAACGAGGCAGCACACCTACATTGAAAGCGGACCACGCCTCACACCTATACTCGGGGCGTAACGAGACGAATTCCATTGAGTCACAATACGAAGCGATGGCGTTGGTGAGGTGGCATTTACGATGAGGGTATGGAGTAAAACAAGGTGTATCAAATACAACGGGTGTGCAGGGCATAATACCCAAGAACAAGATTTAGTAATGGTCAGATGTAGCAGGCTTCTGCAAAGAAAAGGGCTGCTACACATAAAATAGCTGTAGGATATGCCATAATAGTGAATGAGTTCTCAGTCAAGCATGAGCTTTCTTCCTACATTTTTATTAGTTTCCATCAGCCAGGAGACTGTAACTAGCCATCATGACCTAAGTGGTAAGTTTAAATAGTTTGGAGTAATCACAGGCCTGTCAGTTTGTCACTTGGTGGGTCGATTGGCGAGTCAGTCAGGTCGCCGGGAGCGGGGCCGAGAGACAGGGCTAGGTACTGTAGTGATACCTGGTGATCCACAGATAAGGCAGTACCTCAGGCAGTAAGTATTAGCTCGATTCTCTACTCTCCACTCCCATAACCTTCCATGGGCTTCAAATCACTTCATGAACTTCCTCTTCACTTATCTTTGTCCATATGCTTAACGTCACTCTTACCGACTGTGCCCTTGTTGGGATCTGGTATACTAGTGTCGTACCGAACTGCACAGCATAACCCATCAATACGCTTGACCGGTACGCGCGGATTTAGCAAGTTCAAGCCATTGTGAGTGTTTATATGATGAAGCCATACCACTTTCTCCCATGCACTGCCACTGATATGCTCCCCATCATAGTCTATGAAACCTGAGCTCTGTTTAATACGCTGAGAACGGATACCTCTTACCATCCTCCTCTCGTTCCATAGAATCGGTCCTCACTACATCACACGACCTATCCACCCACTCCCGTGCTCGTCACTGACAGCCGCCCCCCCCTGAGCAATCGTCCCCACCTATGCACAGAAACTCGCAGAGTAGCTACATTCCACATACAAGTGCCTCTTCGTCACGTAACGCTACGACTGGCTCGCCTCAGAGCCGGGACGACCAACGTCGCCTGAGCGTAAGAGAGGGCTATGAACACTTTAGGCGAGCCGATGTGGACTCCAGGGCCATATACCATCCCCAAACCGGTGGCTCCTACGCAGATGAGCGTAACGGAGAGACTTGGCTAGATTTTATAAGGAACAGAGAGGAGCCTGAAGCTAGTGAGCGAGTGTCGAACCCTGCGGCTTTACGAAGCAGACGTCCAGCTGCTCCGGCTTACTTAAACACTTCTGGTCACCGTGAAGGGACTGATGCACGCAAGAGACGTTTGACTGCTCCAGAAAGTCCAGGCAGAAGACACGGAAACGGGCCACCGCATAGTGAAGATAATCGCGCCCCGGGAGTCATTTCACGATACAGGCCTTCTATTCCACTGTCATACAGCAGTAGGGAAGAGTATGTTGGTCGTGATCTTCAAAATCCATCGGCCATGGAAATTGTAGACTCCATGCCACAAAACTCGGATATTGCAGACCAACCTAGCTCCATGTCTACAGATTTCAGTGCACTCGAGCCTCCAGGTCGCAATGATGTTATACTTCCTCTTTGGCAACCGGATCATGAAGTTTCCAAGTGCCCTATATGCGGAAATTTCTTTGGTCTGTTCTACAGGCGACACCATTGCCGGTACGTCAACATCGAGACACGCTTCCACATTCACCCCAAAGATGACGCGCTTGGCCGTTTCCAGCCCCTTGCTTGCTGAATGTTTGCGCATAACGCATGGCCTGTGCCCTGATACTGACCTTCTTTTTAATAGGAAATGCGGCCGTGTCGTCTGCGCAAATTGTTCTCCCCATCGTATAACGATACCACGGCAATTCGTTGTACACCCACCTTCGCCTACAAGCGGCGGTTCCTATTTCAATTCTGATCTGGATGATATTGGAGGCAATCCTACAATGACGAATCCCATGAACAATCCAGCGCTCGGTGGAGGCGATGAGGTTAGGGTGTGCAATCCTTGCGTCCCAGATCCAAATCTAAGCCCACCGCCTCAGCAGCATCGCTTAATTGATGGCTCGACATTTCCAAATTTCTGGGCAGAAGATCGGGTAGCACATCAGCAGCGCGAAAACTCGCATACAAGCACGAGGCACGATAACAGTGGCAGCTCACCTATGCCTTCGCGTTCTTCGCTTCATAGACCTTCCTATTCCATCAGTGGACCGTCGGTGGTACCACCAAACATTCACAGTCGCCCACGCAATTATGATGGACGTACTGGGCTCTACCAATCATCACCAACAAACAGTCAGAATTCCACCTCTCAGTTACTTACTTCATCGCTGCCTCAGATGCACCGGTATCAACACATGAATCGTCAGCTCGACTCCATGCGAGCGCAGAGAAGACCAATACAACGCCAGTCGTCAGACGCAAATGCCTACTTTAACACCACGTCCGCCTACAATACTGGACCAGATATCACACCCAACCCGTTTCTACCAGACCCTTCGTCTCCTCTCCATGCTCATACAAGTCATCCGATGCCCGCCCAACAGCGACCGCAGATTGCGGAAGAAGACGAGTGTCCGATATGCCAGCAAGAACTCCCACCCAAGGGCCCGGATGGGAGCGAGACTGAACGCGAAGCACACGTCATGGACTGTATCGCATCAAACTTCGTGCCATCTTCTACACCATCTGGCAGTGCTGCGGCTATGCCGTCCCCTTCTATTCTAGCAGGCACGGCTGTCGCTCCACCAATGCCGTCACCGAGGCAGAATGCTGCTCCGGCCCGGTCGTCTTCAACAAGTGATGCAGTCCCAAGCAGCTCCTCACGGCCTCGGCGGCAAACAGCAAGTCGGATGCTGCTGTATCGTGCGACGGAGAAAGACTGTTTCGACAAGGATGGAGATATACAAGAGTGTGTCATCTGCTTCGAGGAGTTTGCAGAGGGGGATGAAATGGGGAGGCTGGAGTGTTTGTGCAAGTTCCATAAGGTATGTTAGTCTAGGTAGCGTACGACTTGGGTGAACTAACAGCGATAGACGTGCATTCGCAAATGGTGGGAAACGAAAGGCCAGGGGAGCTGTCCTACCCACCAGCTTCATGGCTAGATGTCGTCGTGGAAGGCGTTTGGGATTGTATAACTGGAGTTCATGGCATTCTGCAGTACACTCCAGCGAGTTCTAGCATCGATCGCTTCGAATGCATGATTGAAGTCATCACACTAGCTCACTTGCTTACTTGTCGTGCCTTACTACGTGCAATTGCGCTGACTCGGTGTATCTAGCTTTACTGTCCGCAAGCCCATTGTCTGTTAATTGGCGTTAGTATTACTGATCTATGGTGATTAACCTTCGTTCAAATGTTCTGAAGGCAATCATGATTACCTATAGAGAACAGTGAGCAGTGGCTACTCTCTCTGCGGCAATATAAGCCTGATCGAAGTCCCGTGTCTGCAGCTGACATGTATAACTGGGATGGTAATAAGCGGCGAGACTGCCAATTATCGTGTCGAGCCTTTCCTGGTTGTTCACAGGTCGAATGATAGCTTCCTCACTGGGCTTGGGCTTACATTCATGAGGCCGATCGACATGACAAACAAGCACAAGGAATGACGTTCGTCTGCATGAGACTATATCTTGGTGGTCATCTTCGGTGGCCAACTCCGAAAGGACACACTACAGTGGTAGTAGTGACGTAGTTATCTGTCTTTGGAATATCCAGAATGTTACGCATTCAGGCATGGCTAGAGGCTAAGCCGCGCATCCTTCGCTTCTATGTGCTAGGCCTATTTCTTCTGGCTGTCTGTTGATAGATTTGCAGATCTACGCTTAATTAGTAGATCCAAGCTTCCATCATTAGCAAATAGTATGGCTAGTACAAGTAAGTGCCGGAGCTAAGTACTACTTCTATAGATGGTAGAAGGTTTTGCGTATCTTAGGCCAAAGTATAAAAACACGTAGAAGTACTCTGTAGCGGTCTAGCTTCTCCCTCTGCTGCGCAGTACTGTACACGACTCGTAGACATGAGCGATTTTTGAGAGCGCAAGGACGTCGCATGTTACTGATCAAACCGCTAAGATGTATAAGTAAAAGGCTATGATAGAACATCAACAAGTCGCACAGACCTGACTCGTTAATTAAGCTTGGACATTGATCATTAATATGATGTTACTGGCGCTCGCTTATGTCAAGCGAAAGAAATGTCGCCAATAGACGGTCATCACAACTCGATTATTGGACGTCAGTCAGACATGGTGCCAGATGCTGACATGCGCTGCACGCTCATATATTTTCTGATTACCAGTACTTAAAGTAGTGAGTGCCGCAACGAATATCGCGCCAGCGAAGATCCTCGACCGTTTGCAAGATGCATATGTTTGATCTTTTGGCCTGCGTTTGCTTTGCTCTTGTGCCAGTTGCGGCACTTTCCAGCGACGCCGACATATTGGCTACGGCCAACACAAAACTCAGCACAATCGTTTCTCGTAGCGACCAGAAATACAGCTGTAAATGCTACCCTGGCGACCACTGCTGGCCAGCAGCAGATAAATGGAACGCTCTCAACACAACAGTTAATGGTGCTCTGCGTAGTGTAGTTCCAGCGGCGGCTGTGTGCCATGAGTCGTTTCAAGGGAGTCCAACATACAACGCCGAAGCATGCGCAGAAGTCAACAAAAATATCCACAGTGAATCCTGGTGGTAAGTCCTTCCCAGATACCTGCAATTCCGAGCTCAGCTAGACAATCCACAGGACCGACCAGCCCATCGAGACAATGTGGACATACTGGAGTAACAACACCTGCACCCCCGACTCCCCCAAAGAGAGACCTTGCACTCTCGGCTTCTCGCCCTCGTACGTCATCATGGCCACCGAGATCGCGCACATCAAGGCCGGTATAGACTTTGCGCGCCAGCAGAACGTACGTCTCATCATCCGCAACACCGGTCATGACTTCATGGGCCGCTCGAACGGATACGGTGCGCTGGCCATCAACACGCATAAGTTCAAGGATATCTCCTTCACCGGGAGCTACGCTGGCCCGGGAGACTGGAAAGGCGGCGCTGTGACTGTCGGCGCAGGCGTCCAGCTTCGGGAGCTGTACACGGCGGCTCACTCGCGGAGTCCGTCGGTGTTGGTCATGGGCGGCGAGTGTCCTACTGTCGGAATCGCGGGCGGATACATCCAAGGCGGCGGCCATGGCATCATGGGGACGTGGTTTGGGATGGCAGCCGACAACGCTTTGGCCTTCACAGCCATCACTGCCGAGGGCGAGTACGTGACAGCCAACGCAAACGAGAACGCGGATTTGTTCTGGGCGTTGAAAGGAGGTGGACCGGCGAGTTACGCCGTGATCACATCGCTGACGCTGAAGACGTTCCCGGAGATGCGTGCTGCAGGTACAATTCTGAACATCAATGCCACTCACACGAATGACTCTGCGGTGATATGGAAGGGCGTCGAGATTTTCCACAGCTTCGCCAACCTCTATGTCGACAATGGGTTCTTTGTCTATTATGAGTATGTTTCGGCCCACACTTTTTCCCCACACTTTCCCCAGTCCCGCAGCGGAGAATAAAACTGACATCCCATCCAGACTCCTCGGAGGCAGCCTACACGTGCAACCCTTCGTGGCACCAAACATGGATGCCGCCGGCATCAAAGCCGTCCTTGCACCCCTCTTCGCCGCCCTGGACGCCGCATCCATACCCTACAGCACGGTAACAAAGGACTTCTCCTCCGTCTACGACCTCTACATCGACCTCTTCGAAGACGAACCCCCCTACCAAAACACCTACATCGGCGGCCGCATCTTTACACGCGACGACATCTCGTCGCGCAACCCCGAAATTATCAACTCGTACAAGGTCGCCGCCGCCCCTGCGCCGGGCTACGTCGGCGGCATCGTCGGCCACATTGTCGGCCCCGGCCACAACGTCTCGCAGGCCGACAACGCTATCCATCCGGCATGGCGCAGCGCCAGCAGTTTCTCTATCGCGCTGCTGGTCGTGGACCGCGACGTCTCGTTGGCACAGCGGCAGGCGGCGCAGGATGTGTTGACGCACAAGACGGGTGATGCGATGAGGGCGGCAAGCCCGGATGGCGGCGCGTATGTGAATGAGGTAATTTCATATGCTGCCTGATCGTGACGGACAGTGGCTGACTCTTGACGTAGGGCGATTTGAATGAGCCGGACTGGCAGCGTGCGTACTGGGGCGATAAGTATCCGCGGTTGCTGGAGCTGAGGCGCAAGTGGGATCCGAAGGGCGTGTTTTACGCCAGAACCACGCCCGGGACGGAGGAGTGGGAGGTGCTGGAGGAGGGGACTAGGCTGTGTAAGAGGAATTAGGAAGGAGTATGGATGTATCGATGGTGTACAGCGACTGTAAGGTATATGGCGGATTGTCCTGGGTGGTGAGCTGTATCATGGTGACGGGCTGTATCATGGGTAAAGACGTAGGTGTTGGGTGAGGGGGCGTAAGATGGATTGGGACTTGAATGATGGTGGACGGCGTCCTGTGCAATGACAGGCGGGTTGTATAGAGTATAGGTTTCGTTACGCTCTCGTTAGTATCAGTCATACAAATGAATATAGTGTATTGTAGTATCATGAAGGCTGAGAGCACTGTACCAGATACCCCAAACATCACATGCGTCTTCCCTTCTAGACGACGACGCTCTGGACACAGTTGGGAGGAAGGATACCTCAACCAGTCCAAACGGTCAGACCACATTGCAGTGCGGGTATCTTTGCCAACTGCTATGGATATGGATTACTATCACTGAGCATAATATCATCAATGCGCAGTATCGCACGCAATGCATGAGAGCATCACTATAACCAATACTGTGGCCATTTGCGTTCCAGCGCTTCCAACCTCTAGCCTCGTATAATAGGATATCCTTGTCGGAAAAACAGCAGTAAACTTCCACATTATATGCTGAGATACTCACATGTCAAACGTTCCCCTTCTTCCAGTCCATAATCTCCGCATGTTTCTGAGGGTGTGCCCTCGAATAGTAGTCAGACCACAGTATGTTCCAGCACATAGCTGGAGTCTACATGTGCATACCACACACATGGCGGTTTCAAGAGTGCACAGCGCATACGACATGTGATAGATATAAGCAGTACTGAGATGATTGGACATACTCTGTGGGAGAGTGGGCGCTATGGTTTGTTTGATGTTCAGGTTCGATTTTTGAAGCTTTGAGATTTGTCAGGAGACGTGGTGTTCAAGGTTTTAGGATCTGGTACTTTTATGTACCACGTCGCTGGTAACGGCAATGTCCGGCGCACGTGGGTTTGCGATGGATGGATCGATAGAAGTGTGCGGAGTCCGAGCTTGGCTTGTGTTTGACGGGGAATCAACGATCCGAGGGCGTGTTTTAGGCAGCATAGAGTTTGACGTTGACGTTTGACATTGAAATGAACATGTGAAAGAGTTTAACGCCCGACGATAGTATCGAAATTTGACATCCATCATCTATTATCGCTATCAATAACGATATCGATACGAAGAGCGCGAGAGTACGGTGAGAAATGATAAACACTACCGTTTCAAACCCCAACGCGCCGTCTATGCACCCATGCAGATCTCGAAACAGCCGTGACGGACAGCACATGCCGTGTAATTACCCACCCATCCACAGCCACAGATTTGTAGATCCGTCTACACAGGCGCTTCTGTCCATACTGGGTTTGAGTGCTCGTTCCGGGGTATGTGGACCCTTTCTTTCGAGTCATGATAGAACGAGAAGTGAAGCTATGACTCGTGGTGGATAGATGCTGAGATGAGAAACTGGTGTGCATGTGCTCGTTGCATGTCACTATACCTCGTAACGTGATAATGGCTAGTTCATGCGATGCGCAGCCATTACTCGCGCTCTTCACGACCTCCTAAACGGCCTCCGCAACGAACTCTAGGCAATACCTACTGCACATGTCGGATAAGAGGATCCAGGCGAGTATGAACGATGCATTAACGGACGCAAGATGTAATATGCGAGCCAGCATGCGTCCGCTGCAGAGCCATGATGGTGCGTTCGTGCAGGTTTTATTATCTTGTGTTGTCTTGTCTTATCCAGTATCAAATGATATAATCATGCTGCGCGAGTCAGAGTAACGATAAGGCACACACCTTGGGAATAGTGTCGGAGAGATTTACCCTGAGAGGGTGATGGCATGGGAGGGGCGTGTTATGCTTGTTATAGCGTCGTGGTGTAGAGAAATGAAATGGCGAATGGTGATAGAGGGCATGCTGTGCAATACACTGTTCTGATATATACTAGGCCGGAGTAAAAGTGGCTAGCTGAGGTTACTAGATCGCTAAAGCCGGTAACGCCTCCTCCGCACTGTAGATCCACAAGTTCACAAGAGTCTCAGATTGGCGGCTTCAGCTTCTCCGCAGCACGCAAGATTAAATAGTTGGCACATATCACATGTTTGCATCCAATAGAGCCTAGCAGAAGCCATAGATCGCCCTATTGAGGCAACGATTGCACTAAGCAAACAAGCACAACCAGGCTGGGATATTCTCCACCATCCCCAAGCCATCACAAAGCAGTAGTGTCTATCAAAGTACTAGTAGTCTGGGCGGCAGAGTTACTGGCCTATTACAAGCTCTCTGTCCTGTGATATCACCTTTCATCAAATTAATGCACCTCCTGTTCACTCCCAGAAACTGAATTACTACAACAGCGACAACAATAGACGTTGCATCCGGCAGTTGTTCCAGTGACACGTTCCACCGGCCCGCGTTCGGCAGGTGGCCGCGTGTGTGCGACAGTACTTTATGTACCAATACCGGTATTAATACCTGATATACGGCAGCCCTGTAGTAGCGCAAGTGCCAAGCACCCAGCCTTTTTGACACGCGCGCGCGGGGTATTATTGTTAGTAGTAGGTCCGAATGCGATCGTATGCTCGCATCCATGTCATTCAGTCAATCAGCCTAGCCCCTGAGATTTTTTATATCCGACAGCCGGAGAAGACTGCTGAGCAGGGATATGCACACATCACCGATCGAGAAATGCTTGCGATGATGCATGGAAGGAGGACCACATTTCTTTGGCGATCCGGAAGCCCTTCCGACTGTGACGACTGGACTGACGACAATGAGAATGAGGATGAGACACCACGATTTGACGTGATGATCAATGTTTTTGGTTCAATAAGGATGTAGAAGTGGTTATTGTCAAGCTTTTGAATATGGACATGAAAGTCGTCATGCTGAAACGCCGCGGTACAGCTGATGACGGCAAAGACAAAGTGAGAGCGCCTGGAAAACGCTCGATCAGACCACCTCCTTCACCACCATCCACTGGGCCCTAAGCCAACCCAACAAGTTGCAACGCCATTCGCCATCGAATTCCTAGGTAGTTGCTCTATGGCCTCGCTCAATCATGAAGCAGCAGTAGCATCGTCATCATCATCAACACCCAACCCCTGATCCGCCTCCTCATGGAGACTCATACAGCGGCCCCCGACTGTCCGCCCGACTCAACTCATTGCTATCCGATACCACAAGCTTGCTCTCCGCGGCCCTCCTCACGCGACCGGGCACATACCACATCGCCCACACGCCCATGACCAGCACCATCTGATACCCATCAAACGCATAGCTCGTCCACTCATTCAAGCTCAGGAACCCGTCGGGCCCCATGCCATAGCGCGTCAGCACCATCAAGTTGCGCCCGCAAATGATCATGATCCCCAGGCCGAACAAGCTGTTCCAGCGCTTCCAGCGTGGGAACACCTGCGCCGCGGCTGCGGTGCCGTGACGTGAGAGCCGGAACTGCACGACGAGGCCGTCTGCGAACACGAAGAGCCAGAAGAACATCTGCATGATCAGCGATGCGATGATGACCTGCGTGGCGGCGCGGATGCTGCGGATCGCGTTGTCGGTTTCGCTGAAGGCCAGTCCAAAGGCTTGGACCAGGAGGCAGAGCACGGTGAAGGAGAGGTAGATGAAGCGTTGGAAGCGTAGCGGGACGAGCGTGAAGCGGCCGGCGTCGAGCGAGGCGATGTAGGCGGTCTGCGTGAGGACGATGGTGACCATGAGCAGGGACGGTCCGAGGAGCAGGAGGATGCTCATGCCGTTGTACAGTGCGGACGAGGCGGGGGATTGAGTGAGTGCCGTGCGGAGAGCGTAGCCGGTTGTTTGTGCTGTGAGATGTTAGTCTAGAGACTTGATATTGTACAATGGCAATGAGAGAAGGAAACACGCACCTATGCCGCCAAGCACAAAAGGAATGTTATCCCATGTTGATGTCTTCAGCGTGCGGAAGATATGTAGAGTAGTCATGACAGTGTACAGACTCAAGGCCACCGCCGCCAGCGGCAGGCTCGGAGAGTATGACAGAAAGTCGTGATGCTCAGACGACATGATGGCGACAGGGGATGGATGATGAATTGTGAGGACGAGCGTGCCAGATGTTGAATGGCCATGGCTAGCGGTCGGCCATGAATGTTATCTTTATATCGACGACCTCGGGGGCGTTTCAAAGCACTAGAATATCGGATGGGCATTACGCGTACTTGCATGCCGTCACGTAGGCGGTGCTTGGGCATGGGTGTGTAAGTACAACAAAACACACAGTCCACAGTAATTAGTCCTGAACGTCTGCCCATGATTCACCCGCCAAGTGTTTAGTCCACGCAACCTCGCTCCAGCATCGGGCTAGTAACTATAAAACGCTCTTAGCAGGAAACACAGATTATACCACTCGAGCAAGTGCACCGCTGGATCGCCATGCCATGCAGGCCAATTCTCTCTCCGTTTGGTTGTGTCTAATCAATTGCATACGAGAGCCTGTCAATCCGGCACTCGAATTAGCAGGGAACAAAAATGCCATATAGACATCTAAGGGGATCTGGGTATGTCGCACGCAGGGCCTGTATCTACATCGGAGTTCCGTGGACTACTACTGCTATTACACACTTCGGAACACAAGTGCACGCATGCAAGCTAAGGTTCCGTTGTGAGAGACTGCCGCTTCAGGAAAGGCGCGGTCAAGACTTCGTACTCGGGTACGTTTACGAGGCTCGTTTCGAGTACGTCGCGATTCGGACTGGACAGGCAAACCATGTCCATTCTTCCATCGGACCAGTAGGATTGCTGCCTTTGTTCATTTAGCATTCCCTCCAGATAAGCTTAACGGAATGTGCCAGGGCAAAAATACAGGGATAGGGTGCTTGCATTCCTGTCGCACACACTCTTTTGTGTTCTTCAGCCTGGCGGCTTGGAGGCTTGTAGGCTTGGGGGCTTGGACGTTGGGAACTTGAGTATCGTGGCGCTTTGGCTATAAGAAAACGAGAAACAGCATGCTTGCCTGTGGGGTAGGGCTGGTCAGTGGTTGGGCTCCCCTATGCCCAGACTGACTTGATGACTGCGACATACATAGTAATCACATCTTATAAATTACCTTCCCATCAGTCATGCCACCGTCTATATCACTCTGTGTTTATAGCATCTTGACAGTCTATCTGAAGACACGATAGATTTTAGCTCTGCTTAGCGCGATCACATCAGTTCATGAACTGTAATGAAACGTGTACGTGTGTTATGAAGTAATCACAGGCATGCCATGAGTGATTAATTTCTACCAATCACTAACACCTCTAATATAAAAGTCTCTAGCATTGCTAGGCCCAATGAACATGCAGTGCTACGTACGCAGGCGCTCAGCCTTCTACGTCATGTTGCAATAATTGATCGTATGAGTAGCAATGTTGCATACTACTGATCGCTCGGAACCTTCCACAAACCCTGTCTGAGGAGATACTTACTACTGGACATCTTTGTACGTCGCTTACTGTATCCAATAAACATCTGGTCTTGCCATAAGTTTCACACCTGTCGCAGATCACCAGATGTGTTCGCATGTTGATCGTCTCGCACATGTGGGCCATGCAGTAGTAGTGTGTTTGGTATATACAAGGCGGCCTATGGCGTACAATTATTTACAACACCAGCAACAATGCTCGAGCGCATGCAAGACATGCCTCCGACGCCATGGCTATAAAACCGAAGGCCATGTCCGCTCCGGCAAAACTAGCTGTCACTGAAGAACTCGTCCCCGTTGAATCCTTCCCGTGCCGGCTTCCATTTCTCGATCAGCCGGATCGGAGTCAGCGTGATCAAGCCAGAGTATTGCTCAACTCGAGCAATCTCGCATTCCCATATATCTCCAGCTTGTGGCCTGACTTGATCAACATTGGGATAAACCGTCCGACTGATGTCGCATCGAGGGTCCATCATGCTTGCGTGAAGCTCAAATTCTCTGACGGAGACCTGGATCTTCTGAACTGTTATCAAGTTCGTCATGACCATGCACGTTACAATACGTGGGAACTCTGGACACTCGTTGAAGTGAAGCGCGCGCCGCACTAATTCCCTTTTCCAAAATTTTCCATATCCACCATTCAGCATCGATATCTGCTTAATGCGAGCCGCGACGCGGACGAGTCCACTCTCCAACGTTTCTTGACTGTAGGCAAGACCCGTCACTGCTGCGGGCATCTGGGCGAGACTTTTGCCAGCTCTAGCTTCTGCTCGGAGCGCGGATTCTATTTGCCAGTGCGCTATCATGTCTGCATACCGACGAAGCGGGCTTGTCACATGAGTGTATGCGTCTGCGTTTAGACCAACGTGAAAGACTGGTGTGGTCGATATGTATGTTCGCCCAATAAAGTCCGTTGACTTGACTGAAACATGTAAAGGTGGAATCCCATTCTCATCAAGCGAAGGCTCCCATACATTTTTGACAAAGCGTTGGAACTTTTCCTGATCCGCATATGGATGTGTGCCGCGAAAATACAGCGGAACATTCCGGTCCCGTGCCCAGCGTGCTCCAATGGTACATGCGGCGACCATACTTGTCTCAACGATGGCTTTTGCAACATGGCCCTTGTCTCCGTCGCCAATAGGGGCGTATTGCGTAGACCATGGCCTTGAACGCATTTCAATTACCGGGTCCCCCTGCGAGAATATTGCTCTGTCTGGCTGTGTTGATGAGTTTGGCAATGGCTGTCCAGTGCTTGACGAAACGTTTATCGAGTACAGATCACAATTGACGAAGGTGGACCTCTGGAATTGCTTGCTTTGGTTTTGAGTGGCCTTGTCCAGGGCTTCAGCGACGTTCCACAAAGCCTGCAGATCTTTGACTTGAGAAGGACTGAACTTTGTCTGCAAAGGACGCGTTACCTTAATCTCTGGAAGTGCGCCGCCAACAGTCCATTTATTTGGAAAAATGCTTGGGTGCCCGCCCAAAGTTTCGTCAACAGCATGGCGCGTGGTCAAGATGACGTTCCGAATAATCCCAGGTTGAACCTTACTCTCCAGAATCGTTCCACTGCTATCAATTCGGCCACTAAAAGTCAAAACCGGTCGATTCGACTGGAGACTGAACCAGCCTTGTGTAACCCATTTGGGCAACAATGGCACACTGTGCGACCCAGAATATACAGTCTGTATCAAGTGGCCTGCCAGTCGCGCCAGAATATGATTTCTTGGTATGAAGGCCGTCGGGTTGGCTACATGCACATGAAGCCACCACTGTGCAGTCGCTCCTCCCTCGATTACTTCCACCGATATGCCATCGTCAATCTCTGAAGCTGATGCGTCATCGATGCAGTAAACAGGGAGCTGTTCCCAATCCTTTCGCAGATCTGCCATCGTATCGACCAGGTCCTTCTCGTGCATCTCTGGATGAGAAGCACTGGCAGACGCACTATCAATCAGATTTGAATAACCATATCCGGGCAGCATAAGACTCGGTGTGAAATTGTGGTGATCCTCGTAAGTTGTTAAAACTCCAATTTCTTGGAGGAATAAGAACACCGTAGCGACCCCAATATTATGGCCATCGTACCTCCCAACTTCGTGCATCAGGGTCGGTAGGAGAGCTGCTATATCTTGTTTTGCGTAGGTTGATCGTTCTACAGCGTACGAACGTAGCGCTCTGATTATGAGGCGTTCATTGCTGTCAAAAGTGGCCTTTACAACGCCTCTTTCTACCGGCAAAGGTTTGTTCGCTGTCTGTCTGAGTTTGCTCGGACCCAGCCCACCCAAAATCGGGACGGCACCGAAGGTTATATTGGAAGGTGACCTTACTGAACGACTATGAGAGACCAACCCCTTGGCTTTGGTGACGAACCTTTCAATGATTGATACCCCTGGAGGGGCTAATTGTGACTTGTTTCCTGAAGCCTGAGAAGCACGCCACGTCTTGTAGTTGCGGATCCAGCTTATAACGGTTTCTATCTCGGTCAAATTTGCTTGCGCTTTAACATAATACTGCTGTGTCATATTGAAGGTGGAATACGAATAGTCAATGCCCGAGCCTGCTCTTTCGAGTGCTAGATGAACTGCGGAGAGTTGCTCAAAGCTGTTGTCTGCATGTTCTTCCAACAGATACTTGATAGCCTTATCAAGTGACCAGATCTTGTCTTCAGTAGGATGTGCGAGAAGTTCGTACGCAAAATCCAGTCGGCGGTGGTGTTCCCGGTAGATGTCAAGATATCTTTGTCTAAACGCCGAGAGCGCTTCAAGCATGGGAGCGCAGACTGTCAGAGAAACATGGGAGGTGTCTTTCTTCTGGACGTCTAGGTAATGCGTATTCGGCGCATCTACTGAAGACTGATTCATGATGGTCATACATGACTTGACTTTCATCACTTCATCCTGGCTGACGAATGCAGGGTATCGAAGTAGGATACTACCGAGGTAGCAATCTATGATCGCCCCCTTCGAATTCAGAAATTTGCCATGGCCTGTATCTCCTGGGGACACGTATATGGCCGCAACAAGATCATTGGCGGGGGATCGAATCTTGTTACTGAGAAGTTATCAGCAACTATACATGATATGAATGGCATGCGGGGCTTACGGAAGCATGCATAGATCACCAGGCTGTACTTTTGAGGCAAGACTTAGACCAGAGCCATAGATATCTTCTACCTCGTCCGGGTCATAATTTATTGCCATGTATCCGTCTCTCTCGTCTGCGGCTTCTTCTTCCATACCTAATTGGGCCGCTGCATTCGCATCGCCCAGCGCAGGAATGAGATTCTCGAGGCATTCCTCCGCATTCGGCGTACCGTTTTGTTCTTGCCATAGCTTCAATTGATCGCGAATTCCTTGCGGGGGCGGACCTTTGGGGTTGTGCGTTGATTGGTCGTGCGTCGACTGTGCCAGCTACACATATCATTAATATTGTACCAAGGGATCAAGAATATCATGTTGAGAATACCGATGTGGATTGACTGAACGCGAGCGCAGGCTGAGATTTTGGTATGGTCGAGGAGGAGTTATATTTGCGCAAGCGTGTAGGTCTTCGCCCACGTTCTGGGGACGTCGTAATTGCCCGGCTCTGTAGCAATCGTCTCGAGCGATATGCGCTCTTTTGTAGGCCAGCTGTCGTAGAGACGACGGTTCTCGAAACGCAGGCCCAGCAGAACCTTGGGAACTCACTACTAGGGCTCAACATGGCAGAGGTTGTAGCTCCCTAGGTAATTATTGAAACAGGCATACCGTAGCCTGTTGAGCAATCGTAGACGAAACACGCTGAATATCAATACGGAAGATGGAGAAGGGAAGACAAAGACGTATTATAACAAGCACGAGCGCGTCGATTTGCCTCTGCCTGGTGCAATGACTATTCATGAATTTTTGAGCACGGACCCGCACCGTCCTCCGAAACTCCGCATTTGCCTATTTATACAGACAGCATATTAATACACTTTACACAGTACTTTGCCACGCTTCAATCGCATTCCACAACCCTTTTTGTTTATCTCATATTTTAGGTATGGAACACCCAGATTCTCTTCCTATGATCTTCCCACATGATGCGTTTATCATAGCATGTATTACCCGAAAGCAACCTTCATGGTTGCTCTGTGTGGATACTTCTACTTTTCTGACTCCCTTACGCGACGAACCAGTTCCTGTTACTGCATTTACACCACCGAATTAGTGCTAACCATCACATAGGACTGCTACTGTAAAATGTCTATATCGAGCTCAGACACTCCATCTACCTATTTCACCATTCTGTACTTCGCTGCTGCATCGGACATCACCAAGAAGCGATCGGAGACTCTCACTGCTCCAGTCCACGTGTCCCAGCTCTTCACACTGTTGGACAAGAAATATCCTGGTCTTAAAGATAAAGTGTTGTGCAGCTCTGCGATCACTGTTAATCTTGAATATGTCGACGTCGATGAATCGATGTCAGATGAAGAGGGCCTAGTTATAAAGGCGGGCGACGAGGTCGCTATAATACCACCAGTTAGCTCTGGATGAAACCTCATATCGTCTCGCAACTTGGGAAAAGTGCTCAAACAAGTGCTACTAAGGTGCGACTGCCGTCGTCATTTCATGTCCAGACCTCCTGACTGCACTGTGCAAAGGGCTGCAAGTAAGGTGGTATATTCAATCCGTAGGTCGATATTGTGTATGTAGATTGGGCATTGTCATCGTCTTTACGCCATTCCTCAACAAAGCAGACAACGCACTCAACCCACGCTATGAGGAGCATACACTCCTTGTTAGTCATGTCATCTCCCAAATAGGTAACATATTTGCCGCGTCTCACCAATTGAGCGGTAGCCAAGGCACATATGACAGGCTTCCAGGGGGAGAGGCCCATGCTTTGCACTATATACATCTGCAATTACGTCGCTTCCATCTTCTCCGTACTCTCGTTCTCTTTCGTCTCGATGTCGCTACCAGTTCCTACAGCCCTACTTGGTCTCCTGAACTCCGAATCATCGCCAAATCCGCCAGCCTTCTGAATCTGAATACTTTCCTTCACTGCTCCTTTCTTAAGGAACAGCCAATCGATCTCCTCAAGTGTGAGGTTAGTGGTTTCCGGATAGCAGAAGTAAATGAGTGGAACGAAAGAGAAATTTAGACACATAAAAATAAGGTACCCTTTCCACTTCAGATTTTGAATCAGCGTAGGCGTCACCATCACAACGAAGAAGTTCCACCTTGATCAAACCAATTAGCAAGCTTCATGTACCGCCGCCACATCGAGAAACTTACAGCCAATTACTCGAAATTCCAACCGCAGAACCTTTTGCTCTTACGTGCAAGGGCAGAATTTCGGGGACGTAGACCCATGGAATGCAATTCGCTGTCGCTCCGAATATGAGCATGTAAGTGAAGAAGAAAGTAATACTGGCGGAAGCCGTGGGCTTTTCAACCGATGTGCCGGCGAAACTCAACAGAATCGCAATGAGCATCATGGAGATGCCCAAGCCAAAGCTACCCCACATCATGGGCTTGCGTCTCCCCATGCGATCGAGGAAAAAGGTCGGGACCAGAGAGCCGAAGAAGAACATTGCGTTGATACAGCCCCCAAGAATGAGAGCCAGATTGCGGTCAAGCCTCACGTTATTCTGATGACATCAGCGCCAGCACTGTTTATGAGTCCTGGTCTCCCTTACCTGTAACACTGATATAATATAGTACTATTCATGTGTCAGTAATCCATACACTTCAGCAGCTTAATGGTACTTACGACAACTAAATTGATGCCTCCCATTTGATTCATAAATTGCATACCATATGCGAGGAACACTCTGCGCCCGGTCTGTACATGATCACGCTTAAACAGCTCCGACCACTTGTACGCGCCGTTCTCCTCTTCCATGGCGATGGCATCCAGTACTTCATTTTGCTCCTTGACAATCTTGGGCGCATCGGGTGGGAGATCATACACATCGCAAAGCACCTGCAGCGCTTCCTCATGCTTCCCATGCTTATACAAATACCGTGGACTTTCCGGCAGCCCAAAGACCAACCCAATGACCACCTACACAGGCTATCAGTTCGCATCTCGATCGCATGATTGTTTCACAGACTCACAAAGGCAAAAATAACCTGACACGCAATCGGAAGCCTCCAAGCAATACTTCCCTCGGCAAAATTCATCCCGTAGTCAAACCAATACGCGATCTCGATTCCAACGCCCACAAACAGCGGCTCACTACTCACCAGCCGCCCCCTTTTCTCTGCCTCACACAGCTCGCTCTGATACATTGGCACCGTGCTCGTCTCGATGCCTGTGCCAATGCCCGTGATGAATCTTGCAATCATGATATGCGGTACGCTGAACGCACACGCCTGGAGAGCGCCGCCCACGATGATCCAGCACATGGCGATCCACATAGCCAGGCGACGACCCGTACGCTCGCAGAAGATGAAGGACAGGATGCAGCCTGTGAAGCAGCCCAGGTTATAGATGGACACAATTATGCCTTCGAGGGAAGGGTTAGGGTGATTGAACTGGGCACGGAAGCTTTCGTTGCCGACGATGCCACTGAAAACTCCTTGATCGTAGCCTTTAGGGTATGTCAGTGGTTTGGTGAGATTGTGTAGGAAGAAGACGAGTTAGATACCGAAGAGCACGAATGCCATCTGGCAAGCGACAGTGATGGCAGCACGCAGCTTGAAGCCGCGACCATACATGTTGAACTTGAACATGGTAAACACAGCCTCAAGATGCGTTTCTGGGCTTATCGAACGCAAGGAGAATGTACAGCTTGCAGAGCGTAGGAGACGATGCTCGGAAGACTGCGACGAAGTTTGTACTGCCACAAATACAGGACAACAGTCGCCCTTAACACGAGACAGTTCGCCGGAATCGGGACCTAGCTATCCTCGCTCTATCAATACCACGAGGCCATCGGAGATGGTGGGCCGTAAAGCAAGGGATTTACACGCCTTAATCTAAGTTGAATGGCGGATGCATCTGCAACGGCAAAAACATCGCTCGGCTGACCTGCATCAAGTCGCAGCTCTGGTGAGCCACAACGTCAACCGGCACATTTGATCGCTCCGTTGCGCGGGTATCTTTCTACGGGATGGGGCGGGTGCGGGGATTCTGGGGTAACATCAACAGCCATTTATCTGGGGTTGATGGTTTTAGTTGTATGGACAATGATTCGTGCCCCACCAAGCTAAGCTGGATGGAATACCAGGGCTCATTGACTCAAAGTGGAGTTTCCCATTACGACCACGTGTCCTAGTAGACTATTTGAGACGATCAATGCTAGATCATGTGCTAAGAAAGTGGACTTTGAAGAGTTGCTTTCGATTGAACTAATAGTTCCATGTGGAACAAGGCTGCGGGATATACTGGATGGGCAGCAGCAGCCATATGTTTATACCATAATGGAACCTTTACGCCATAACTACAATTAACCACCAACTCCTCGGAGAGTGCAACCGATGGGAAACGAATAAACATGTCCTCTCGCTAAAAGCCACTCAGCGCCTGGGCATTGGGATCCATGTCACCATTATATGGAGGATACATCCAACTCGCGCCAGTCGTCATCATACCCGAAAAGTCTGTGTTGATCATCCCTAAGCTGCCGAAATCGATCATACTGACATCGAGATTTGGGTCAAAGGTGATATCTGAGAAGTCGGTGTATGTCTGCTGATTGTCATACCATCCGTTCTGGCCAGGCATTTGGCCATGTTGAGCCTGCGGTTGTTGCGGGAATTGTGCCTGTGGTATCGACGAACGCTGCTGCGTATGGGGTGAATTGCCCATTGCAACCTCTGATAGTAGTCGTAACCTTGTGGCTTGGTTTTGCGTATGTGGCGCAGAATTAGAGGATGCAGATACATTTTGTTCTTGGGGATTGGTCTGCGGAGCGTCATCGCCGGCTGGACAGAAATTGACAGAACCGTCAGGATTTCTGGCACCGCCATCTTTGATTTGCTTGAACTTGGTACGCAGGCGCTTGGAAATAAAGAAGAACTTTCCGTGGGGCGCTTGTCCCTCGTTTGCGACATACGTCTCAAAGGTATCGACCACTCGATCGAGGTAACTGTCAACCTTCAAGTCCTTTTGGTCGATAACAGAGCTGATATTGCCGGGCCCATTGATAGCGACCCACATCTTCATGAGACAGACAATTGAATATACGATGCGTACACCTATGATTCGGTCAGTGGAGGGAGCTAAAACTTCGTTACATACTCACAGAAAATGACAGGCATTGTGCAGCGTTGAGCAAAAGTCATATCAATGAAGCTATCCAAGATACCATGGCAAGAGTCTAGACACTGGCCCAAAGCTTCGACATGCGCTGGGCCATGGATCTGATGCGCTTCATGTGCCCTGAGGTTGTCACCCATGAATGGTGGGCGAAAATCTTCGGTATTTTGAGTTGTGTGCAAAGCAACTTCGTGAATATACAGATTCAGTACGTGCTCTGATAGTGTGACCAATGCTATAAATGTCAGTCTCGCACAGCTTTGTGTAGAGATATGACTTACGGTCAGTAGCGTCTTTACTGCGCTGTGACTTCAAATCCTGTAAGTGCCGCTTGAAACCATTTACAGCGTACACCACTTTCGAATCTTGCATTGTCACAGCAGCGGTAGGGTCGTCCATGGAAAATTGTGTCGCGATGTCTTCCGCGAGTTTCATCAGCTTCACGTGATAGCAGAGCAAACGATCTGTAGCCAATGCGTCCGGAGACGTCTCCAACATCTCTATACTCTCGTCCATGAATTTCGACCATCGAAGAAGAATCGGCCGGCGCATGACCATTGTGATGCTGAGCGCAAGATAGTAGCATATAAGCAGTGCTCTCCGAGCTTCTGGTGAGCCAGAGTCTGGTACTACTCTTCGAAATGGTCCTTGGTTCATCTTCATCTGATGAGCATTCACCTTCTTACCCAAGCCTAAGTCAAGGGACATAACAGTCGCTGTATTTGCCATGAGGTAGAAAGCATGCTGCTCAAAGTGGGGAGGTGGCCTGTACCATAATACTCCTACTTGAAGCGCCTGTACGATTTCCAAAGACTTTTCTCCGTTGCGCCATATGATGTCGGCGCATTGATCTTTGAAGAGTTGTACAAGTTCATTTTGTGTCGTAGGACTGACGGCTTTTTTTGTGAACGAGAAGGACGCCGCGGTTACTATAGAGAGGAATAACAGCGGTTTCTTTTCGCGCATCTCTTTCGCGGAGGTACCTGGTGCTAAGACAACTGCTGGGAAATGCGTGGTGATGTCTGTTTTATAACGTTCAAACACCACCTCGGCCATTGCGACCCCCAATATTTCATCAATACGTTTTATGATATTCGAATGATCGAAGACCAAGGGCTTCTGTGCTCCAGGTGCCATAGAGGGAGGGTCTGGTGGCGAGGATTTTGCTGACGAGCCATTGTGCGGATTGCCCTCTATCCGCCTTTTCTTGTGCCCAGGACTTTGAGGGGAGTCTTGGCTTTGTCGTTCGGACCAGGTTCTTGCCGGTGTTGCAAAAGTCTGGGCAGAGGGAGTCTGGTGAGCGCTTGAGTTGTACGACAGACTCGGTGCTGGGAAGTTCGGAGTGGAACCAAAGGTCGGATAACTCGGGTAACTACTTTCTTGCGATGCTTGAGTGACTTGCTGCGCAGCTTGAGCGCGTACAACAGCACTAAGCTCGTCAACTTGCTGCTTGAGTTGCGTTATCAAGCTCACGTCCTTCTTCTGTCGCTTCTTTGAAGCTGGCGTTGTGACGCTGTCGTTACAAGGTCAATATCCATCTTGAGGTTGTGGCTCTTAGGCTCTCACCAATTCTTCTTCGTCCGTCTACATCGCTTACACAGGGCATCATTCGGATCATCCGCAGGTTCACATCGCACCTGCTTGCTGTTAGCCCAGATCTGGAGCATCTTAGACAAGGTATACCTTTAGAGTTCTGCAGTTATCGCATGCGCGAGATCGCTTCGCATCATCGCCGCCGTGCTGTTGGGCACTATGATCTCCAATCAGCTAAACATCCTGACTATAGTCCTCTAGCAGCTTTTGCCATACCTAACGGATCCCGGATCACCGCCATGCTCCTCCTCGTCGTCATGGTCATGTCTCTCGCCGTGGCTTGCATTCGAAGCTCCGCCGGGTGTAAATTGATTCAGGCCAGGATCTATCGGGTTGTTGGCATTCATAGGTGGGAGGAAATAGGGGTGTGAGTCATTTCCGCCGCTGGTAGTTGCGGGCGCGGAGGGTCGGTTGTCATACTGCTGCGAACGGCCTGAAAACAGTTCAGGGTCGATCGAGATGTCCGTCGACATATCCAGACTGATTTAGATAAGTTTTATGTCGGTGTCGGGCATCGGTCACGATGCAACTTCCGATGCGGGCGCGGAGACGCGGAGTAGGTGCAACCTTGTGCTCGGCCAAACTAGTGGCTTAAATACCCGAATTAGCCCCGAATCCATATACGACAATGGCCGAGTCATATTCGTGTCTGATACTTTCTAGGTTGTAAGCTTCTGCGGATGCGAAATTGGTGTGCTCCGATGTTCGAATAACATTCATATTGCAGGCAATGGACGTCTATGATGCGCAGACAAGGTCGTGGATGCCCAGGTACGCTCCTTGTCGGGCCTATTCCATGCACCTACGGCGTAGCCTGCATGAGCTCAGATCAAAACCCTTTGTCTCTTGGTAGCCTTAATTAGATGAAGCATTGATAAAGGCATTCGACTACAGAAGGGCCGACATTCGCATACACCGCTCTCACAAGGCTGGCTGCGCGCGGGGAGGAAGGGCCCGAGTCATTTCTACAATGCACGAATATGGCCTCCTACTCCATTCTGTCCTCCTCCAAGAACATCGTTAACCAGAGCTGTCTTCAACAGTCCTCAGGCTAACTTCTGCGCGGATTAGCTGGCTGGCGTGGACATGTTTAACAGCAGGCACGCCTGATCAATATGGCATCACCCCTTGGACTATAACACTGTTTAATGTTCAAAAGCATCCCAGGCCTCACAACTAGAGCGGTGTTGAGATTGCGCAGACGAAATGCAGCGTCAAACATTCGCTTTGCAGGGTGATAGCATGATGCTAGATCACGGTAGATCTAGCTACCTCATACCTCTCGGGCTGACTCTTCAGGCTTGCTGAGAGCTGGGTCGAGGAGTAGGCATATTCAGAAGGCTAAAGGCTTCGACGGAATGGAAATGAGGATCAGCGGAAGTCCGTGAAATCATCTGGCTCCATTATTCGCAGCCTCGCTCTACAATATTGAATGACGTTTACTAGCATCCACCCCAGATTCACGTCAGTAATACCCTCAAACTGCTTCATATGCTCCAAGAAACGTTTAGACGTGGTACGATTGGTAGCCTTGTTAGGTGCAGCAAAACGATGTGGACTTCTAGCAAGGTCTGTGGTTTGATATTGCCCTGGTGAGCTGGACCAGCGATACAAATGTATGCGAACAATATGTAATACGTACGATGATTTGAGATGTACAAGATATTGAGTTCCGGCAGGCACCGTTTTTTAGACATTCCAATGCTCGCCATGATTTACATCGTTTGACAGAGTATGCAGGGAGGTAGTCACATGCGAGGTGGTAGCAGACCCCTTACTTGGCCTCAACCTTTCGACACTGGTAAGGTCGCTCAAATGTGCCGGGAACATTTTCCACGTTGAATTCAAGCGATGTCTGGGGTGCTCGGATTTTGCTTGCGACTCTTAATTTTTGCAGTATATTATATGCTGGATCTAATGCAGCCATGCAAGGGCTTTAGCATCAATGCCTTGACACATATACAACACATAACTCATAAGAGCTCCGACCTCGAACATGTGCTGCAGATCCTAGTTCCCGCGAAAGGTCTTATAGCGCCTAAGCAACATTATACCATCGTAGCATGTAATCTGATGGAGCTCCAAACTTTTGGGCGTCCTGTATCGTACAATAACAGCCTTGCGCCTCTGAAAAGCACCACCCTCCAAAACGCCAAACCTATGTGCCTTTGCTATGCTTACGCCCTGGAGAATGCATATCTGGGTAACATAGCACGCTTCTCTTCCGGAGAAGTCTCATTGTCGCTGTAGATAAGTTTGATAGCCTTAGTGTCCTTCTTAGGCTTCCTCTCCGGGTCGTCTGCCAAAGCTTTGGCTACTGTGGCCTTGCGTGCAGCATCTGCGATGAGGTCATCGATAGAAGTTCCTGGACCTGATCCATCTGGCGGATTTGAAACGACACGCACACCTGGCGGAGGAGCTGGCAATGAGGCTGGTGGACCTTGACCGTTAAATGGTGCTCCAGGGTATTGGACCGAGGGTGCACCCCCAAATTGCGGCTGACCGTATGGTTGTTGCGATTGCGGCTGGCCGTATTGGAACTGACCAGGCTATACGGCATTAGCAAACAGTTTAGTATTCCGAAGAATTTGTAGAGCCAACAAGTTCGATGATTAGACAAGCTGGTAGATAGAAACAGCTTGACAACCAAACGAGCTCGACCGCTAACAAGCTCAGAGACAAGACTTACAACTCCAGGACTATTACTCGCGGGCGGCGCGCTCACCGGCGCATTCGCTCGTTTCACTCTGTGCTCAGCTAGCCTCTTCTTCAGTTCTTCCACGGTCGGTTTCCTTCGCGGCTCTTTCTGGGGTCCACCCTGACCAGGAGGAGGGTTTCCCGTATTTTGCCTGCGATCTGCTTCTGCCTGGTAGAAATTCTGCAAGACACGCTGTTGATGTGCCTGCTTGATGTCGTCTGGAATTCCTTCCATGCCGAAAATCTCCACTTCCAACCCCTTACGGTTTTCCAATGCATTCTCGACGAAATGTAATTGTTCTTTGTGGACTTGGTTCATATGTACAGAAAGACCTAGCTCGATCTGTGAGTATGCATACGATTAAGGTAGTGAGAGGTTCAGAAGGACATACCACCAGCGGTGTTTAGTCTCCGGCCACATCGCTCGCACTTGAAGTGCTTCGCTTTTTGATGTCGTATCAAATTCAACATGTCTGTGAAGTCGCGCTCGCAGTAGTAGCACCACGGCTTCCCAAGCTCATCCTCAACAGTCGGGAAGTTCTTTCTCTTTTTACCACCCATCTTGATGGTGTTTCCGGTCTATAGAAGCTAAAGAACGTGATGAATGCGAAAATATACTGGAAACAACGTGCTGAAGTTCTTCGGATTATGAGTCGTCGTGCTGGCGCGTAAACCGAGGGTTCGCGATCGTGAACAGAGAGCTTCCTGGAAAGCTTCATGGGTAAACCGCGGCAGTCGGCTCGCTACCTTATCCATACAACTTTCCACCCGCGCGCGTTCAGTTCAGTCTTTCATACTACGACTTGGCAATAATTACCAACGATCTTTCTCCGCCTGTTCTCTCTTCCCCAAATCCTCAGCTTCGTATTTTCCACCATGTCGATGTACCCAACCTCCACGAAGTCCTTGCGCGCGTGCATGATCTGCAGCATCGTGCTCCCAAACACGACCTTCGTAAACCAAGGCTGCCCAAACTGCGAGCACTTCCTCGAACTTCAAGGTTCATCCGAAGCCGTTCATGAAAACACATCGTCCGTATACGAGGGCCTGATCACGCTGGCTGACCCGACGACGAGCTGGGTTGCGAAGTGGCAGCGGCTGGATAGTTATGTGGCGGGCATATATGCTACAAAGGTTGAGGGCATTGTGAGTGTTGCTTGACACCCTTGGGTATCACATGGCTATGATAGAGTGCTGATCTTGTGCAGTTGCCCCCAGATTCGAAAGCAGCAGCAGCGAGGGCAGGTGTACAGTATATACCGTATGAGCCTCCACCAGCCATGGTTATCAATACTAACATACCTAGGCGCGACGGAAGCGCAACGGAAGATAGTGGCGAAGTTGATGAAGATTGAGCGCACATAGGGAAGATTCATTGAATTAGCGACGGCGTTGGTTACAGGTACACGAAACACATAGAAGCAAGTTGCGAAATAGGGCAGAGGGACACTTCCTATACGTCTAGTCGACGGGTATCATTGAGGATTCTCGCCATAGTATGGACATCTGGAATCTAGGCCCCGATGCGCCATTGTAAAATGCAAAATCCCAGGCATGCCTCTCGTAAACCTATAAACTCCAAGCAACACCGGAACCTGACGCTTTATATGCAAAATATTAGGGCTGTGGTTATGAGCGTAGAAGCGAGTGCAGTTACAGTCTTCGCGTGCAGTTCAATCCCGGAGTTGAGGACGAAGATCGATAGCGGATCGTTGCACTGGTCGTCGAGCCCATAGCTCTGAGACATCATCTTTCCTTCAGTCGGACAGCCGAAGCCCATTTTGGCTGGACAGCTTCGTACGAGGGCGTAGCAAAGATCCCGACAAGGAAGCAACTCTTTGTACGGGCCCGGCTTGATCTGGTCATCAATCATGGCATTCCTCGAGCTATTTGTCGCGATTCTGTCTTTTAAAGTCTGGTTTGAATAGGGGCTGTCGGCAGCGATCGGAGTTCCGTTGAAGAAGTTATAGCCGAGGCTGCGAGGTTGCAAAAATCCGATTGAGCTGTACAGGTCGTAACAGCGTGGGATCGTGACTGCACAAAGCCAATGCTTGTAGTCGTTGGCGCAATCTGTGCAATTTCGAGCTAGCGAGTATTGATCCGTGACACGTGCCTCACATGGCGTTTGCTGTAGAGAGTAGTTGAATCCAGTATATAAGTTCTTCGCAGTATCATCGTAGAGCTGCGCCAAAGAAGTCGCATTGAATGAGTTGGGATTAGTGGGGACGGCGTATGCAACCTCCGAGCAAAAAGAAAGTCCAAATATGATTTGGCAGTTTCCATCTTTACAAGTTAGTATGGCGACCGATGCAGACAAGTCTGATACCAACTTACCTGGCTTCGTCTCAAATGTCTTGCTGGGCCATACTGTGCCACCGCCTCCTATTACCGGCACCGCAACATCATCTGATTGACTATTGCCTTTGCGGGCCCAATATCCTACGAAGCTGGAACTTGAGTTGAGCCCCTGCACAAAAACTTGCTGCTGGGGCGTGCGGTTTTTCGACCCGCGAAATGTTGTAGCCGTTGTAATGTTGAGATTCAAAGTCTTTATTGATGCATCTCGAATGGCACAGTATGACTTCTCCATGCCCGTCACAAGAGACGAGTTACTCGGCATCGGATAGACGGTATAAGGGGGGTTACCATCTTCAAACTGGCGCCAATCCGCTACGTCCGTTGTGTTCGTAATGAATAGCGCAGCTTTGGAATCCGTGTCCATTACAGCCCATGGATACTCCTGATCCGACCACGAGTGATAGGGGGCGTCTCGTGAAGCTCCCACAGAGACAGTATATCCTCCCTCCATCCCGTCTGGTCGCTCTGGGGCGCTGATGCCGATATACACTATCTTCTGCGAAGAAACGTTATAGCTCACAAAGCCTTGGTCGAATGCCCTCATTTCGCTGTTGGCTGTGTTCGTTGGACCCGGCGTCGTGTTACTCTCATCAGTTGAGAGGTAAAGAGTCAGCTGCGGCGCCTCCGCACTGGATGTGCTATTCGCAACTGGCTGAGAGCAAGTATTCACAGTGACATAGACATCCGAGGCCTCAGCTTCAGCCGTGCCAAATTGGAAGAATATGCTGCTACCTGGCTCCACAGACGTATCATAACCCAGATTATTGGTTAGACCACTGGCCTGTCTCTTATCTTGTCGGCCTGTTATCCATCTGTTCAGCCCCAAGAATTCTGCCTCATACATATCATTGCTCTTGTCTCCGACCTCCACACCATCCCCTTGCAGATTGAGTTGCGGTTCAGCTATCCGATGGTGATTATGGTCTTGGTTAAGTATCGAGTCCAGCTCGGCGGCATATGCGAATTGTGCTTGGGTGATCGGGGCGCACATCATGAGTAAAAGAGCGAGTTGTGTGAGGACCGCGGATCTACGCGCCCGTAAGGACGTGAGGTATATGAACTGCATCCTCGTAAAGCGGTACGCCGTCGAAAACTACGCGCCGCAGCGCAAAGATTCCAGGCTACTTCCACTTGTGGACAAGCTCTCGGGGGACCATTAGCGAAAGTACCAGAGCTATCAAATTCGTTCGATCCTGCGCGGAAAACAAGGTCTTGTAGATATAGTTATTTGTTGAGGTAGATTCAAGGTGTGAGGTGGAGAATGAGACATCGGCCGACAAGATGCATCGGGCTATGCCTGATAATGCCAAGACATGGATATATCTTGGCAGGTACTTAGGTAAGTACGTCTGACTACGCCGCTGGTCTGCCTCCAAATCTTGTCACATGCTATTGTTATATAAACGTATTTTACGTACAAGACCGTGGTCTCTTCCGGGCGTTGACATAATTCAATCTCAATGACTTTCGTGTACCAGCCTTCTTTTCGCGCAATACCATAATCCGAAGGTCCATTGATAGGGGTCTATCGCTCCCGGGGCTATGACAATCATACTGCCCAAATACCCCTTTTCGCCCCTGTAAACATCAAGCCCAAAGACCCGTAACACGCCAATATCCGTTGTACGCGTCCACTTTTTCAATACTATGTAAGCATCTCCTTTTGCTCACTTGCCTCAAACCCTTCGCCAGTTACCGTATTCGCATACTTGAAATTGGTCCCTAAATGCAAAAGATCGTCTTGTGCATTGCTCAAAGGCTGTTCCTCGGAGTGTTAGGAGGTAGTTTTGTCGTCATCATCTTCGTAATCCGGCAGTGACGAAGCATCATCTTGGGAATTTCGGTGGGTCTCTATATCCGGGCCCTTATTGGAAACTGAGGTGCTTGAGAAAGAAGGAAAGAAATCGCCATTGATAGAGACGGGTGGTTTATCCGCCGCTTTGGTCGATTGTTGTTCCTCGGAAGTAACTCCTGTTGTTTGCAGGCCAGTCTTGAATTGGGGCAATGACGTACTGCCGAATGTGAATGTTGAAGGGGCAGATCCGTCCATGAAACTCACGAACGTATTTGGTTTGTCTGTCTGCTGTGCAGATTGCTCTTGCTCAGAGACCCCGACGTTGGTGCGTTTCTCAGAGCTAGCGCCAGTCCCTGGACGAGTCGCTCTATGCTTCTTCGGCTTGATTGGTCGCGCTGGAGGATTGTTTCCGCCTGTATAATTCAGACAGATGGGATTCTGCTCAACATTGATGTTCAAGCGCTCTTGTTGCTTCTCAAGAGCTTCTCTTGCAGCTTTCTTTTGAGATTCAAGTTCTGCCTCCAAATCTCGGGCTCTCCTTGCATCATCCTCCTGTGTAAGGACGTCAAATATTTCGTTCTCCAGATCCCTGATGATCTCGAAAGTATATCCAAATTCATCTAGCTTTCGTTCGAAATTATCCAAGGCTATGCAAAGTTGCTCTGGGTCAGTGAATTCCATCCGGGGGGCTCTGTCTTCAAGATTGACGATGGTTGTTTTTAGACGCTTGAACATTCTAGTAACCTTGCGAGATAGCTCTCCGGAGTCCTGTGCGTATTCTATCCCTTGTCCATGACGTCCAACGAATCTCTTCGATACCGTAGTTGCTAGATGCACAAAAGCCAAGCGTCGAGTCACCTTCTCAATGTCTGCCGTGCCAAGTTGTATGATCTTAAGGTCCATCTCGTGCCTACATTCGCTCAAAGTAGTAAGGACGTAGTTCAACTCTGTGGCATCCTCCCTGCCAGGTATCACACGAGTGACCATATCCCGTGCTCTCGTAATGCTAGCGCGTAGCTCGTCCAGTTCAGGCTTGTGTAGCTGCTCGAATGGCTCGAATATTGCGTGAAAGTGCATACGGAAGAAATCTTCTATCAAGGTTACGAGGCAGACTGACCTCTTGTCGTCCGAGATGCGCGCTTTTGTCCGAAATTTAACATTACTTTCATACCACTTGGTTTTCGAGTACCACTTTGCTCCTCCTCGAAATATTTCTTCCTCAGGCCAGTCGGCAGACCATGTCCAGCTATTGGTTTGGTCATGCACTCCCGGCGGTGGCTGAATATCCAGCTCTGCTGCCCAATCTTGCACCAACTGGAGACACTCATCCATCATTTCTGCCAGCTCGGTTTGCAGAGATTTTCTTAGCTTATTTGTGATTCTGGACCTTGCTTGATGTTCAACGGTACTGGTGTATTGTGTGAGCAATTTGACTACTGCCTCAGTATAGTGCTTCATTCGTCTTCGGTATTCCTCTATGTTTGCGAGTTTGTAGATTGCCGTATCAATATAGACGAGTCCTTGTCCAAATTCGGCTTCGAGAATGTCAACTTCTGCTCTGCTACATACGACGACCAAAGCATGAAGGACCGACTTGAAGCTCTTCAAGAGCATATCTCGACCATCAATAGTGTTGTTGTTCGCTGCACACATCTGAGGCCCGGAATCATTGCCGAATCCTAGCTCCTCGAATGACGATGCCGGTAGGTCTTCATCAGTCGTTAGTTCCCGTACTCGTGTTTCTGGTAATCTGTAGTCAACCCAGGAAACCATGTTCCATGCAGGCGCCTTAACCTGATTCATGTTTGTTAATCGCCCAGAACCGCCATCCATTGCACTTGAACCTGTCGTTCTGTCCTTTTTATCGCTTAACAACTGCTTGTTCATGGAGACAGGAGTGGATGATTGAACATCTGGTAGGTCCCCAAGTCGCCCCGGCGGCTCATGCCTATCCACAATCTCACCTGTGGGTTCGACCACGAGAGGGGTTTGCTCAGCTATATGGGGATTTGCCTCAGTCTGGGAAGCGACAGATTCAATATTTAGCACGATCTGGCCATCAATACGTCCTCTCTTGGCCTCCTCAATGTCTTCTGCTCCACTCTTGTTCTCGTCATCGTCCTCATTGTCGTTCTTGTCCGACCCCTTCACCGTCTCTTGGCCTTCGTACACTGCTTCTTCGACTCTCTCCTCAATCTCTTCGCAGGCCTCCTCTTCGTGCTCTATCGCTTTCTCCGGTGAGTTGATATGCTCTTGCAATACATCCTCCCGCGATGCCCAACAGCGAACTTTCGCGATCATGCCTTCGAAATCGGGCTTAAGAATTACTTCGAGTGTACAAGGGGACGTACTATCCATAATCGCTTGGCCGGGGGTCGCGATTGGACTGTTCGAGGACGAGGCTTGGCCGTCCGAAAGTCTGGGATTCTCAACTTCGAGTTGGGTCTCTTTGACGTGTCCTTGGGTTTCTATAGCGTTGGACTGAGAGTCCTCGGCCCATGACTGTACTTCTTCGACTTGAGGCTGTGCGCTTTCGCCTTGAGCCTGACCTGCTGCGACTTGCGGCTGCATTGTCTGCAAGTTCAGTTGTGACTCCTCGACCAGAGGCCGTATCCGTTGTTGATGTGTATCACCAAATCCCTCCGAATTCTCAGGGCTTCTCGACTCTCTCAAAACCCCTTTCCGACTGCGCTTGAGCCACTTCTGCAACCTTCTTCTCCGTTGCGTCTTAGCTATTTCCTCCTGACCACCTTCATTCTGGCCGCTGTTCGCCGAGGAAGCGCGTGTAGATGGATCTTTCACGCAGGTGTGGGATCCCGTGGTGGTAGAGACAGGCTTGTTTGTAAAAGCATGATCTGAGACTGGGTCTGCTCGTTTATGCGTGTGCACAAGAGCCGACCATTTATGTTTGATGGCACTGCGGATGCTACGGTGCGTTGTGGATGAAATCGCGGGACGGTCACGGTCTTTTTTTCGGGAGAAAGCCATGATGATGCTATGATGTATGTGATGTACTGAAATTTGCAAGGCTGGCTTAAGTGTTCACTGGTGACTCGTGTCAGGGATAGAACTGATGTTGCAGCTGATGCATGGCTCGGGATATGCTAGGGCTTACACTGGTTTACTGCGAGAGCATTTGGAGATGCTTGTGGGTGGGATAGAGAGAGTGGACAGTTCATAGGAAGATAAAGGATTTGGTGTTGAGAACAGACTGTGGAAAGTAAGTGGAAATGTTGCTATAAGTAAAAATTGCATTACAAAGCGATTGTACGATGTGTTTGGGGCGTTTGCTGATCACAGAGTGCACAGTCCCTATCCCAAGTGAACGACGTTGACAGCAGAACCTTGATAGTATTGTGAGGAGTGAACAGAGACAGAACAAAGAAACTCGCGCAGTCAAGGCTGTGTCTCAACCCGAGAACAATGGTTGTTCGTTCGGGCATTTATTCATCTGTATCCTCGTCTGTTCCAGGCCACATAATGTCTTTCTTGATGTATGCACTGATATTGTGGTAGAAAACGAAGATCCAGACACAGACAAGTATGCCACTCAGACCACTGCCCATCCACTTCACAATCTCACTACCTAACTCTTCCCCAATGTTGATTGTAGCAATCACAAACCCGGTATTAGGAAAAACCATTGCCCACCAGCCCAGCGTAAACCTTCTCGGTGGTCTAAGAACGACCAAACTGAATGCGAGGCACACCAACCAAAAAGAGGGAAGCCAGAGAAAGATTGCCTGAACGAATGAAGTGAATTTTACGGTCGAAACTTCGACGATATTACCACGGAGAGAGAGGGGAGTTGCGGTCGGTACAGCGTCAGCCATCCGGATGAGAGCTGAAGCAGTAAACGATAGAGGTGCACCACTGATGAACATTTCCGGGCGGTGATCGCGTCCAGGCAGGCCCGCTTGCATGAGTCGCCCAATAAGCTGGCCATACATGAATATTGCAACCCAAAAACCTAGACCTTGAGCAGCAAGACCAACTATTAACAGTGGTGCCCTGGATATTTCCTCGATATCTGGCCCGATCACGCCAGCGACGGTTCCGGTTAGCATGATTGGAAACATAGGAAGCATCCAGGATGGGGTCATCTTCGCAAGCGGATATGTGTGTGCGGCGAATAGGAATGTGTATTGACTGATAGCCATGAGAAAAGAGCAAATGAAGTATGAGTAGAAAAGGATTTCGACTGTACGAACGAGCTCATCCTTAGTTGACTCGCTAGCAAGGTGGATTATGTAGGTGCGAGTGCCAGTAAGAAGGGAGGCGGTGCTGAGGAGGCACGTTGGCACGAACAGACCTTCACGATGATGCGAGATGGATCGCTTCATGGTGGATGGAAACATTATAAAGCGTGCGAGCATGACTGTACATGCGGAGAGGAAGAGGAAGGCCGTGAGGCAGTAAAACGCAAGTCCCGTCTCGAAGAGGCCTGGAAATATGTGTGGCTGCATTTCCAAAATTATTGCGATGCCTCCAGTGGACATAGGAAGGCTGAACCAAGCCCATGTAAAATGTCGAATGCGTTCTTTGAGACTGACGCTGGACTTAGCAGACTTGTTGATAGGCTTTTCGATGCCCAGTACTGCATTTTCGTCATAGGCTGCGTTTGGTACTGTTCCGGTCTCTCTGGACAATGGCTTTAGAGACTGCTCCAGAAGTTCGTACGTGCTTTCTCCTGATTTTTGTTGTCCAAAGGCTGCTGCCACGGAAGGAACCAGTGGTATTCTTGGAGGCTGCCTGGGGTTGTTTTCGACCGATGGGTATAGCCTATACTGAGTTGGCTTCCTCTCGACGTCAAGGAGGTATGGCCGAGGGCGATAGCCATGCGTCATGCTATGAGCAACCGAGAAGTATCGAATCGAAGGTAGGGACAACGTTCTTCATGCAGATGGAATGTCGCGTTCAATTGGTAGGTAATTGTAGGAGTAGGTACAAGGAAGTCAGAGAAACCATAGGTGAGTAGAATCACAATGGCTGAGAGTATCTTATTTGACTATGCACAGGAGAGTCAGATGGACTGGATGGAAGTTGTGGCAAACGCCTTGGGTAGCGACACAAGGATACAAGGGCGAGGTAGATTAAGTTATGATTCGTGTCCAGTACAGATACAGCGCGAAATTTCCAAAGAGTAGGAGGACAGAAGAGTGCAAGAGCTTCGTTTGGACCGGCAGCAAGCGAGTCATTGGATGTTACCAGATAACCAGACAATTACTCGACGTCATAGCTCGAGGAGAAGAAAACCTATATCACTAGGTAGCGGCGTTGGATTAAGGTTGATACATACTCGTGGCTGCCAGGATGTCACTACGGAACGGAGCCTGCACTGGATGATGCCTGATGGTGTCTCAGCAAGCGTTTGTTAACGTACGAAGCGTTTCAAGCATGCCGAAAGACTCCAAGGCGTGGAATCTAGTATTAGGGAGACCCATCCATGTTTCAATGTATGATGCCGTCTTGATGGTGAGGACGTCTCAATGGGGGGTCGTGCACTTTCCCTCTCCCTGTGTAGTTTTTGCCATGCTTAGTGACTGAGTGTTACCGTTAAAGCGTCACAGAGAATAGACTTAAGCCAGAGAGAACGATGCAACAATGGATAGTGTGCTTTGTCACTCTGTGGACTGGTTACTGGTCTTGCCATAGTCGTGTGCTATTCGCAGAGTGCTGTCTGGAACAATGCTATCGCAAATCACTACCAAACATCTCGGAGAATGGTAACGGACCGGAACAGATAATTAAGCTGGGCACCAATAAAGCTGAATAACTTGGGCGAGGCTGATCTTCAGGGTCTGCAGGATGGCCGATTGGAGGAGAAGGGCTGGTAAGGTTCGTGTGGACAAGTGAGGTGTCGTGAAACGACCAAAATAAGACATTGACTTTCGGCCTAAACACGTGACTCAACCAAACCTAATGATCCGATGTATCATGATGTATGCAGGTTCAATTTCTATTTTTAGTCTGGTCTCTAAAGTTCTAGAAGGTTGACTGTTTTACACTACTGCTGCCTATACTATACAAAATTGCGAACATATGTGACTTGACCAGTATGTCCTGTGTTTTGTTTCAAAGAAATGCACGCGGAAGGAAGAATTAGAAGTTTTACTACAGCATCTTCTCTTGCCTTCCTTAGGATTACAACGACGTCCCAAAGGACGACGAGCATGAGAAGTTTCGAGACTTCTTGGGTATCTGATGTATTTACATATGTACGTGATCTTCTGCGCTACAGATCGACCATGGTCTGCTCTCCTAGAAGCATATTTTGGGCCATTCTCTGGATGGCCAGCATGTTCTAGGAGGTAACGAGATTGTGATCTCTATACGGGCGGGAATGATACCAATCGCGAATTGGGACCCGAGGATTAGCAAGAAGTTGAGGCCAGACTTTCTCGGTGATTTTGCTGGCTCTCTAATATGGCTTGTGTAGTATTCGATGGGTATCAACGAAAACGATGCTCAGAACGCCCCCCGATATTTCTCTCTTTCCTTTTTCGGGAAGTCTCAGATCCGATTTCAGACTGCTCGCCGTCGGCCTCGTCATAGTCCTTTTCAAGCGCTGGTTTCCGTTCGTTATACCGATCTATTAGAGCTTCGATAACATCCATGGGCAAGTTCTTGAAATTGTCGCTCACTGAGGGACAGCCTTCCATCAACCTTAGGTTCTCCACCGCTCTCTCCTTGAGCATCCTTATGACATTTGCATCGTTCTTATTCTCGTGGTATTTACCTTCGATATTGTCAAGCGAGGGATAGAGCTTGTTGTTCCCATTACCCTCTCCATAAAAAGCTTTGGCGTAAGGAACATATTCTGGGAGCTCATTGCTCAGCGTAGCATCTACGCACACAGCAGTTTCGTGGCACCAGGTACGTGCTACGTTCCGTGGTGTATATCCACCACCACCAAGGATCATCAACGGAAGATTATACCTCTTCACAAACTCGACACAAGCACCATGGGACTTGATATTGAGGTTGAACTTCCCCAGTCTGTCCCCACCCAAGGAATCAGCACCACATTGGAGAACGATTGCTGTAGGTTGGTATCTCTGGATTGTTTCGGCTGTCACATATTCAAAGAGGTCTTTATATTGATCGTCTTCTATCCCATCGTCGATCGGGATGTTGAGTGCATGTGCCGTGCCAGGGTTGCCTCTGTAAGTGGGACCGGTCTCGTGGATGTCCCCTGTGCCAGGGAAGAACGAGTCGCCAAATTTATGGAATGAAAGAGTGAAGACTCGAGGGGTCGAGAAGAATGCTTGTTCAACGCCATCACCATGATGAACATCAATATCGATGTACAGAACACGTTGATGATACTTTAGCATGTGATGGATTGCCAGGACGATGTCGTTGATGTAGCAGAAGCCAGAAGCTGCATTCTTCTTGGCGTGGTGAAGACCGCCAGACCAGTTGATGGCAATATCAGAAGTTTGATTACAGAGATGTCGCGCGGCTTCCATGGTCGCGCCTGTGTATATAGTGACGTAGTCCCAGAGGCCGTCGAATACTGGGCAGTCGTTGTATTCGCCGCCGAAGCCGAAAGTTTCCAAATCTTCCCGATTTTCGTCTGCTTCTTTAGTATCTACCCTTATACTGTTTCAAGTCAGTGTACCGGCTTACAAAATGTCTGGGGGTACATACCGTTTCAAGAAATTGAGATAAGGCCGCCCATGAAACGCATTCAAATCGTCTAGCGTGGCCTGTGGCGACTCATAAAGGTCCATCGCATTGTGAAGCCCATAAGCCAGTATTAGTTGCTTCGTCAACGTCAATCTCCAAGGTTTCATTGGATGTGATCTGCCGAAATGATGATATTCTACTCGAGCGTTGTAGTGGAAGGAAACATTATGTCCCTTGGGACGTTCGATACCATTTTCCTCTGTAGTTCTGTCGAATATGGAATTCTTTTCTGCGTCGCTCAGTTTGGTCCACTGCAGGGGTAATTCCGCAGCTTCTTCCTGTGACACCCATTCTTTGACGATATCGTTGGCCCTGAAAGCCATGGCTTCCTTGGTGCAAACTTTCTGCGAGTTGTCGACTATCGGCGCGTCGTAAGGACGCGAGCAGGCCTCTTTAGATACAACATCCGCGCAAACTGAGAGTAAATAATGTCGGATGTCAGTATGTGCGAGGAGGAAGGCGATAGAGAGATGTTTGAGGTTGGGTGTACTGCAATCGCGAAAGCACGTGATGGCACGCCCGACGATCTGTACCTACCTCTATAAGTGGGGCAACTGTCAGCCTTACAGACCTTGGGGAGCAGACACGGTACCGACGTAACTTCATGCTGCTGAGATTGCGTCCGTCCACCATTCACCCTTCGCATGAGCGGCCATGACACTTATCACCGAAGGATTATTCATCTTTCTCCTCTCTCTGGCGCGCACGTAGCCTTCACTATACTGCCCGCTGGTCTTCGACTCTTCCCAAGCTCTGTCCCACACTCGGCGACCCAAATCAAAAGTGCGATCGAGTAGAAGAGGTCACGGCATCCGCGTAGGCCATGGCTGTGCCAGATGACCCTGCTGCTGTCTTGGAGCACTTCATCAACGATGTGGCAAATCTGCCCGCGGAGATAGCACATCTATACGAAGAGATGGAGGCAAAGGAGCAACTGATAGCGGAGTGCAAAGCTACTATCGCGTCGCGTGATGCCAGTCTCCAAAAGTTCATCAAGCTTAACGGCTGCATACCCACGAATCCGAAAGAAGAGCTGTATGAAAAGGTGATCATGGAGTCATATGCCAAGGCTGAGGTCTTGATGCGCGAGAGACAAAAGCTAGCAGAGAAAGCAGAACATCTGGTATCGTACTTGAAACCTCACACGAAGAACGGACTGATAAAAGTGTAGTTGAACCGCCATGTCAAGAAGCTGGACACATACTATCGAAACATGCAAAATGAAGGTTCCGTAACCCTCGATCCAAACCTCCCATCGCTGCTACGTGACTCTCCGAACTATACAGGCGGGGCCGACTCGTCGCTGTCAACCGGGGTCAATACACCCCTGAACCAGCTATCTGGAAATACTAGTGGAGGTGCAATAAATGCAGCACACCAGGCAATAATGTCACGGATTGCAGCTACCGCGAGCGCACGAGGGAATTCTCCTGCTGTAGCCACGACTCCACAGGCTCACCCAGTCGGGGGGCAGCCGGCACAAGCTGTTGCAGCAGTAAATCGCAGCGTACGAGAATTGTCGGTCAGTAGTGATACGAAGCGTCGCCGTCCACACGGCAGTCTGGGCGCACTTCCACCGCCAAGTTCCAACCTTGCACGGCAATCATCACTCGGGCCAGGAACGCCTAAAGTCAACACGCCAGGTAGTCGTCAAGGGAGCGCAGGACCTCGACCGGCGAAGAAAGGCGTGATCCGAAAGGTACCACCAGGACAACAGCTCAGAAAAAAGATGCACAGTGGTGGTATCCGAGCTGGCAACATGTCACAAAAGAAAGCACGAACTAAAGTGCCCGGGGTGAATCGAGCTTCTCCTTCTACCACGGCGGATGACGAGAGTGTGCTGAGTGGCGAACAGACAGATGACGAAAATGCTTCGGCGGGAGGCCCAGATGAACATGGTGCCGAAGAGATGGAAGCAGACGATGAGGACACGACGAAGTACTGCATATGTCATAAAGTCAGCCATGGCGACATGGTTGGTAGGTACAAGGTGGACTGATTGAAATGGATTATGCTAACAGGACGGCAGCCTGTGACAACGACACGTGTCCGTATCAATGGTTCCAGTCAGTATTCGCATGATGCAGTAGAGAACGTGAACTAACGCAGCTTGACAAAGTTGGGGATGCGTTGGAATTACAGAGGAGCCTGCAGGTAAGTGTCGGTTTGTCTAGCTCTGGCTCGTCGCCTTGATATGCAATACATGGACTGACTGTCTCAGGCGAGTGGTATTGCCCGTCGTGCAGTGAAACGATGGGACCGAAGGACAAGAAAAAGACGAAGAAGAAGTAGGAAGTGGCCATGGGCTTGAGGATGATACATGAGATACCCCTTTGACTAACGGTCTTAAATTTTGATAGATAAAACTGGATAGACAACTAAAGCTGGATTGCAGTGACCTCGACACATGGTGTCATCGATGCCGTGAGCAATGTCTGGTCAGTTGCCATGTATGGAGACATTAAGCCACGTTCATGCAGGGGACGGCGGGTATGTATATGCAAGTTGAGTAGGCGAGAGAGTGATGCGCAGATCAGGAACGGGGATTGGCACGTCATTTCGACGGAGTATAAACCATCAGCTGTGCTGTGAGATGAGATGACGGCGGAAATAGCAAAGGCATTCATTGCTCAAATCAACCAGCCTTGCACCAAGAAGGATTGAGGAGATGGTAGTAATAGTAGTAGTGAGGGAGTACCTGTACCTACGCACACCTCAGTGTTGATGAGCATGACAGAGCCGCTGCCGTTCTTCCTGACGAGTCTGTACGCGTTCCACGGCCGACTTCTACACGTGATGTGAGGAAGATTAAGAATGAGAAGAAGAAGAAGAAGAAGAAGAAGAAGAAGAAGAAGACGAAGACATCGTCAACCAGCTACCATTCGTTGATCTCAGCGACCCGTGGAATCAGCATGTCTATGCAATGTGCATGTGCAAGGATGATTTGGAAGAAAGCATTGTTGCGGAAAATAAAGGCGATGTAATGATATTCACGCACTGCAGAAGGAAAGGCTCCTAAATCAACACGAACTATTTATCATATATGTAATTAGCAAGCCCATCTCAATGTAACGGTGAGTTTTGCAAGTTTGTGTTTAATGAGACGATGAAGAGGGGTCAGCAAAAGGTTTGATAATGAGGCGAGTGAATAAGTGAGAGTGTTGAGTGTTGATCCATTGACGCGGCCGATCGATCGAGCGAGCGATTTAGCCCCCGCGCTTCCTGGCGTTCTGGCTGGTCGAGCGGGCGGAGACTGGAAACACTGGCGGCCTCTTGGGGAAGAATCAAACTTTCATTCTGCACAAGCGACCGCGCAACCTTAGATTGATGATAGATAGACTGATAGATATATATTATTGGGCCTTGATGCCAACTAAATTCCCGGCGCGTTCGTGAGCAGGTTAGGCCAGAGCTGACACACACACGCACACACGCACACACGCACACACAAACCCTAACCCAACTGCCTACTGAGGTGTAGTTTAATACAAAGCCACTCATCACCGACCGACCGAAAGGGGTCCCGCTCTCACCAGCTTGTACCTAATTATCTTCTCCCTCACACGCTCTCTTTTCTCTCTCACCGTCATTCTTCATCTTCTTCTCTTCTGCTTTTGTCGCTCTTTTGCTCGCGCACCGCTGTTATCGTCCGAAACTTCTTCTTCGATTCTGCACCCACACTCCTTTGACTCTGACTCTTTCTCTCTCTCTCGCTCTACTTGTTGCAGCCTGTCTGGCTTTCCCGCCTGCTGCCCTCCTTGACTCCTCCTGCCTCAGCCAGCCCCGTCCATTCCAGCACGCTACGGCAACCGCGCGCGATTTGTCTGATCACGAACAAACTCATTTCTCACTCCTGACAACATTTGTCTCACTCTCACTTCCTGTGCGCGAATACGTCCAAAAGTCGCCTGCAACGCTCCTTGTTCCGCGATTCCTCCATAGCGTCTCCTCTCCTGTCTTACCTGGGAGCCAAGACCTTGCCGGACCCTTGCAAGCGCGCTCCTGGTGTCCTCGTAACAGCGTGCCCAGATTATTCTCACCTTTCCTTCCGCTGAACAATGAACGGCCGTAATGACACTTTGTCTCCCGTCAGCATCGACAGTAATAGTAATAGCGAGTGGTCTCCCATCACCAAATACCAGAGCCTGAACGGAGCAGACAGCCCAGCATTCTCACCGGGCATTCCGTCTGCCGGCCGACCCCCTGTCATAACACCACCCCAAAGCGTGCACACAAGCGGTGCCTCCACCTCGGATGGGTCTTTGCCCAACGGAAGGCCACCCATGAGTACAGGAAATCCGTCCCCGCCCAGCTCGATCGCGCGCTCCAGCGATGGCACTGGTCTATATGCCGCCAGCGTGGCCGAAAGTCTATCGAGTCGCAAGCCGCTTATGCGAGAGGAGCACATGCATGAACACTATGTGGTTTTGAAAAGATATCTAGGCGCCTATCTTCGGGATGAGAAGGGCAATCCAAGGACAAACAAAGCAAGAGATAAACTGTTAAGGCTTTCACAGGCTCAATTTCAAGAGCTTAGCACAGATGTCTACGACGAGTCCCAGCGACGAGAAGATGAACGAAGGCGAGGTGGTCGAGGTGCTCCCAATAACCCTGTCCCCCCGTATCTTCCCCCGAAAGGCAACTTCCATCCGAAGAGAAATCAGGCACGACAGAAGCTAGCTACCCTACCCCTGGAACGTTTTCAGCAGCTTGCTACCGATGTCTTCTATGAACTGGAGCGTAGGTTTCCACGCTTCGTCGGCGGAGACATGGATCGATCCGCCAGTCCTGCTCTAAGTGTCGCAAGTAATCGATCGCGTGGGCCTGGTAGAGGGCCACCACCTCCTGGAATGACCGGTCCACCTGGAGGTTATCGTGGAAGAGGCGGTCCTCCAGGTGGCCCAGGACGCGGAGGCCCACCCTTTCGCAATGGTCCGCCAGGTAGTCCTGCTTTAAGCGCTCCAGGAAATGATTATGGTCGCCCGCTACCGAAGACTTTCCAGCAGAATACCATCGTACCTAACAAGAGTACTCTTGTCGAGGATGACGATGACCAGAGCGGTATGGACGATGATGATGATGACCAAGATGCCTTTGGTTTGGAAGGAGCAGCACGGCGGCAAAGTAATCGCAATACGAACAAAAGCCTTAGAGGATACAATGTATGTGATATGACACGTCTATTGAAATCATTCAATAACCTTGATTATAGGACAAACGAGTCACTCAGCTTCAGGACGAGGTCGCCCAGTTACAAGCTAAGATCGCCGACAAGGATGCCGAGTCTGAGAAGTTCCAGACCCTTGAGAAAGAAAAAGAAGAGGCAGCGTCCAGATCCGCTGAATTGGAGCGCAAATTGGAGGAAAACGAGGCTGCAGCCGAGTCAATGCGAGAGGAGCTTGAGAAACTTCGTCTCGAAAACACAACCATCGAACGTGAACTCCGGGCTCAGCTTGACGAAGCATTACAAGATGCTGGCTCCGAGGACTGGCAGGAACGTTACTCTCAGCTTGAAAAGCAACTTGAAGATCAAGAACGTCTAACAGAGGACGTTCGCCAATCAGCGACAGACTCTCTCAGAGAGATGCGAGACATATCGATCCGCAGCGAACAAGCTATCGCGAGAGAGGAATCTTTAGGGCGCCGAGTCACTCAACTGGAATCCGAACTGAAAGACTGGAAATCACGATACGCGCGTGCCAAAACTCAATTACGTGCTTCACGATCCTCATCAATAGGTCTTCCCATCCTTTCTCCGAATGCCGCAAAATTCGCGCGCGATCAGAACTTCATCCAAGCGGACGGTATGGTCAAAGACGTTTATCTTGCCAAGTTTCAGATGAGCATTGATGAACTCCTTCAAACCGCCCGTGCTGTAGATGCCGAAGCTACAATAGGCAGTATGAAGAGTGTTGTTTTCGCTGTGCGAAACATTACAACGGCTGTCGATACTACGGATCCCGAACGTGCTAATAGGGCCGACACAAAACAGCTCATAAAACTCAAGTCTCGTGTTTCTGCCACCGCAAACAATATTATAACTGCATCGAAGAATCACGTATCGGCGGCTGGCTTGGCACCCGTCTCCCTCCTAGATGCGGCAGCTTCCCATCTGTCAACAGCAGTTATCGAACTCGTGCGTTTAGCCAAAATCTGCCCGACCGCGCCTGAAGAGCTTGAGGAGGAGGACGCATTCGCAGAAAAACCCTTACCACCGCCAAAGACGTTTTCAGGCCTGCCAAACAACTATGCCCACATACGGAACAGCCCGAGGGGCAGTGGAGATTCGACTGGTCTTTCAGGCTACAGTGCAACAAGCTCACCACGACAAATCAGCGGAACCTGGGCTTCTCGACGATCTGATGCCTTTGCAAGTGCAACTGTCAATGGAATCCCAAGTGTGCGGACGAACGGCCTCGCGGAGTTCAAGAACTACTTGGATGATCAAACAGCGGTGCTCGTTCACAGCATCCAGCCGTTGGTTCACAGCATTAGATCCAAGCCCTCGAACATGCCTCTGACTACAGATGAAGAAGAAGCCATCATCGATCACGTTAACAATATAAGCCGCAATGTCATAGATACTGCAGCAAGGACGCACCGCACAATGGAGACTTCCAACAACGCAGCTCTATCCAAGCATGCCCCTCCTGTAATCAACGTACTCGAAGATTGCAAAGATCTTCTCTTGGATGCCGAGGGCCAGAGAGAGAAAATTCCTCCACTAGCCTTCAAGATCGCGAGAGCGATGAAAGAACTCGTACTCAGAGTCGAGCGCATTGAGAGTGGTGAGGTCACGGCCGACCAAACACTGACAACTGACTTCTAATTCTCCACTCATAATACCGTGGCTTTGTTTTCTGACTTGGGATGAGCCTTCAGCTTCATTCGGCGCTTTTGGATACCGCCAGAGTACGGAAAACTTTTTCTTTCTTCGCACAAATGGTGTTGGCATTGTTAAAAGCAGGGTTCACGTCACGACCCCTTGTACCTACCCTTCGTTCATCATGGTACAGTCCCATGTGTTTCGGGGAATCGGTCCAGTCCTTTCGCGGAGTTCTTTAACGATGCTACGTTATGCTGTCTACGGTTGCTTATATTTGAAGCTGGGTTTGATATAATTTCTATTACTAGAGGGAAGAGCCTATGAGCGGGTCACAGACAGATCAGCCTTCCTTGTATATAGGTGAAAACTTCCATACAACAGAGTGGTCGTTGACTGTCAAGAATATTTCATTTATCGTTCATTTTGTCCAGTGCGTGCTAGACCGATGAATATAGACATTTATAAGGTGGTGGCGAGACGTTGAATGTCGCCGCATTTCAATCATTCAGAAAATTGACATTCCTTGAACCTCAGGTGACTAATATAGGCTGTAGAGATTTTTTATTCTGTATGCCAGGACCGTTGCACGATGATGGTACGAGTGGATTGAGACCAGGGCGCTAGCTAGCGCGACTCGGCGTGAACTTCTCGCTTATTATGTCAGCAATCTTCGCACACCACCAGGAAATCCCACTTGGAGGCTCTAACAACATCACGACCAACGACAATCCCACGATCCTCAAAATCTACGTACCCAACAACCGACAAAATGGGTGGAGTCAGTGTTAGAGATGTCGAGGTACATATCTGCTCTTCGCCTTGGATACTCCAGGTTCATGGAAGATTCGCTAACTTCTCTTTTCCCTCTAGGCGCAAAAGTTCATCAATGCCTACGCCGCCTTCCTGAAGCGCCAGGGAAAGCTCCCCATCCCAGGTTCGTGAGAGACATAAACTCAATCTGAATCCCGTCATGGGGGGATGAATGCACATCGCGACGCTCAGCTCGCTGACTTGCCATCTACAGGTTGGGTCGACACGGTCAAGACTTCGCACGCCAAGGAGCTACCGCCCCAGGACATTGACTGGTTCTACATCCGCGCCGCTGCTGTCGCTCGTCACGTCTACCTCCGCAAGACCGTTGGCGTTGGCCGGTTACGCAAGGTCCACGGTGGCACCAAGAACCGCGGCTCGCGCCCCTCGCACCACGTCGATGCGTCCGGCAACGTCGACCGCAAGATCATGCAGGCACTTGAGAAGATTGGCGTGTTGGAGCAGGACGAGGACAAGGGTGGCCGAAGAATCACACAGTCTGGAAGCCGTGATTTGGACCGTATGTCAAGTTTAGAACGGCGTATGGGATTGGATGCTAACATGAGATATAGGTATCGCTATGACTACGCTGGAGGCCGACGAGGAAGAAGACGACGACGAGTAGACGATCTCTTGTGCGGTTGGCTTAGCATGATTCTCATACGGTGTCTGGCATAGGGTTTACGGCGCCGATTAATGGCACGAAAATGTGACACTACATATGCACTTATAGTAGAAATGCATACCCTTGAATTAACTACCGTGCATCTCCTTTTTGTGACCCTTCATACGTGAGTATACCTGCTTTAGTCGACCCAACATGGCCGCAATTCCAGGCCCGGGATCTGAACAGGAACCAAAAGTGTACTAAATATAATATCACGTGATACCGCGCCCTGCACTCAATTCCCTGTTTACACCCACGCGCCAAACGCGCACACCCCACTCAGACTTCACCACCAAGCCATCTCCACCGCGCAGCACGCCCCGGAGAAAGAACTCCCCTTACCCTCCTCACTTAATGGACGCGCCGAAAACCAAACAAACCCTCAAGCAAGCCAAAGCCGCCTACAAAGCCCACGGGCCACGCATCTCATCACACGAAGCACGCCTCGCCGAGCGCAATGCCGAGCTCGAGGCGCGCGCACAGCGGATCCGCGAGGCGGAGCGAAGGCGCAGGGTGCTGGGCAGGCAGCGGGCGGAGAAGGAGAGGCGGGAGAGGGAGTTGCGGGAGCGGGAGGGGGTGGGGCTGGCGACGCAGTTGGTTGGGTTTAGTCATTCGCAGCGGGCGATGAAGAGTGGGATGGAGGGGTGGGTTCGGAGGGGGGGTGGTGGTGGTGGTGGTGATGGTGGTGATGATGGGTGTAAGAGGGAGAGTGGGAGTGGGAGTGGGAGTGGGAGTAAGAGTGAGGGTGAGAAAAAGGGACGTGGCGAGGAGGAAGAGGAAGAGGAGGATGAGATCTTTGTTGGGATTGTGACTGGTGATACTGCCGATGGGAAAGAGAGAGGAGTGGGGTCGCATAGTGGAGCTGAAGCTGAAGCGCAGGCGCAACGCAAAGATGGAGATCAAGATGAAGACGACGACATATTTGCTGAGATCGAGACTGAAGGCGCGCATAGTACGGCGAGGCAGAAGGGTAAAAGCTGTCCTGTCGCGAAGGACCCTTGGAGCGAGGACGACTTGGATGAGGAGTCATTGTTGAGTATTGCGGTTACACCAAGGCATAAGCCTCAATCTTCGATGATCGCTCCGCCGACGGAGCCTCTTGACCAAGTCAGGCCTCCGGGTAGCGATCTTGGAAGCGAGGAGCAGAGAGAGAAGTGTATCCCGGTAATACAGCCTGCATTGGATCACATCACAGCAAAGAATGCGAACGGAAAGAGACCACGGGCGCCAGCGCCAGTACGATCTCCCTCACCCAGAGAACCAAGCAAGGACCTTCCACCGCGCATGTCAGATGCTCCCAAGCCAATCGAAATCAAAACCCACAAAGACCACCCAAACAAGATAATATCCGAAACGACACGAGCCATCGCAGACAACCCTGTGCGCAAGACCATGCTAGACAGAGCCATACGCAAACCCAAGCCACCACCCAACAAGACAGACTGGAAGCCGCCAAACGCATCCACAGGAGGCGTACCGTTCATAAAAGCCAGCGTGTACCAAAAGATACCTCAGCGGGACGAATGGGATGACTTTCTGGACAGCAGCACGCAGATTGCTCGCGAACTGTCTGGTCCGAAACAGGCAGCGAAACCAGCTGAGATACCGCTCGACGTGTTCATCTGCACGCAGGATCTCAATCTGTCACTGAATGATTTGGAGGAGCTTGGTGTGCCTCATGCTCCAAGCTTCTCGAGAGAAGATGCACTGTTCAAAGCGAAGACAGTCTCGGCGCCGGCACCTCCGGCAGAGAAAACAGTTGTAAGTACAGGGGATGGGACTGCTCGTCTCGGCCTTCAGAAAGCACAACTGCCTGCCCGGAATGTGAAGCCACCCGTCTCCAATCCGAACATGCTGCCTCCCCCACGGCCACCTCCGAAGACTGTTGTTGAGGCGCCGAGAATACAGGCGGTGCCGGTGATGCAGGCTGGACGATGTCCTGCGTTGAAGGACGATTTTGGATTCTCCACGCAGGATATGCGATCGTTTGTGGATGATGATATCACGCTGTCCCCTGATTGAAAGATGTGAGGTTATTGGATCAGTCGAGTATGTCAGTATATACCCCTTGGTTTTTGGCGCTCCTGTGTGTTGCTTTTGGATAGACGTCCGCAATCTACTCAGATGATCGGTTTCGACTGCACAGGTCTTTCTATTGTAGCTTTGGTCTAAGACAGTCCTCATAACTGTTGGGTATCTATTGCATCGTTTGCAGCCTGATCTTCTCCTTCTTCTTCTTCTTCCTCTTCATCGAGGTCTTCCAACGGGTACGTCAGTATCGCGGCAATGTTCCCTAGACTCTCCAGCCTCTTCCCGCTCTCGTGCATGCTGCTCAGTTTCCGCACCTCACCGCCTCCACTTGCTACCCGATCTACCAAGGAGACCCATCTCTTCCTCTCAGCAACGTTATTCGCCCGGAAAAGGGTGTCGTTAATCAGTAAGATACCACCACCGCTTCCCACCGCGCCTTGATCCACAGCCCTTTCAATCTCCCTGGGCCCATACCACGCCCGTCCGTCATCCAGCCGCAGCATAGTGAAGAACTTATCCATCAGCCCCGTCTCCCGAGCAAACTTTGTATCCGCAAGCCTCGTCTTGATCGCCGGACTAGCAAGAACCTCGTTCAGCGCATGCAGATGCCCACTGCTCGCATACGTCACAATCACATTCTTCTGCAGCAGCTGCAGCAACGGCCTATTCCCCGTCCGCACCGCCTGCTTCTTCATATACCCCTGAAACGAACTCGCCACGAACCCGGGACTAGCAAGCAGCAACGGCGTCCCCGCCGCCGACACAGACAGATCAATATACCGCAGCAACGTACCCAGCAACATCTCAAAGAACCGCTCCATCCCCTTCTCACTCTCCCCAGCAGCCCCACCCACCCGCTTCCGCGGCACACTAACCTCCACACTCGCCTTCACCACCGTCTGATGCTCAGTAATATGACAAATCTGCGCCTTGCCCTCCTGCATCACAACAGCCCACACCACAGCCTTGTGCGCACTCTCCGTGCTCTCCGCCAGAATCTGCCGCGCGACACTGTCCCAGCCGCCACCACCCGGCTTGCTGAGCGTGAACGCGCGCTGCAGCTCCAGGTCGAGCGTGTGGTGGCTGCCCAGCGGCACGTGCTCGTTCTCCTCGACGACTTGGCCGTTGACGTGCAGCTGTGCGGCCGCGGGGTCAAAGTCGATGCTGCGCACGCGGATCGTGAGTGTGATGTGGACGCGCTTGTTGCGGCTGCTGCCGTTGTTGTCGTCGTTGCTGTTGCCGGCTGAGAGGTTGACTTTGCGGATGGCGGATGCGCGGAGCAAGTCGGACGGTTGGATGAGGTTGTAGCAGTGCCACATGTCTTCTGGGTCTTCGGGGATGAGGGTTGCGTAGGGGGCGTCGCGCGCGTTGAGGTCTTTTTTCGGGTTGCGCATCGTGCTTGTCGTTGGGAGGAGGAGGAGGTGTGGTTTTTTTTGGCGGGGGTTGATGAAGTTGGGGTTCTGTCGTGTGTGTAGGAGGAGAAGGAGGGTCGACGATGGTGGAATTTGGACGTGGGATAGACGTAGTTTATAGGTAGACGTGTATGTGAGGGAGACGAAATATAGGAAGAATGAATGTAGGTATGGGTAGATAATTTAGAAGTCGTCTATCGGTTCATTACATCAGAGCTTAGGGTGCTTGTGAATGGTGGGGTTTGGTGGGGCACTTCTTTTTCAACGACAGCTTATCTACATCCATAGATTTGCGAGATAAAAAGCATCGTCTTCTCTGATATGAAGGTAGTCCCACTCCTCGTATATCTTGATTTGTATCTGATGTGCTTCGAAGACGGCTGCATAAAGTAGGATGCATACTATTTCCATCACTGTTAGACAGCATCGGAGGACTACAGCACAACCCAAGACCGGAGAAGTGCCATGTACATGACTGAAGGGCTTCGTGGCAATAAAAAAAATCCTCTCTTGGAAGGACTTGTCGGCTGACTGTTGAACCAATCAGTCCGTAGCTTTCGGAATGTCGCATTCCTGCCATGCACTTTTATTAAGACATGTTGATATTCATGATTGGAGTTTTAACGCGGATATCTACCGAATCTCATCGTACACACGCCCAACTATACTGTTCCAACAACTCGTTATAGAACATCTCTCTTTCATGTCATTGCGCCAACCATCTATGTGTCATGAGTCGAAAAGTGAACGCTGACTCGAAGTTCTAAGCAAGTCATCTTTGATTCTTAACATCTCATTCGCTTATACGCCAAGTCGAGAACCATTTAAGGTGCGCCCACTGCTTGTGGCTACCTTCCATACCAAAGCTGATCGCTCTGAAGAGCCAGAACAGTCCGATGACTGCGGCATAGAGGACGGCGTAGATCCCCCACTGTATCTGCTTATTCAGGCGGCTCGTCGTCCAGTCTGTCACGAAACCAGCCGAGAGAATAGCAAAATACAGCGCTGGGTAGTAGTGATGTACATACGTGACACGTGCCATGGCGATGAACGGGAAGTAGTGCAAGAACCAGCCGATGACTGGGTAGATACCGGAGTAATGGATGTGGTCGATGTCATATTGCTTGAGGTCGTTGTAGCCTCGTTGCCAGCGGACAAGATACCAGGCGACGAGAAGCACAGTGGCACCTAGAGACGCGGTACTACCCCAGTACACCAGTGGGTTACCAAGAAGGAAGTATTTGACGATCTTGTCATCCCAGCCACACATGCGGAGACCGACGTTGAGGATAGGCCATTGCCAGAATTGGGAAGCCAGGTCGTCCTGTTTGTCCGGGTCTGGAACGAGCGCATTGTTAGATGTCATCATAGCCACATTAAGGTGGATGAAGTCCTGGAGGAAAGGGGACTTGTAAGAGCCAGGATCACCCTTCGGAACTTTTTAATGTTAGCATCCCCAATAATAGAAAGGATCGGTCGACTTACGCTTTTCATTTGTGTGGCTCTCGACATTCCAATGAGTATATACGTCACGTGGCTTGTTCTGCTTGACACAAGTTGTTTCAATCTGCTTGAAACCCCATTGTGGTAGGTTCACGTTGCCAGCGCGGAGATAGCACCCCAAGTCTGCATGCTTCAATCGGAAAGAGGTGGTCAGAGTGCGAAGCCTCGAACGATCGCTTGATGCAGCGTCACGTACGACCTCGATAATCCAGTGATCTTTAGTGTCGCCAACTGTAGTATTGCCATAGCAAGAGACCTCCCAATCGGCTTTGGTGACTGGCGCAGCAATAGCATGAGAATGAAGGTTACGGCCAGTCTGAGCATGAATGAGGCGGATAGTGTCCTTGTCTCCAGGAAAGCGAAGTTCGCCTTCAGGGTTGTAATCAGGTTGTGCGCGGTTAGGATAGACAAACCAGTCGTTGTTTGCATCTTTGTGGTGGTAGCAAGTGATCTGCTGCTGCTGAGAACCCTCTGGGAAAGTCTGATGATGGGAATGAAGAAGTCCACCACCGTAACCCATGTTTTTCAATGTGACCCTCGAACCAATGGCGACCTCCAAGGGGCTGTCTTTACCAACCTCGGTGCCGCGCAAATTCGCCTGGAACAATGAACTCATCTGAGCGTCCCCAGGTCCACTGTTCTCAAGGATCAGGAAATGGATCCAGAAAGAGAACATGTACACCATGAGTGGAATAAAAATCAAGCCGAAGACTCTAAATCCGAGATGAGCTCCGAGTTCAGCCTGTGATATCGATTAGCGAGGAGAGAACGGAATGGACTGGCAGCCATACCTTGGGCATCTTGAGGTCTCCAAACTTGTTCCATAAATCCTCTGCTGTATAAAGGCCAACCATGGCAGTCACGAAGAATCCAACCCACTTGACAGAGCAAACACATCCGATAGACACACCGCACAGCATCAACCAAAGTCCCCACTCAGGCGAGAAGGGGTCAATCTGCCACCTATGGAATTTGGACCAACAGAATACCGTCGTGAACGTAAAGAACAAAAGCATAGAGTCAAGGAGGATGAAGCGGCTGATCGTGGTGTATGAGTTCTCGAATAGAACCATCATGGTAACAAGCCATACAGTGTTCCTCCGCAAGTTTAATTCTTTCGCCGTGAAGTAAGCCAGTGGGACGCACAGGGCTCCGAATGTGGCATTAAATGCGCGCATAAAGGTATAGTTGAGTTCTTCAGGATACGTCTCGCCGGATTTGAATTCGAAAGAACCATTGTAACCAGCCATGTAGCCCGAGAGACCGACGAGCATTTTTCCCAGAGGCGGATGGACATCGAAGTAGAACTCGCGCTTCAGGTAATGGGACCCGAATTTACCAAAACTGTATTGGCTCAATTAGGGATCGCCTTCTAACCGCCAACTTCTGTCATACGTACTGTGCTTCATCCCAGGTCACAATCGGCGAGAGACCAATCTTCCACAAGCGGGTGAAGAATGCGAGCGCCGTGAATATGATGGGCGCAATTATAAATTCATAATCATCGAGGATCGAGAGGAAAGTTGTTGCCTGCACGCCGACTTGTTAGTAGATCGCCTATATGTGTAACGTGTTGCTTCAGGAGATTCCGAACCTTCTGCTTCGACTTTTCTTCTGCGTCGCGCGGCCTCGCGATTTGCGAGGCCGGCTCAGGGACTCTCCTTCGCAGCCCATCTGCTTGAAGGTCGGCACCAGTTCTGGATGCCATGTTTGGTAGCGAAACTTTGATAGGGGCGTCAAATGCGCAGCCTTGGTAGGAGGTTGGTCCTTGCGGACTGGATATGGGGGCTCAATTAGCCTGCGAGAGCAAGGTAAGGAGAACCACAACAAGGAAGGGAAAGAATTAAACTGCGATATAGAGCAGAAAGAGAAGAAAGAACGAAGTGGGTGTCTCCAAGTGCGTGGAGAGAGGTTGGCAATGAATTATTCCAGCTGACACTAGCGGACACGAATACATCTACGATAGATTTGAGGACGCGCAGGTCGCTCCAGCCCGCCGCCCTAGTTAGCCCCACTTTCAACCGCGATGTTCAGGGGATTGCTGGGAGTACAGAACGACGTTAAGTCGCTGCGCAACTAGCCATAATTCTGAATTAAAAAACATGTACCACATCCATGTTGCAATTTAAATAGACCAGATTCGGGGACTGCACATGTATTACCGGTATAATACCATTATGATTATTCAGTAGGAAATAACGACAGCCTGAAGATATGTACATATCTTCCAAGCTGTGAAATGGGTTTGTCGTCTGATGAATTATTATACAGGCTACCTGCTGGAGCCACTCTATAGAGATTGATCTCAACTCACGGTATCATATCAATAGACATCGCCGTGGAGAGAATGTGCCGTGACGTAAGGAGAAAATGCTTTGCGCCCGCTTGTCTAGATGATCGTTATCACTCAATCCTCCTCTTGGTCAACTCTCTTATATCCTTTGCTACTCTCTCCATCGCCACCTTTGCCACGGCTTACGAGATTAGAGATCCATCCGCCCAAACCCTCACCGTTATCGTTGCCCTTGCTGGATTTGCTTGTGCCGACATTTGGAGGGTTGATGTCGAGACCTGGAATCGCATGATCTGCCCCAAGGCCGCCTGGTAACGAAGGCACGGGAGATCGATTGCCACTAAATAGAGACTCTGCCTCCGCCAGAGTTGCTGGAGTAGGCATGGCGGTTGTGGCATCGCCAAACAAGGAATTCATATCCTCGAGACGAACATTTGCCGTTTCGGGATAAATGAACCATACTAGAGGAACATTAGTAACCTGAGCAGGAGTAAACAAAATTTTGACTGACCAACGACGAAGCTGACTGCGCAGAAGAACGCGTGTAAGAGATAAAGTCGCCATTGGATCCACTCTTGCAGAATGGGTGTCATTTCACCGACCAGCCAGTTAAACGCCCAGTTTGTAGCCGTACTCAAGCTGGCACCCTTCGCTCTGATGCTCAATGGAAGGATCTCTGGTGGGTATAGCCATGGAATGGGTCCCCATGAAAACCCAAATGCGGCGTTGTATATCATAACAAAGATCACGACCATAGTCGGGGTGAAGCTAGCTTCCAAATAGATGAAGTACGATACTGCAGATAGCGAGATGATCATCATGATAGCACCGCTAAGGAGAATAGGGCGCCTTCCAAGGGTGTCGACGACATACCATGGTGGAATGGTGGACGCGAAATAAGTAAGGGAGTTTATACCAGTCATGAGAATAGCTCTGCGGCCGACCCATCCTGCTTGTTCGAAAACAAGCGGAGCATAGTAGCTGATGACGTTTATGCCGTTTAGTTGGGCAAGCGCTTGAGCAGACATGGCGATGAAAACACGCTTCCGATAGCGCTTAAACATATCAGAATAAGATCGTTCTCCTTCCTGCCGTTGCAGAAGAACATTCATTTTGATCTCTCGATACTCGTCACGAGCTTTTGGATTGTGGATATCACCTTTGCCATAGAGGTTAGCAATGACGACAATGCCCTCCTCGTCAAAGTCATTGTCAAGTAGCCATCTGTGAGGGTAAGCTTCTTATGTTTACGCAAGTACTTGGGTCCACATACCTGGGAGACTCGCAAATGACCAAACTGCCCAGGGCCAGCAATCCACCCATGATACACTGCATAAGCAGAGGTACTCTCCACGACCAATGGCTTGGTATGAAAGTGCAGATATAGTCTACCCACACACTCGCAGCGTAACCGGTAATGTTGCCGGTGAACTCGATACATGCAAGCTTGCCGCGGTTGTGTGGCGGAGATATCTCCGACTGGTAGACTGGAACGATTGTGGACAACGCGCCCACTCCCAGACCTGCTGTGATCCTGCCAAGGAGCATCATAGGCATGCCGTTTGCAAAGCTTTGCAGAGCTCCTCCGATTACAAATATTATAGCGCCGTATAGAATTGTACGTCTTCTTCCAATAACATCTCCAATTCTTCCAATGCATAGCGAAGCTATGAATGCACCAACCTCGAGGATAGCCACCATGGTACCAATTTCGGCTTTGGAGGGCTGGTCAAAGTAGTCTTTAAAATAGTGGCCACTGCATTGAGAACGTCAGCTTGAGAATGGCTTGCCCTTATCGGTGGTCACCTACGTGATGATGCCTGACATGACACCTTGATCGTACCCAAAGAGGAACACGCCCAAGGACACAAAGACGCTTGTAAAGTATCTGCAGTGATGAGTTAGCCACCTGCTCCTGTCTTGATATCAGGCTGTCCATACACCAGTTTTTTCCCATGTAGCCCGTGAATTCGGGACGGTCCATCGTTAGGCGCCATTATGGCAGCAAGGATCTTCTCTCCCTTGCTGATTGTACGAGGACCTGGATCTGGTATCTCAATGTCCTCCTTTCTCCTGGTGGCACCACTCCGACTGTCCTTTTCTCGATAAGAGGGTGACCGATATCGAACCTGCTTCCGGTGACGATAAGATCTGACAGAGCCTCCAAATTCCCCTTCAAGCTGTATGCGTAGGGGGTCTTCCTGGTCGGCGAGTTGATCTACCAAGTCCCCAGTTTCCCAATCGTCGGACGAGTCCGACTCTATCAGGGCGACCGAGTCGGTCTCAACGTCGTCTACGGCGTGCCTTGAGGGTGTTGATAGCGTGTGCAATGGGATGTTGGCAGGCCGGCGGTATGAAGATGAGTGAGGAATTTTGGCAGGTGTCTTGAGCGAGCTGCTGGTATACAGCTGCCGCCCCGCTATTTGATTGTTCTTGTGAGGTTGGGTTGAACGAGATTCGCCGACGCGGAGCCTGCTTTACTAGCGGACGGAGGTGGTTAGAATCAAACCTGGTGCATGGTGCAGCATGCGGGAAGAGCTTAGGTAAGGATCAAAGTGGAGCCGCGCGCGAGGTTCTGATGTCTCTGATCGCAGTCACAAGAGCAAAAGCCAGAATCAAGGAGTGTAGCAATCACCAGCAGTCATGGATTAAGAAGAAGAAGAAGAAACAAAGAATTGCTGTGGGTGTGGCTGCTGCTGGTTGGTCTAAAGGGGCCGCTCGTCGATCCTAAACAGTTCCAAAGCCGAATCCTCGCAGCCTCCAGCGTGGTCATCTTTGATACAGAATGGTGAATATTTACGATTACGCACCTTTGGACCTTGGATGCTCATGGTTTGTGTATACGAGCTCGAGCAAGTTTTCGACAAGACTTGCCATGAAAACTCACTACCCAGATTCAACGGGTAGGCCTGTGGGCGATCTGGTCACTGGTGGAGCTCCCCGCACTATCGTGTCAGCAGACAGTGAGCATGAGGCATAAGGGTCATTCTAACACTGATCGCGTGATACTAGTAGACAGCTGTATATAGAGACCGATACAGGTGTAGTAGCAAGCTTCGTATTTGTGTTGTTTCTTGTAGTGGAGCAACGGGAACCAGGGCGGCGTTCCTGGAGAAGACCGTTCCCGCGAAGACGCAGCGGGCGCTCTGCCACATCGACATAATGCCCACTGGCCCACTGAGTAGAACGTTTTCGAGTTGAACATGCCTAGACTGCTTCACCAAAGCATTTCTACTCGGTATTACTGTTTCTTTATATGACCACAAATTATATCATGGTAAAAGTCGCATCGGGAGCAAACGGACAGCGATGTTATTGACATGTTTTTCTTCGGTCACCGGAGCAGTCTGTGCGGACGGCAAACGAACTGTAATAGTGCTAGCATACAGTCAAACAATCGGACCAGCACCAGCACAAACCGCAAACCATAAAGCACAAAGCACAAAGCACAAGTGAAGCGGAGATCGTGTGAGATCGAGCGTCAAAACATGGAATTCACGTGACAAAGTGTGAAACGCTTTACCTACAACACTTCATCGAGGTTTGTGTTTGTTGATTGGCTGACGAGAGTTCCAGCCACCCCCGAGTGCAATTTCCCTGGCGCGCTGCAAGAAAGCCGTCATGTAACCATTGATGGATACTACTACATAGTAAGGTAATGCATAGTTCCAGGTTTACAGCCTCCAGTCTCCAGTTGACTCTCTCTGTGCGCCTTCCGCCCTCTTGATTGACCAAAAAAAAAGAATAATCTGCCAACACACATAGAAGCTCACTTACTGCAGTATCAGCATCATCGGTCTGCAGGCCAGCGTCACTCGTGTGTCGATCAAGGTCCGTCCCTCTCTGCAGTTTGCGGCGTCTAGCCCAAGTTGGTGAGGCAGTCTTCCTAGTTTGGGCTCAAGTGGTGCCCACCGCACTACAATCACCGGATTTCCGCGCCAGACTGCTGCAGCGCGCGCCCTCGCCCTGCCAACCTTTCGCTTGCACAACTCGTTCGTTACACTTCACCTGCGCAATCCTCACAACCTCACTGTCATCCTCTTCCCTTGACTTCCTCCTCTCCGCCCAATTGTCAATCTCTCCGCCATATCTCTTACCTAGATAGCCAGCGTTGTGTCTCTGCTCTGTGTCTCCTGCCTGGTCGGCGCTTGAAGGAGAAGCTTAGGCTCGAACGGCTTCGCCATGTCAACAGCTTACGGCAATTTCCACAACTTCTGTCGTGATTCTGGCAGCAATTATGCCACTATACCAGGTATTTTCAATTGCAATACTACATCATCAAGTACATCGCTAATCTACACGCAGTGTGTAACGTATGTCTATTCCAATACCGCGTTCAATCGCTCGTAATCCACGGTGCGCCACTTGCTAACTGTCGCATACACAGCTCTTTCTCGAATCTCGAGCTCGAGAAAACACTGGTTTTGGCGGATGCGAGCTACAAGGGATATCTTTGAGTGGAGACCGGCGTTTGGCAAATCTGGGTGCGTCTTGCGCTTTGGAACGACATCGGTGCTTGCGGTGCTAATGGGAGAAGGCTCGATATTGATCTGCGCTATCGCCATCCTCACAAGTCTATTTTTATTGTGGCGATCTGAGAGAAAGAAAGCTGCTGTGGGCCGACGGTGCGCACATGTGAACCACGAATTTGCGAGCGTACTTGACTGACATGACCTCAGGGAGATGCAACTCTTTCTCATTGGCTTCATCATAGTTGAAATATGCGAGATCTTCACTGTTGGAGGATTCCCACTCCAAAGTCGCGTCATCCGAGTGAGCCTAAATGTCCGATGACTGCAATCAGAAGCTAATATATCTGCAGGGTTTTTCTGCCGTCCACATTGCAGCAGTAGTCGCGACTGTTTGGATGCTGATGCTTAACGGTCTGGTCGGCTTTCAACTTCTCGATGATGGTACGCCAATATCTCTCGGGCTGATGCTATTCTCGGCTGCAATCTTGTTCGTTGGAACAGGCTACATCGCTCTTGATACCGGCTTCAGCTGGACCGGCTACTGGGACAGCACTCTCTCTGATCCCAACAGAGCTTATGCGCTGTATACTCTCTATCAACTCGTACCTCTGTTGTTCCTGGTCATCTTCTTTCTCCTTGAGACATTCTTAGTACTAAGAATTCTTGGCGAGAAGAAGCCAATGCGTAAGACAATTCTCGACATAGACCGCACCTCTCTCAGAACTAACAGACACTTTAGTCTACCTAGTCGCTGCTGCGCTCCTTTTCGCGATTGGCCAAGTATTCCAATACGTCATCAGTGTTCACATCTGCGACGGTACCAACGGCAAGATCAATGGAGGGCTCTTCGAGACACTCTTCACTCTTCTCTCAGTCGTAACGATCTGGGCATTTTGGTCAAGTATCACCGAGGATGACTGGCCGTTGCCCGCCTCGACTGGAGGTACATACACATAGTTTTTTAAGGACGAGGTAATGTGGTAATATTGCGAAGGAGGAAGAAGCGTAATGGATGTTTGATGATTCACATGGCGCATTATATCAATGGGAGCGTGCTTTTATGAGATTCCAAGGCAACGAATCCAACTGTTGCGTGCAGTTCTCATAGTCTGACGCAATCATGTACATGAGTAGATGTAGTTTGATCTGAAAAGCAACGATATCTAATCTTCAATACCTTCGAATCGCTGGAGCGTTTTCTTTGGATTTTCATGCAAGCTCACAGCAACTTGCATTATGAGTCTTGTCAATATTTGTGGATCGATTCGTGCAATAGATCTGTCAGATGGTTGCATGCTTGGAATTGCCGATTGTCCATTGGCAGATCGGTCAAGATCACGTGCTAACGTTCTTCCGCGCGAAGTGTCAAAGAACCGTGTCGCGCGACGTCACGTCAGAACACTCTAACAGTCCTTACCTCAGCACGGCCATCGTTCTCGCCCTGAAATCTCGACGAAAGTCAGCGCCAACAGCTTCACTTAGCTCTGCAAGGTCCCCAACGGATATCAGATTGGCCTCCAACTATCAGCATACCACCCACCGAGCATGGTCGATTCAGATGATGATTACATAGAACGTGGTTCTGTCTCGTCAGATGAAGATGCGGAAGTAACAATATCCTCGTCAATAGGAAATCCTGGCGCTCATGGAAATGCCAGCGCAAGTAATTATGGCACCCGAGCAAGAACAAAACCTGCCGACATGGTGGCAAATGCGAACAAGAAGAGCAAGGAGAAGGTGAAGCCCAGAGGGCGGGAAATGGCCTGGGAAAGAGAAATCCGGACAGACTTCCGAGTAAGGGAGGGGCAAGACGGTTTGATTAAGGGACATGTGGAAGGTCTTGTGGAAGCTAGGAAGAGAAAGAGGTGAGTCTCGAAAGTGCTCTGCGAGCGCACCATGGCAGAAGATTCATACTGCAGCATGGAGGAAGATACTTTTACGGCAAGAGTATTTAGATGGCATACGGAAAAATTTGCGACTAAGTGTGCTCTTAGGCTACGACAAGACACCGAACCATTCCAACGAGGCATCATTCGCCATGTTGCTCTTGTCCTCGACCTCAGCGAAGCCATGCTTGAGAAAGATATGCGCCCAAACCGCTACCTCGTCACCCTCAAGTACACACAGGAGTACATTCGCGAGTTCTTCGAGCAGAACCCGATCAGCCAGATGCTCATTCTCGCCATGTACGACGGTATATGCATCAAGATCAGCGACCTCAGTGGCAACCCGTCCACACACATATCCGCCCTCATCGCACTACGAAACCCACGTAACCCCCGCGAAGTAGCCAAAGAACCAAAAGGCAGCCCGTCTCTCCAAAACGCCCTTGAACATGCCCGCGCCTCTCTCCACCACACTCCATCCCACGGCACGCGCGAAGTCATCATCATACTAGGTGCTCTGCTGTCCCTCGACCCCGGCGATATCTTCAAGACTATCTCCGCCTGCGTCGCAGACCACCTGCGCGTGGCAATCATTGGCATGGCGGGCCGACTCCGTATTTGCCAAGAAATATGCGCGAAGACAAACGCAAACGATCCCTCGTCGTACACAGTCGCGCTCGATCAAACACACTTCCGCGAGCTACTACTCGCAACCACAACGCCGCCAGTGATTCGCAAGCCCACTGCTGCGGCGCAAGCGGCGAATCCAGCGTCTTTGTTGCTGATGGGCTTCCCGAGCAGGGTCATCGAGGATAGCCCCACGCTGTGTGCATGCCACGGACAGCTGACACGGGGCGGGTATACGTGTTCGCGGTGTATGGCGAAGGTGTGTTCGTTGCCGAGCACCTGCCCGAGCTGTCATCTTACCCTTATTCTGTCGACGCATCTGGCGAGAAGCTACCATCATCTGTTCCCGCTGCGGAATTGGGTCGAAGTCAGCTGGCAGCGGGCGCTGAAGAAAGGCAGTGTGCAGTGTACAGGGTGCTTGACTGCATTTCCGCCGGTGCCGGCGGATATGAGGGATTCCAAGGGAAAAGGAAAGGTAACTAATGGGAATCATGAGTCGAACGGAGTCAACGGCGCTGTGCGGCAAGAGAAGGTCGAGGGAGCAAGCGAAAGCTCACGTTACGAATGCGAGACGTGCGGAGAGCATTTTTGCATAGATTGCGATCTGTTCTGTCACGAGGTTGTGCATAACTGTCCAGGTTGCCAGAGCAGCGTGCCCGAGGGGGATGTAGTTCAGGGGCAGAACGGTGCTGCAGGGGACGGAAACAGGATGGATGTGGATTGAGAAAATATCTCATTCGAAAGTTTTTGGTTTTTGGGTGTAGTTCTGCCAGTCTTGGGATTAGCGATGGCGTTGCGGTGCTCTTTTCTTCGGGACTCTTTTGGAAAGAAATACGCAAGGAGGGATGGATACACGAACTAAAGCGGCTGTACGAAGTGACGTGAAGAGAAGCGAAGCGAAGTAGAAGCAGACAGACACGACGATAGACAATTCAGGATACACGAAACCATAACCTACATGTACAACCACGCATCAAGTGTTCAACGTATATGTATTGTGAATAAACGGCCAGCAAAGTTATGCCCCCCTCCCAAAAGAAAAACTTGTGTGTGTCCAGAACCCAAAGACGGAAAACTTTTTTTTTACCCCTCCTTCCGCACGATGTCCCACGACTTGCCAGATATTGAATTCCCTTTTTTCTCATTGTCAGGCCCAATTAAGTCGTCCCATGCAGCAAAGCTTCGTAGTGTGTGTCTGTGGGTGTGTGTGTGTACCCCTCCTTCCTTCCTTCCTTCCTTTTCAATTCAAACTAATACCCGGAAATATCCATGATTAGACAAAAAACATTTCCTCCCCCTCTCCCCTTTTCTTCAACTTGGAGAAAAGATTTCGAGCTCCCCCCCCCCTCCCCTCGCTCAACGATTACTCCTCCCTCCCCTCCCTCCCTCTATCGACAACGCCCCACTTCCCCGGTTTAATGTTCGACGATGGTTCGAAATGATTGCCCTTTCCGGGATTGTTACCACTGCCTTTTTCTCTAGACGGCCTACTTTGTCCGGCTCGTGATATTTGATGATGCTGTATGTATGTACTGTCTCGCACTGAAGTGGATCGGCCTGGGACTATCATCATGCTATCCTACTAGATCCGGTCAGAGTCGCTCTATATCCGCCACGAGTGTCCGTAGATACCGATGTTTGACACACCGGAATAGGCAGCGAGTGAGTGACGTGAGAGAGACATGGAAGGTTGAGACTCAAGGGTATGTGGCGGAGATGAGGATGTTACTGGTATCTTGTGAGGTTAATATGTGCGGTACATTTAGTAACGAATATCGATCTTGCACTTCGTGCCTTGGAACTGTAGATGTGTCATATGTATATAGATATATATACTCGGAGACATACCATCGGCGAGCCGGGACGAAGCCACACCCCTTGATTGGAGGTACGGCCCCTGTATGCAGCACATTGATGAAACCACGCAGGCAGTGAAATTCCTCATCAAAAGGAGAGTACTAGGAATGCTATTTACTTGAGTACTTGAGATGAGCCGCCACACGACGCTCCATCGAAACAGGAACTGGTTTTTGATTTGATTTTACTAGATAAGTAGTTGGTAGTGAGTACCTTACTTCGCCCTATATACAACATCTAGAGACGAGGCCACCGATCTCCCCTTATTCCCTGTAGGGAAACTGTGAGAGATACTATGTGCCTTGGAGGCTAACGTCGCTTTATGGATTGTTTTTTCAGGGGTTTGGGGGGGCTTATTGTGAGACATGCTTATACTATATGGGAATTCCTTACATGAAGATGTTTGAGATTTGGGCCTGAAGGTACTTCGTTGCAGTGAATACACGTAATTGATTGTCTTTCTGTCGAGTAGTGATGTGTGTCTTCCTGTCATCCTGCCGAACTCCCTTTCTTTTTTGGGGCTTTTATGTAGTATTACTCTGACCTCCTTTCTGTTCACTCTTGATCTTCCGGCTCGGTGCAAGGTAGCCTTAACTTCCCTGCTCACTCTCGCGTACGTACCTGTTAGATGAGAAGTCTAATCGTATATTGTGGGTGGCGAGATTAGACCGATCGTAGGGAGTAAGTAGCGTAGGTATGAGTGGGCAGAGTGATATGAGACCAGGTGATGTCAGTGGACAAGGGGAGCGAAATGTCGATTGATATATGAAGCGTCTCCTCGGCACACTCAGGACGACAGAAGCAGTGTTTCTCTGTTACAATATCAAGGTTTGAAACTTCCTGTGAATATCCATACGCGAAGTGTAGTATGATACATAGCAGGGCAAACAACCACGAAGCACAACGAAGAACAAGCACGAAGAACAACAACCACGAAGAACAACAACCACGAAG